ATAGGGTTGCAAAACGTTATGTTCAGAATGTTCCACTTTTGGAAATAAATAAATGCCAAAATGCTAAGAGGGTTTATCACCAGTTGGATGGGTATTGTGACTATGCTTTATTTTCTTTTTGCTTAACTGTATCTTCTGATTTTGTTGAAAGATAGTACTTCTCAAATTTTATTTTATTTTATTTTTTTTGGAGACGGAGTTTTACTTTTGTTACCCAGGCTGGAGTGCAATGGTGCGATCTCAGCTCACTACAACCTCCGCCTTGTGGGTTCAGGCAATTCTCCTGCCTCAGCCTCCTGAGTAGCTGGGACTACAGGCATGTGCCACCATGCCAAGCTAATTTTTTGTATTTTTAGTAGAGACAAGTTTTCACCATGTTGACCAGGATGGTCTCGATCTCTTGACCTCGTTATCCACCCGCCTCAGCCTCTCAAAGTGCTGGGATTACAGGCATGAGCCTCTGCACCCGGCCTCAAATTTTAAGTATGCATAGAATCACATGGGGATCTTGCTAAAATACGGATCAGGTTTCATGTGGTCTGAGGTGAGCCTTGAGGTTCTCCATTTCTAAACAAATTTAGATCTTAAATTTTGTGGTAGGTAGAATAAAAGATGTCCATGTCCTAATCCCAAAACCTGTGAATATGTTACTTTAAGAGCAAAAGGGATTTTTGCCAATGTGACTCAATTATCCAGGATAATCTTACTATGGAAAGATTATCCTGGATTATCCTCTAAGTCCAATGTAATCAGAAGGATCTTTATAAGAAGGAGGCTGAAGTGTCCAAGATAGAGTAACAAATATGACAGTATAATCGATGTCCGAGGGATGCCAGGGCCATGAGCCAAGGAATGCAGAAAGCCTATAGAAGCTGGAAAAGTCATGGAAACTGATTCTCTCCAACAGCCTCCAGAATAAACTCAGCCATGCAAACAATTTTAGACTTCTAACCTCTGGAACTCTAAAACAATAAATATATCTTGTTTTAAGCCACTAAGTTTGTGGTAATTCACTGAAGCAGCAATAGAATACATGCTCAAAAGTTATAGGCTCTCTAATTTGCTACCCTTCATTTATTGTTTCAACTTGCATGAAATTGAGTCTTTGGCAACTATATATCATAATAAAGCCCATTCAATGTTTATAAATTAACAGAATTCCTAGAATGATTTTTGTTTATAATAAATTGAAACAATATGTCTTTCTATAAGGACTGATTTTGTAAATTATGGTATGTTTATACAATGGAATATATTTGCTGGTAAAAATGTTGATGTAGCTTTATATTCATGAACATTAAAAGATGTTCATCAGCTGGACGCGATGGCTCACGCCTCTAATCCAAGCACTTTAGGAGGCCAAGGCAGGTAGATCAGCTGAGGTGGGGAGTTGGAGACCAGCCTGACCAACATGGAGAAACCCCAGCTCCACTAAAAACACAAAAAATTAGCTGGGCGTGGTGCCACATGCCTGTGACCCCAGCTACCTGGGATGCTGAAGCAGGAAGATTGATTGAACCTGGGAGGTGGAGGTTGCAGTGAGCCAAGATCTCACCACTGCACTCCAGCCTGAGCAACAAGAGCAAAACTCCATCTCAAAAAAAAAAAGTCCATTATATTTAGCCAAGTAAAAATAAGAGGTTAGAGTTTTATATATATCCAATTCACTATAGATGATAAAATGAAACTTAAGCTTAATTGATAATATGTATACAAAAAGTTTTTAAAAATATACAGCTATTTGTTAATAGATGTGAACACTAGCTGGTGGTTTTTACTTTCTAAAATATTTTAGCATTATTTAAATATTTTTGCAGAACAGGCGTGGTGGCTCATGCCTGTAATCCAAGCACTTTGGGAGACCAAGCTAAGAGACTGCTTGAGGACAGGAGTTTAAGACAGCCTGGGCAACACAGCAAGACTACCATCTCCATTTTTTTAAAATTGTATTTGCAATGTTTAAGTGTTTTTTTCTTTTTTCTTTTTTTTAATTTTTTTAGTGGCCATTAACTGACAAAAGTGTTTTTTCAATAATCAGAAATAATAAAATTATTTCTAGTTTGAAAAAAGGAACATAAGAATACCTAGTACTAGAAAGTAAATGATGAAATGGGTATTTTTTTCATATTCTGCTAGTAAGAATGAAAACTGATAAAACTGTCTTAGAAGATAATTTTACATTTCTGTAGTCCTAGCATTTTGAGAGGCTGAGGCAGGTGGATTGCTTGAGCTCAGGAGTTTGAGACCTGCCTGGGCAATGAGGCAAAACCTCTACTCTACTAAAAATACAAAAAATTAGCTGGGCATGGTGGGGAGGCTGAGGCAAGAGAATTGCTTCAACTGGGAGGTGGAGGTTGTGGTGAGCCGAGATCATGCCACTTCAATCCAGCCTAGGCGACAGAATGAGATTCTGTGGAAAAAAAAAAATTTGTATCAAAAGAATCCTGCTGTGTCACCTAGGCTGGTCGTGAACACCTTGGCCTCTCAAAGTCTTGAGATTACAGGTGTGAGCCACCATTTTCTTTTTCTTTATCTTATTATTTATTTATTTATTTATTTTTGAGATGGAGTCTCACTCTGTGGCCCAGGCTGGAGTTCAACGGCACCATCTCAGCTCACTGCAACCTCTACCTCCCGGGTTCAAGCAATCCTCTACCTCAGCCTCCCGAGCAGTTGAGATTGCAGGCGTGTGCTACCACGCCTGGCCGATTTTTGTATTTTTAGTAGACAGAGTTTCACCATCTTGGCCAGGCTGGTCTTGAGCTCCTGACTTTATGATCTACCCACTTCAACCTCCCAAAGCACTAGGATTACAGGCATGAACCACCACACTCAGCCCACCATTTTTGTGTTTTTGTTTGTTTGTTTGTTTGTTTTAGAGATGGGGGTCTCACTATGTTGCCCAGGCTGGAGTGCAGTGGCTATTCACAGGCACAATCCCACTACTGATCAGCATAGGAGTTTTAACCTGCTCCATTTCCGACCAGGGCCGGTTCACCCCTCTTTAGGCAACCTGGTGGTACCCCACTCCCGGGAGGTCACCATATTGATGCCGAACTTAGTGCGGACACACCATCGGCATAGCACACTGCAGCCCAGAACTCCTGGATTCAAGCGATCCTCCAGCCTCACCCTCCTGAGTAGCTGGCACTACAGGCATGCGCCACCGTGCCTGGCATTTTCAAAACATAATATTTGAGGCTGGGCACAGTAACTCACTCCTGTAATCCCAGCACTTTGGGAGGCTGAGTTGGGAGGACCACTTGAGGCCAGTTCAAGACCAGCCTGGGCAACATGATGAAAAAGCATCTCTACTAAAAATACAAAAATTAACTGGGCAAGGTGGTGTATGCCTGTCGTCTCAGCTACTCGGGAGGCTGATGTAGGAGGATCTCTTGAGCTCAGAATGTGGAGGTTGCGGTGAACTGAGATCATGCACTGCACTCCATCCTGGGTGACAGAGTGAGACTGTCTCAAAAAAACAAAAAACAAAAAACAAAAACAAACCATAAAACCCAAAACCAACAACAACAATAACAGATCACACACAGGGTTTTGTGTCATGTTCATCCTTTTTTTTAAAGACAGAGTCTCACTCTGTCACCCAGGATGGTGCAATCTTGGCTCTCTACAAATTCTCAGGCTTAAGCAATGCTCCCACCTCAGCCTCCCAAGTAGCTGAGACTACAGGCCTGCACCACCATGCCTGGCTAATTTTTGTATTTTTTTGTAGAGACAGGGTCTCACTTTGTTGCCCAGGCGTCTCAGCTCAAGTGATCTGCTTGCCTTGGCCTCCCAAAGTGCTGGGTTACAAGCATGAGCCACCTCGCCAGGCCATGTTCATCCTATTAACATTTGGCAGTGCCTAGCACAGTGTAGACTTTTTTGAATTGTGGAATAACAATGATTAATGAAATTAAACATATACTTGAAGATGCTCTTAGGGTATACAAGATTTTTTTCCTGATTTAGAACTACATCAAAGAAAGAAGGGCCTAAGACCAAGGTTTGGGAATGTACCCAATGAATTGCTCAAAAGAGAGTTGGCTTTAGTAATGGTAGGAAGAAGTTATTTCTTCAACAAAATAGAATACACACAGATAAATTAAAAACTGAGAGCCACTACACTAGCTGGCAAAACAGATATGGGTATCGTGGCCCTGGTACTCACACAGTTTATAATCAGGTGCACCGTCCTATCACAATGCCCAATATGTTCTTATTATCATGTTCACAGCGTTTTGGATTTTCTGTCCATCTCTCTCAATAGAATAAACTTTGAGGTAAGTTTCTTATTTAACTTAGAATCCCCAGCAGTGTTTGATACACAGTTGGAGCTCAATGAATGTATATATGTATATAAATGTATGTATGTGGAGTGAGTGAATGACGAGGCACAAAAGGAATTTATTGAATTATTGGTTGAATGAATCAAATAAGTGTCTAGGATTCACGGGCTGTCTTCTGCACGATAAGCTTCATTCTGTGCGTCTGTTTCTCCTGGTTCCCAATTATGTGTCTTTTTGTGGATTATCTACTCTGTAGCTAGACTTTTGCATTTGTTCAAAATATTCTTCTATTCCTAATAGAAGCAACCCTAGCGAAACCAGACGTCAATTCTTTTCTCAGTTCTTTTCCCCAGGGCAAGTAGAGAAAAATGCATTCCCACAAAAGAGCGAGCAAATCCAAATCCCACCCCTACAAGCTGCGGTGGGAAAAAGGAGCGAGGCACGTGAATACTTCTTTGGACCTCGGCGATCCCAGAACCTGGCCTTGTAAAGCATCCATAGTCTTAACCTCATTATATAACTTAAACCGCCTTCGCAACACCGAGAGCACCACATCAAAACTTCATCTAGCTCTGGTTGGGACAATGACTTCAGATCCAGACTGAGGTGCTCCGTAGGGCAGTGTCTTCCGGAATCTGTAGGCTCCCGCCGTTCGCCTTTCCTCGCTCGGTGACTCCAATTCCCGGCAGCCACTGGGGTCCAAGGTCCGCCCTCTTTCTGGGGGAGGAACCCGTACGAGAGGGGGCGGACCCTTGCTTTTCCGTCGCGTCGGCTCGAATGTTGCTGGCGGTGTTGTACTGCGGTTCCCACGTGGTGGCTTTCTCACGCTAGCCCACTTTGGTCCTTCTTGACGTCCTGGGCCTGTGGGCTCGCTTCCTGTCGAGATGCCGAAGGTCAAGTCAGGGGCTGTCGTCCGCCGCCGCGGGCGGCAGGAGCAGCACCGGGAGGTCAAGAGTGCTGGAGGTGCGGATCCCCTCGAGGAAGCTGGGGTCGGATCAGGTCTTCCGGCAGGACCGAGCCTGGGGTGCGGACCGAGACCTGATCCGCGGAGGCCGGTCAGTACCCGCTCCCGTGAGCGTGGAAGACCGGGTGGGTCACTGAGCCGGCCGCAGGCCCTGCACCTCGCCGCTGGCCTCCTTTCCAGCTGGAGGATGAACTTTATAAACAGTTTGTCAGTCCTGGCGTGACGTTTCATGGCCCTGGTTGGCCCAGAAATCTTCCCCCTTCCCATCCAGCTTTCTTCTCTGCGACAGTCTAATATCTCATCTCAGTAGGAAAATTAAGGCTGTTTCGTGTTTTCTTACAGGACTCATGTTCAACACGGGAATTGGGCAACACATTTTGAAAAATCCTCTCATTATTAACAGCATTATCGATAAGGTGGGTGTGGAAGAGGAAAGGGAGAGAGTTGTTGGTTTATTAATTTCATTCCTATGAATACATAAGCGCAGAAAGTCTGCCTGCCATAAAATAGATACTCTGTAAATATTTGTTGAATGAATCAAATAATTGTGTAGAATTCACCGGCTGTCTTCTATATGTTAAGCTTCGTTCTGTGGGTTTCAGTTTCTCCTGGTTCCCAATTCTGTGTCTTTTTATGGATTATTACTTTATAGCTGGATCTTTGTATTTGTTCAAGATAATTCTTTCTTCCTTTTTTTTTTGACTCAGTTTTGCTCTTGTTACCCAGGCTGGAGTGCAATGGTGCAATCTCAGCTCACTGCAACCTCCGCCTCTGGGTTCAAGCAATTCTCCTGCCTCAGCCTCCCGAATAGGGGGGATTACAGCCATGTGCCACCATGCCCGGCTAATGTTTTGTATTTTTAGCAGAGACGGGGTTTCTCCATGTTGGTCAGGCTGGTCTCAAACTCTGGACCTCAGGTGATCTGCCCACCTCGGCCTCCCACAATGCTGGGATTACAGGCGTGAGCTACCACACCTGGCCTATTTTTCTATTTCTAATCCCCTTTTTGATCACTTTTAGTTTTTATGTACTTCATCTATTTATGTCTAAGCCACACATTAGAAAGTTTGTTTCCCAGAAAAACATGTAGTATCCTGTATAAATTGTTTGGTGTATTCGAGTGCCACATATGAATTACTCGAAGTATTACTCCTGTCTGGGTTATTGATGTTGTCTTATGGTTATGGATGATTGGGTGCTAGGAAATGAAATATACATGGTGCAGAGTACACTTGTGGTTACAAGCAAAGAGAGCAGCCTGGAGCTTTACACAGAAAGAGCATTACATAGTTAAAGATCTTGTCAGGCTTCATATCATTTGAAAAATGAGAGAAAAAAATGAAGGTTGGTGTACCATTTTAATTTTTTTAGTTCATAGTTTCCTTTGAGCATCTAATGAAAGCTGTGGCCCTAGAATATTATAGCTGTGTGCAAACATTCAGTTTTGTGTACAGTTTCTGCTCTTCTGTGTCCTTGAAAACACACATGGGTTGAGAACTGAAAAATCCCCATCCAACATGTACAGTCCTTTCCTGTTTGAAGTTGTTAATGTGAACAGAGAAGGTAACAAGAGGCTATTGGAATATTTCTAGATAGAAAGCAGAATGCCAATCCCAGAAATGCTGTTCCTGCTTTTCTGACTTCTAAAGTTGAGCAGTATTCCTCCAAGTTAGAGGTCTTAGATTTTCATTTACACCAACTGTTATTGAAGTAATTTTGTTAACCACATAGATCATAAAGAAATCTAAAAATGGAGTCAGAGTAAAAGCTCTTAACAGAGCACATATAAGTAAAGAGCACATATAAGTAAAGATGCTCAGGTGTAAATTAACTTCTGTGTTCTGATGTGCCAGAATAGCTAAAATGGCTGTGCTTGCTTTTAGGCTGCCTTAAGACCAACTGATGTGGTGCTAGAAGTTGGACCTGGAACTGGCAACATGACTGTAAAGTTATTAGAAAAGGCAAAAAAGGTAAAAAGGGGATTTAATGTTTGGTATCACAAATGACTACATTAGCAAGCCCAGCTGGTTTACAATCTGAATGTTTTAACTAATTGCAGTTATTTTAGTAGTAACTCCTGATCCCTCGTTAGAAATTTTGTCTTAGAAAACATGAGATATTTCCGTCAGGAAAACAGTAACCAGGTTAGGTATTTCAACAGGGAATTTTTTTTTTTTTTTTTGAGAGGGAGTTTCATTCTGCCCAGGCTGAAGTGCAGTGATGCGATTCCAGCTCACAGCAACCTTTGCCTCCTGGGTTCAAGAGATTCTCCTGTCTCAGCCTCCTGAGTAGCTGAGATTACAGGCACCTGCCACCACACCTGGCTAATTTTTATATTTTTAGTAGAGATGGAGTTTCCCCATATTGGCCAGAGTGGTCTCAAACTTCTGGCCTCAAGTGATCCACCCATCTCAGTATCCCAAAGTTCTGGAATTGGGGCTGAGTGCAGTGGCTCATGCCTGTAATCCCAGCACTTTGGGAGGCTAAGGAGGGCGGATCACAAGGTCAGGAATTCAGGACCAGCCTGACCAAAATGGTAAAATGCCAACTCTACTAAAAATACAAAAAAAATTAGCTGGATATGGTAGCATGAGTCTGTAATCCCAGCTACTAGGGAGGCTGAGGCAGGAGAATCACTTGAACCCAGGAGGCAGAGATTGCAGTGAGCTGAGATAGAGCCATTGCACTCTAGCCTGGGCAACAGAGCAAGACTCTGACTCAAAAAACAACAACAACAAATTGCTGGGATTATAGGCATGAACCACCATGCCCAGCCTCCACGGGGAATTTAGGAAGGAAATACCCAAGCCCTCTCCCTTGTACCCTGGTGCCTTTCACTAGCCATTTCCAACCAGACGTTGAAAGGTAAGGCAGAGAAAAGTTGATAATAGACCTGGGAGGGCCTTTCTCAGTGGCTCACACCTGTAATCCAAGCATTTTGGGAGGCTGAGGCAGGTGGATGGCTTGAGCCCAGGAGTTCGAGACCAGCCTGGGCAACATGGTGAAACCCCATCTCTACAAAAAATTGTCCTGATATGGTGGTGCATGACTGTAGCCTCAGCTACCAGGGAGGCTGAGGTGGGAGGATTACCTGAGCCTGGGAGGTTGAGGCTCCAGTGAGCCATGATCCCACCACTTGACTGTAGCCTGGGTAACAGAGTAAGACCCTGTCTCAAAAAATAATAAATAAAAATAAAAATAAAGATATATCTGGGAGCCAAACAGAATAAGCAGCACATTGTACCCTGTAAACACAGTCTGCATAGAAGTAGAGCCAGGCACTGTGGCTCACATCTGTAATCCCAGAAGTTTGGGAAGCTGGGGCAGGAGGATTGCTTGAAACCATGAGTTTGAGACCAGCCTGGTCAACAAAGTGAGACCCCATTTCTACAAAAATTAAAAAAGAGGCTGGGCATGATGGCTCATGCCTGTAATCCCAGCACTTTGGGAGGCTGAGGTGGGAGGATTGTTTGAGTCCAGTTTTGAGACCAGCCTGGGCAACATAGTGAGACCTGTCACTATAAAAAATAAAGAAAGAAAATTAATTTGGTGTGGTGGTACACACCTGTGGTCCCTGTTGCTCAGGAAGGTGAGGTGGAAGGATTGCTTGAGCCCAAGACTTCTAGGTAGCAGTGACCTATGATAGTGCTGCTGCACTCCAGCCTGGGTAACAGTGAGACCCCATCTCTTTTTTTTTTTTTTTTTTAACACATCTTATTTTATTCAGATAGCAGTCTGATCACACATGGTCCAACAACACTCAAATAATAAATCAAATATAACCAGATGTTAAAGATTGGTCTTCAAACATCATAGCCAATGATGCCACGCTTGCCTATGATCTCTCCAACATAAAACCACATCAACACCTCAGTGGCCACCAAACCATTCAGCACAGCTTCCTTAACTGTGAGTTGCTTGAAGCTACCAGTCTGAGCACTATTGACTATTTCTTTCAGGCTCTGAATAGCTCTAGGGATCTCAGCAGGGGTGGGAGGAATCAGCTCAACCTTGGCATAGTACCAAAATGTGGCCAACTGAGGCTTCAAATAAGTCACAGAAGTGTTCACCAGCGCTGGAGTCTTCTCCACAAGGTTACGGATAAATTGGGCCATGGTTCTGGGATGGTAAGTCTGTCGCCCCAAACGGCCGGCTGAATGTGACCCCATCTCTTAAAAAAATTTTTTTTAAAATAAAAAAAGTCAGTGAAACCTCAGCCAAAATTGCAATAAAATTTCAATTTCAGCCTTATTTGACATCCACTTTCATTTACTTGAAAAGTTATCTATATCATATCTTCTGTATCTCAGTAGATGTAACATACTAATAGCAAGAGCGATTGCACTGTACATTCCTCTCTAACAACACTGATTGCACGGCCCTATGGCTTATTTTTACCATCATCTGTTCAATTACAAAGCATAGAGACAGATGAAACATGATTCTATTGATTATATGGGTAGAACTCTCACATAATCTGGTTGTCTACTTTTCTGGGTGGTGGTTTTTGTTTGTTTTTTTGAGATGGGGTGTCATTGTTGCCCGTGCTGGAGTGCAGTGATGCAATCTCGGCTCACTGCACCCTCCACCTCCCAGTTTCGAGTGATTCTCCTGCCTCAGCCTCCCAAGTAGCTGGGATTACAGGCACCCACCACTATGCCCAGCTAATTTTTTGTATTTTTGCAATTTCGGCTGAGGTTTCACTGACTTCTTTTTTTATTTTATCATGTTGGCCAAGCTGGTCTCAAACTCCTGACCTGATGATTTGCCTGCCTTGGCCTCCCAAAGCGCTGGCATTATAGGTGTGAGCCACTGCACCAGGCCAGTATTTGTTATTTGAAGTAGAAGAGTACAATTGAAGGAATTTTTTTTTTTTTTTTTTTTTTTTTTTGAGACGGAGTTTCGCTGTTTTACCCAGACTGGAGTGCAATGGCATGATCTCGGCTCACTGCAACCTCCGCCTCCTGGGTTCAAGTGATTCTCCTGCCTCAGCCTCCTGAGTAGATGGGATTACAGGCACACACCACCATGCCCAGCTAATTTTTGTATTTTTAGTAGAGACGGGGTTTCACCTTGTTGACCAGGATGGTCCCGATCTCTTGACCTCGTAATCCACTTGCCTCGGCCTCTTAAAGTACTGGGATTATAGGCATGAGCCACCGCTCCTTGCCTCCAATTGAAGGAATATTGATGGTTGAAATGCGAAAAGCAGATGGGCCTGTTGGCGCGTGCATCCCAAGGCGGGTGCATCACTTGATGTCAAGAGTTCGAGACCAGCCTGACCAACATAGAGAAACCCCGTCTCTACTAAAAAGACAAAACTAGCTGGGCGTGGTGGTATATGCCTTGTAATCCTAGCCACTCAGGAGGCTGAGGCATGAGAATCACTTGAACCTGGGAGGCAGAGTTTACAGTGAGCTGAGATCCCACCATAGCACTCCAGCCTGGGCAACAAGAGCAATACTCCGTCTCAAAAAAAAAAAAAGGAAAATAAGTTTGTCGCATAAATCATGTAAGAGTTCCTATTGGGATAACAATAAGAGATTTATATTCCAATTAACCTAAATAATTTTTTTTTCAATTAGGTTGTTGCTTGTGAACTTGACCCAAGGCTAGTAGCTGAACTTCACAAAAGAGTTCAGGGCACGTGAGTATACCTTATAGAATTAAAGTGCATTTCGATCTTATGAAACAATATTCTTTTTACATCTCTTCTTTTTTCGTTAGGCCTGTGGCCAGCAAACTTCAAGTACTGGTGGGTGATGTGTTGAAAACAGATTTGCCATTCTTTGATGCTTGTGTGGCAAATTTGCCTTATCAGGTATGTCCACACATTTTCAGGAACATCATACTAAGTGTTTCTCTGATGTGTCTTTCCCAGAAATAATTAGTTAATTCTCTTACAGATCTCTTCGCCTTTTGTCTTCAAGCTGTTACTACATCGACCTTTTTTCAGGTTTGTGACAAAAGACTAGAGTTACTGCCAACTTTTAGAAAGACTTACAATTCAGATGGTGAACATAGCCAAAAATGAAACAGTTGAAAAACTACGGAAGAAGTTTTGTAGAAAATGTTGATTTATATGGAGGTCTTTCTCTCTTTTTAATTGAGAGGTTATTTGGGGCAGTGTGCTGGAAGTCCTGCTTCTGATACCAGATAGCCTTTCCCTATTTTTGAATCTTCCTGCCATTAAGCCTAGGTTAGAATTGTTATTACCTTATGTCTAGACAATTGCAGTGGTTTCCTAACGGGTGTCTAGTGTGAGAGGTCTTCAAAAAGTTCATGGAAAATGTGTATTATGAAAAAACTATGCATGGATTTCCATTTTTTTTTTTTTTTACACCAAAATAAACTCTACTAACTGAACAGGATCTAGTTAGTATAAGGCACTGAGAAGGATAAAACATCAGTTTGAAAAGAGCCCCTATCAGAGCAACATGAATTCTGCTAAAAGTGAAGAACAAACATTCAATTTATGGTGAAGCTTGGTTGGAAGAATGGTGAGATCACTGATGCTCTACAAAAAGTTGATGGGGACATTGTCCCAAAGAAATCAGCAGTTTACAAATGGATAACTCATTTTAAGAAGGGATGAGACAGTGTTGAAGACAAAGCCTACAGTGGCAGACCATCCACATCAATTTGTGGAAAACATTCATCTCTTTTGTTCCCTAAGTGATGAAGAACATTTAACAGCACAAACAATAGCCAACACTATAGACATCTCAGTTGGTTCAGCTTACACAATTCTGACTGCAAAATTAAAGTTAAACAAACTTTCTACTTGATGGATGCCAAAACCATCATACCCTCTCTTCTGAAAGGTTTTACAGGGGAAAAAAACACAAAAAACCATACTCAAATCATCTGCAGATAAAAAGAGCTTCTAGTGAAAATTTTATATAACTGGGATCAAAATTCTGAAACATGGTCGGGTGCAATGACTCACGCCTCTAATAGTAGCACTTTGGGAAGCCAAAGCAGGCACATCACTTGAGGTCAGGAGACCAGTCTGTCTAGCATGGTGAAACCTTGTCTCTACTAAAAATATAGAAATTAGCTGGGCATTGTGGTAGGCACCTGTAATCCCAGCTACTCGGGAGGCTGAGGCAGGGGAATCACTCAAACCCAGGAGGTAGAGGTTGCAGTGGACTGAGATTGCGCCACTGCACTCCACACTCCAGCCTGGGCAACAGAGTGAGACTGTCAAAATAAAAACAAAAGCAAAAAAAACAAGATCCTGAAACATTATTCAAAGAAATAAGTCTTTACCAGCATGATCCTAAAGACAAAGCACAAAGTAATGCTTACCCAGAGGCAGAAGGGGTCCAGTCAAAGCAAACGTAGACCAGTCAAGAGCGAAGGTCACGGCAAATTTTTTTTGGAATGCTCCAGGCGTTTTGCTTGCTGACTTTCTTTAGGACCATAGAGTGATAACATCTGCTTATTATAAGAGTGATTTGAGAAAGTTAGCGAAAGATGTAGCAGAATAACTCCCTGGAAAGCTTCCCCAGAGATTCCCCCACCATAATACTTCCACTCCTTGCTCTCATCAAATGAGGGCAGTTTTTTGAATTTCAATGGGAGATGGTCAGCTGTCCACCTTACAGCCCTGATTAGGCTTCTTCTGGCTTATTTTCTTTTTCTTTTTTGAGACAGTCTTGCTCTGGCGCCCAGGCTGGAGAGCGGTGGTGTGATCTGCACTGACTACAGCCGCTACTTCCTGGGCTCAAGCATTCCTCCTACCTCAGCCTCCCAAGTAGCTGAGATTACAGGCATGTGCCACCACACCCAGCTAATTTTTGTATTTTTTTAGAGACGGGTCTTGCCACATTGCCCAGGCTGGTCTCGCACTCCTGAGCTCAGCTATCTGTCTGCCTCAGCCTCCTCAAATGCTGGAATTATTATAGGCATGAACCACCATGCCTGGCCCTACTGATTTATTTTCATTTCCTAATCTTAAAAAATCTTGAAAGGGCACCCTTTTTTCTTCAGTTAATAATGTAAAATAAAGACTGCATTGACTTGGCTAAATTCCCCAGAGCCTCGTTTTGTTGATATAGACTAAAAGGCTGGAATCATCACTTACAAAAGTGTCTTGAACTTGATGGAGCTTATGTTGAATAATAAAGTTTATGTTTTGTTTTTTTTTTTTGAGACAGGCTGGAGTGCAGTGGTGAGATCTCAGCTGACTGCAGTCTCAGCCTCCCTGGGCTGGGCTCATGTGATTCTCCTAACTCAGCCTTCTGAGTAGCTGGGATTACAGGGGTGTACCAGCATGCCTTGCTAATTTTTGTATATTTTTTAGAGACAGGATCTCACCATGTTGCCCCGGCTAGTCTTGAACTCCTGAGCTCAAGTGATCTGCCAGCCTTGGTCTCCTAAAGTGCTGTGATTATACGTATGTGCTACCATGCCTCGGCTTATTTTTATTTTTTAACTCAATATTTCCATGAACTTTGAAGTCACTTTCTACATTGTATACTAGTGTCTTTCAAACTGCAAGTCAAAAACTGTTTAGTGGTTATAAAATTAATGAGTCATGAGCATCCTCTTTTTTTTTAATTAAAAATATTTTTTTAAAATAAAGACGGGGTTTCGCCATGTTGGTCAGGCTGGTCTTGAACTCCCAACCTCAGGTGATCTGCCCGCCTTGGCCTCCAAAGTGCTTGAATTACAAGCATGAGCCACCATGCCTAACCTTTTTTTTTTCTTTTATTAAATAACATGGAATAGAATATATCAGAGGGTAGGGCCAGGCGCCGTGGCTCACGGCTGTAATTCCAGCACTTTGGGAGGCTGAGGTGGGTAGATCACCTGAGGTCAGGATTTCGAGAACAGCCTGGCCAGCATGGCAAAACCCTGTCTCTACTAAAAATACAAAAATTAGCCGGGCATGGTGGCACATACCTGTAATCCCAGCCGCTAGTGGGACTGAGGCAGGAGGATCGCTTGAACTGGGAGGCAGAGGTTGCAGTGAGCCGAGATCTTGCCACTGCACTTCAGCCTAGACAACAGAGCGAGACTCTGTCTCAAAATAAATACACACACACACACACACACACACACACACACGCACGCATTTGTGGCTTGGATTACAGTGCCAAATGTATTTTTTAGTATGACTCATTGTCAAAAGTTTGAATGTCAAGTACAGCTTTGAAGATGTTCTTCTGTTCGTTAACCCTTTCAAAGTCTCCCCATTGCCTGCTGATTAAAAAAGTCTACATCTTTTGGCTAGGTGTGATAGCTCATGCCTGTAATCCCAGCACTTTGGGAGGCTGAGGTGGACAGATCACTTGAGGTGAGGAGTTTGAGACCAGCCTGGCTAACGTGGTAAAACCCCGTCTCTACTAAAAATACAAAAAATTAGCCAGGCATGGTGGCACCCGCCTGTAATCCCAGCTACTCGGGAGGCTGAGGCATGAGAATCGCTTGAACCTAGGAGGCACAGGTAGCAGTGACCGAGATCACGCCATTACACTCCAGCCTGGGCCACAAGACCGAAACTCCGTCTCAAAAAAAAAAAAGTCTACATCTACATCTTTTAACCTGGCAAATCAAGGAGACATTGAACATCACAATCTGCCTCTTCAGCGTTACCTCTTCCTTAAAGGTGTTTGCTACCTGATGTATTTCTACTGAAACAATTTTGTTTCACTTTTTGTTTTCATAGAAGAGGTGATAGACTAGTGCTGGTTTGAAATACCTTCTTATTTAATGAGGGCTTACATTTGCAAGCTATCTTGGGGTGAGGAGTACAGCCAGTATAAAAACAAAGCCTACGGTCTCATTCTGTGGCAATAAAACAAAGGCTGAAAGTGTTCTCCTAACCGTATAATCAGCTGCCAGTGCTTTGCTATTTTTCTACCAAGAAAATTCATTGCAGTGAAAATTCGTTTATAGTTGACAATGACCATTTTCTTTATTCTTTTTTGCTTTCTTTTCAGATGTGCTATACTTATGTTTCAAAGAGAATTTGCCCTCAGACTGGTTGCAAAACCTGGAGATAAGTTATACTGCAGACTCTCAATTAATACACAGCTGTTGGCTCGTGTGGACCATCTAATGAAAGTAAGTGAATTTTGTTTCTTTCCCTTTTTTTCTGAGACACAGTCTTGCTTTGTCACCTAGGCTGCGTGTAGTGGCTTACTGCACTCTCTGCCTCCCAGACTCAAGCAGTCCTCTCACCTCAGTTCCTGAGTAGCTGGGACTAGAGGTGTGCATCACCACGCCCGGCTAATTTTTGTTTTTTTATTCACCTGGGTGCAGGTGGGGTAAGGGTGAAAAGGGCATTAGCCCAGTTTTTGGTATTTTTTAATAGATATAGGGTTTCACTATGTTGCCCAGGTTGGTCTTGAACTCCTGGGCTCAATGATCCATCTGCCTTGGCCTCCCCAAATGCTGGGATTAGAGGTGTGAGCTACAGCACCTGGCCAGTGATTATTATTGAAATAATCTAGCTTAACTCATCCTTGAGCATCTAGTTGTGCCTGCTGTGAGGATAGCATCTTTGGTTACTCAATAAAAGTTGCCTTTGAGAGTACTACTGAAATACGTTTTTATTAACAGGTTGGAAAGAATAACTTCAGACCACCGCCCAAGGTGGAATCCAGTGTTGTAAGGATAGAACCTAAGAATCCACCACCACCCATCAATTTTCAGGTGAGGTTAAAATACTAGCTCATTCACTAAAGGAAAAAAAAGAAGTCCAGGCTGGAAGATGTGTGTCTATAGCAGCAGAAAAATATTAAGTCAACCTAAATATCCAAACATAGGGAAATGTTAATTAGCACACATCCTGTGCTGAAGGAGATGGAATAATTTGATACAAAGTAGTTATGAAGTGAGACCCAGTCTCAAGAAAAAGAATTGACTAAAACTTAGAAAACAAGGTAAAATAAAAATGGTTGTTTTAAAGTAATATTATGGGTAACATGTTTTAATCATAATCGTTTCTGAGATTTAAAAACAAGAAAGACCACTTCATGTAAAACCTTACTAGTCATATTAAAGAAAAACATGATTGTGTGTGTGGTCATTTGGTGGTAAATGGAGTGGTTCATCAGTAACTCCTTCAAGGAGGTTTAGGTGTGTTACACAAGCCTTATCTGAAGTCATGTCTGTTTTGAATCTTATTTTTGAAAATGATTCTTAGATTTAAATAAATAGAGCCATGTTCTTTGTTCAGATGTGGGACAATTTTGTTTTTCTCCTGCCTTCTTTTTTTAAGATGGGGTTTCACTACGTTGCCTAGGTTGAACTTGAACTTTTGGTCTCCATTGATCCTCCCACCTCAGCCTCCTGAGTAGCTGGTACTAAAGGCATGCATTACTGTGCCTGGCTTTATTTTTTCAATTAAAAATAAATATTGTCATGCTTTGACACTTGTCAAAAACAATTCTGAGGAAAAGACATACTCAGTTAAATGCACCAAACTGCAAAAATCAAGTGTATGTCTTACTTTTACATGTGTGTGCCAGCCAGATGAAGATACAGAACATTTTGTTCACTTTAGAAAGTTCTCTTCAATTTTATATATTAAAAGAAAAAATAATACCTAGCAGGCATAGACAAGAACAAGAAGTTTGTAATTTGAAGAAAATATCTATCTTCTATTTCAGGAATGGGATGGGCTAGTAAGGATAACCTTTGTTAGGAAAAACAAGACACTCTCTGCTGCATTTAAGTAAGTATTTCACTAATTTCTAATGTATAAAGGACCAGTGCTCCAGATACTGTGCTAGAATTTGGTCCAAGTGTAAAGATTATGGGTCTGAGACAAACTTTACCTTTTTAACTGTCTTTGGACCTTGGGAGGCAGGAGAACTTAATGAAGTTTGCTGGAGTTTATAGTCAGATAAGGTTTTCTGGTAAAACAGGAAAATACTCCCAAACTCTGACCATACATCAGCTCTAGCTTTTTGTTGGAAAAATGAGGTGATGATGGACCCCTTCCACACTTAATGAAGGATATGTGTCATCTTATTAACCTGGGAAAATGCAACACATCAATTTGGGGTTCAAGGGTAAAAGAGAGGTGAGAGACAGTTTTAAGAGGGCTTGGAGTTTTTTTTTTTTTTTTTTTAGGGAGTGTTTTGTGGAGGGTCTAGAACTTCTCTAAGAATTTTGCACCTTAAGTATAATTAGTGTTTGCTTCATAAGTTTAAATATTCAACAACTTTAAAAATTCCTTAATTTCATCACATGGAACATAGATTTAATGTAATCTAAACTGAAATATTAAACTAGTTCATATATTAGTAAAAAAAGGTTTAAAAAGTATGAAATTATGTATAATAGCTCTCTGACTTTGAAATAGTAACAGTGGCATCACTTTTTTATGCTATAGATCAAGTGCCGTGCAACAACTCTTGGAAAAAAACTATAGAATTCACTGTTCAGTCCATAATATTGTAAGTAGAAAATGTTCCTGCAGTTTCACTGATTTGTTTTTGAATGTCCATTTTTATTCTTGTTGATCTAGCATGAGATTATTTTGTACATTCCATAGGATCCTTAAAAGAGATATGATGCATAACTAGCACAATTTTGACTTGAACTCTGACAGGTCAGTGCTGCTGTGTATCCTGTGGAACAGATAAAGCAGCTTTGGTTACTCTATCCTGTCCTCTAACTACTCACAGTTGCTTTTAGCCATAACAGGATGCAGCAGTTATAGTGTCCTCAAAGCTGTAGATATGTGTAGCTTGAAAAACTTAAGATAACTGTATACGATTTACTGTCCTCGGAATTGTGACCATCTCGTTTTTTGCTCACATAGCAGTTACAAATATAAAGTTATTATTTTCTTTGTAGTTTTTTAAATACCCAGAAATTGAAATAATTAGAATAAAGTTCACACACTCAATACAGATTTCTGATTGTGAACCTCATGGTTATCATTTGTGTAACAATGTCTGTAATGTGATGTTTGCTAGCTTTTTAGCTTCCAGTTTAAACAGAAAAGACAGATAAAGGCCAATTTTCTTTGTATTTTTAATGACTAAGAACCTATGGTTTAATGTATCACAATACTAGCTCCATTTTTTCTTTTATTGGCAAAAGGTCATTAGATAATCTGCCTAAGTGTAATAGAAAAACAGTAAGCTGGATTAAGAAAAATCTTTGAATAAAATATGTGAATTAAGGGTAAAATCCTTAAAACTCCCAAGGCTTGGAGAGGTCACCTCTTTGAGAAAAACGAGGTGGTAAGGTGAAATCTGTAGCAAGAAAATGCATTATTTTGAACGGAGTAACAGTTGCTTTAAAATTTAGTTTACAGTTTTAATTATTTGTGAAGTCTGAAACTAATAACTATTTCAGAATCTTAAAGAAGACAAAGGCTAATATATACATGATTACTAATTCAAGGTATTCCAAGTTTTTGTAAATAAAGATGGGCCACTTAACTAATTTGAGATCCAAGTCTTATGTAAACAATCAGGCTTTGCAAACTTTCATTAACAAATACATTAAAGGTGACTATTTTATGACTTACTGAACTAAAAAAAAGAGTCAAAGTGACCTCATTAAAGATATGTTGTTCATTTATTCTGAATCTTATATTGATAGATAATACCAGAAGATTTCAGCATAGCAGATAAAATACAGCAAATCCTAACCAGCACAGGCTTTAGTGACAAACGGGCCCGTTCCATGGACATAGATGACTTCATCAGGTAATTACATTTTTGTTTTCCTAAGTGTTTACATTTCTTTACTGTGACACCTTCAGATTAGAGATTTTAAAGGCTTTTAAGCGGTATAAGGTGCTACCGGGGAGAGTTATTGCATAGCACTTCCATGGCATGGAATAGTATTTGGTGTAAAAGATGGAGGCTAGTTAGCTGCAGCAGAATGAACATTTCTTTAAGAACAGTAGTAAAGAACAGTCAGAGCCAGAAGATTGCCTTTGTGTTAATATGGTGTGCATGTTCCTCCCTTCCCATTCCCTCCTCAACTCTCATTCATAGTCTTAGTCTTAACAACTTATCCCTCCAAAATAGTCCAAAGGTAGAAAAATCATAATACATGTAACTGGATCTGATTTTATAAATTTCCTTACTGGGAATAGCTGTTGTTAAATCAGTGTTAAGCATACAATAATGTCAGTCACAATCCTACTTGGTTATCTGTTTAGTAATAATACATAGTTACTTTGGTAGCCTGAGGCAAGTTCTACACTTCTAAGATAAAAAGATATCATAATTCCATTATTGAAACCCATTTTAGGAATGAAGTAATATTCCTTTTTCCCTCTTTTTCTTTTTTTCCCCTTCTTTTTCTTTTTCCCTCAAAAAAAAAAAAAAAAGAAAAAGAAAAAAAAAAGGTGTCATAATTATCTAGGTAATTTAGACAAAAATTTGTTTTGCTTGAATTAAGCAAGTAAGTCTTACAAAAATAAAGGCTTCAATTAATTACTCAGGTAATTACTAACCTCTACTTAACTGTTTTTAGTCATTAAAACGTTAACTTTCAGAAGTTCTTGCCTATTTAGCCAATTCACTTTTAAAGCTTCCATGTTCTAGAGGCTGAATAAACAATGAGGGTAGATAGTTATAAATGTCATTAGTTTGACTTTTTCTAAGCTGGAAGCACAGTTCTATATAACCAATACAAATGGAGTTTATATTTTATTGGGTGGCTAGCAGTACTACTGAGTCTTTTTGATGTTAATTCTAGGCATTGAATACTATTCTTAAGTACCTACTTTGCTTTTTTAGACAATTTATCTGGACCTGTTTCTATGGGCCTGCCTAAAAATAACCTCAGGTCTAAAGTGAAATGTTTTATTTTTTCCTTCATTTTCACTAAATTTCCTCAGTTACTGAGCATGTACAGTTTACTAACTAGAATCTAATAAGTACATAGGTATCTACAGAGAGAAACAATGTGTATTTAATTTGAATATAAATAACAGCTCAAGAGAGGAAGAATGGGCATGTAAGATTGGTCATTCATCTGACTTCTGCCAATTCCCAACAGCTTCTTGTTCAGTTACCATGTTGAAATGAAACAAGTGCCAATGAGTTCTTAGCCTGGGATAACAAAAGTCCAAGACAATTTTTTTTTTTTTGAGACAGAGTTTCGCTGTTGTTACCCAGACTGGAGTGCAATGGCACGATCTTGGCTCACCGCAACCTCCGCCTCCTGGGTTCAAGCAATTCTCCTGCCTCAGCCTCCTGAATAGCTGGGACTACAGGCACGTGCCACCATGCCCAGCTAATTTTTGTATTTTCAGTAGAGACAGGGTTTCACCTTGTTGACCAGGATGGTCTCGATCTCTTGACCTTGTGATCCACCCGCCTCGGCCTCCCAAAGTGCTGGGATTATAGGCGTGAGCCACTGCGCCCGGCCAGTCAGTCCAAGACAATTTTAGTCAAATTCATTATAACATATAGGCTATAATGAAAGAAGCACCAGCATGGCATTATTTTAACCAATATATATCTATCTTATAAATTTAGTCAGACAGTAATATTTCTTTTTTTGAGACAGTCTTGCTCTGTTGCCTACGCTGGAGTGCAATGGCACAATCTCAGCTCACTGCAACCTCTGCCTCCCAGGTTCAAGCGATTCTCATGCTTCAGCCTCCCGAGTAGCTGTAAATTACAGGCATGTGCCACCACACCTAGCTAACTTTTATATTTTTAGTAGAGATGGGGTTTCACCATGTTGGCCAAGCTGGTCTCAAATTCCTGACTTCAGGTGATCCACCCATCTCAGCCTCCCAGAGTGCTGGGATTACAGGTGTGAGCCATTGCACCCAGCCAGTAACATTTTTTTAGTAACTAGCATTAGGAGTGGGTGGGCTCTGTAAGCATGCTGTGTTCATGTTTTTCAGAATTGTATAAAACTATATACCATTAGGTGCTACAAATTAGGTTTTCAGTACCGTTCCATTTTGATTTCTTTTTTCAGATTGCTACATGGATTCAACGCAGAAGGTATTCATTTTTCCTAGGCATTTGGAAAACAGAATTTTTCAAGGTCAAGAAATCTACATTTTTTTATATTTGAGAAGATAATGCTTTTGCTTTACTGAGACATTCCTTACTTGACTATTTTTGGTTTAATACTACTACTGCTGTCACCATTTATTATTCTGAATTTTTTAGTTGGAAAGTTCTAAGTATGCAAGTTCTTTTTTGTTTTGGTTTGTTTTTAATATATAACATAGAGCAGGTCCAATCTATTAATAATAATCTTCATGTTCAGGAGCCGCAGATACGCACAACTTTATACTTAAACTTATCATTTCTAACAGTTTATTGTATAAAGATGTTACTCTTCTATTTACTGTGTAATATACTGTGAGGCCTTTTTTAGGTCTGTTCCTCCAGTAGTAAAAAAGTTAAAATATGCTTCACTAGTCACACATTCCCCATACCATTTCATGTTATTCACATTCCCCATACCATTTCTTGTTATTCACATGTACAGTAAAACAACTGTTTCTCATTTTTATTTTGCTTCTCTCATTCTCTTCCCTATTTATCCTATACAATGTCTGTTATGATTGCCTACCTCTTTCGCTATCCTGCAGCATAACAGACTTAGGGTTCTGGGTAAGCCTGAGCCTGCTACTGCCACCAGGCAGTACCAGGCATATTGAGAAGCTAAACTGGAATGAAATTAACATAAAATTACCTTTATCTTTTTAGTTCTTAGGGAGATAACTTAGCAAAATCTCAAAGGGTTTTGTAAATTGAAACTGGTTTTATGTTTGCTTTCAACTTCAGAAAAACAGCCATTTCCCATAACTACAGGTTCCCAGTATTCCTATGATTTCTGGATAACTAAAATTTCCAGTACCTTTTTCATATACCTGGTGCTTAGTTTTAAACTATTTTAAAACTGTCAGATTGAGAATTTCAATAGATGTCATAAACAAGTTTTATTAGCTACTTATGTTTAAATCAATATAATACTAACTGCTGTTAATATACTATAATAAAGAATTATAGTAGCTATTTTATTTCTATAAAAAACTAATAAAAATATCTTTATTTGGCTTTTTTTTTTAAAATAACTAACTTAATATTAATAGAAGGAGTGTTTCCAATTAATTTAACAAAGCCAGATTTTGAAATCTGGCTTCAGAGTCATATAGTAAATGTTACTATATAATTAAAACAATGCTTGTTCTTAACGTTCAATCCAGAACAAAAGCATCAAGCTGCTTTTTTTAAACAAGTATGAAATATACATAAGGGCAAATTTTTTGTTTAATCTCACAAAACTATTTTGCAAAGTTTACTTGTATCATCTCTATCCTTATAGAAAACAATTTAACATTTAACTCGGCTTTCTTAGGTTAGTTCCCTCTACCCCTATAAACTGCTGAGTCTTAGTTCCTTTTCTGGCCTTCAGTTTTAACTATCTGTGTAAAGCTGAAGGACTGTATTATACTACCTTCAAGATCTTTTCTGGTACTAATTTTTTAAATACCGGATCAGAATGAAGCCATCATAGAGTAAGGCAGCATATTTGTCTATAAGGAGACTTTCCAAACATAGTACCCATCCAATGCAAATAATAAATTTGAAGCTAATCTGTTGTGCTTTCAAATGAGCAAATTCACACATCTTTATTGCCCTTTGAAGTTTGGTTAATCTCAAAAACTACTTTTTAAACAGCCTCTGCAAGGTCAATTGTAACAGTTCTCCATTCTTCCTCTTCCCTTTGAAATAAACACAAATAGAATATATCTTACAGCTGCTAGAAAACCTGAGTCCCTTCCAAAACAAAGGTGATTGTATTGAAGTAAATTATCTCTAAAACTCATTCCATAGACTTCATTTATTAATAAGCATATTGTGAAAATCTACATTTGGTTTAGATTTCATGTTTACAGAGCTTTTCACAATTGTATTAGGATCTTTCACAACTACTCTCTGGGTTTTATGAACAATAAAGAATCTGGCTCATATGACTCTCTATTCATAGCTTCCCTTTGGCTCCTATGAATGAGCTGGTAGTTCCCTAGAGTAAATAAATCAAAACAAGATATCCTTGGGAGATTTTTAGTTGTTAATCTACTCCCAGACCCTATCCTGGGAACTGAGGAAAAACTCCTAGAGAGATATACAAAATCTTTTAACAAAATATTTACATGAAAAGTGGCCAGTTTTCTTTCTTAGAGTAGCAATCTGTAAAAATAAGTGCTGCCCTTATTAAAAAGTAGCATGCCCTACACCAATGTACTGTGAGAATTTGGTGATTCTCACCAAATAATGATGAAGCTTCACATTTGGTACTGGATGGAGCTTGGGTTAGATCTGCCTTTTAAGGCAAAGTCAACTCTTTTGCAGCTTAATTCTTTTTCAAGGGTGTAATGTACTGTCTACACTTGGCTTAAACTAACTTCTATTATGGACTACTTTCAATGTACATGTAAATGTTCATGCATCAGAAGCCAATTTCCTTTAACAGTACATAGAAAAGGTATGTTTTAGGGTGCTAATGAACACTTCAAATTAAGTAATCATATTGATAAGGATCAAATTGCACTATTAGTCTTGTTAATACCACACTGGCACACACACTGCATATATATGTATTTTCCTAAGATAAAACTCTTCTCAGAATTTCATTACTTTTTATTATACACCAACTAGTTTATATTTTAGTTCTTTACAAAGAAAATGCTAAGAAAAATTATAATCACATGTTATATGGTTTTAAATCATAATTCCAGATTTCTTTACATATAAGATGGAATGGTCCAGCAGCTATATCCACTGTCACAGACTTTAGTTCCGTTCAATGATATGGCACATCCTGCAAAATTAACTAGTCACACACAAATAATGTCTCAAATACAGTAAAAATGTACACACAAAGGTAATTTACAATGACAAATAAGGAATGTAATTTTTCTTGGCTGTGCTTCAGAAATTTAGGGTCAGTAGCCTTAGTCAAGGCACAAAGCAGGAAAAGGTGGGCACAGCTGTCTCTAGGAGTCGGCAAGGTATGTACAGTCACTGATGAGGTATGCATGCACGCAAAGGATTAAAAACTGCTCAGTCTCACTACAAAAACTGAACTGAGTTAAAAGGAAATGCTGTGGCTTCCCCCTACTATCTGGCTCTGGATTGAGTCCACAGTCTTACTTCATCATATAGAAAATAAAATTGACAAGGATCTCCAAAAGTAAATCACTATTTGCATAAATGAAACAAAATGCTTCATTAATCCCAATTCTTGGTTGTGCCTCCTGGACTAGAAGCATTTTGTAGACAAAAGAGTGTTTCACAAAATTGAAATGTAATTTCAGGTGAAGGACAAAACATTTTCCACAGACACTTTAAAATTTCAAACTTTCAAATGGCCCTTACAGCTGAACCGTTTTATGTTACAGTAGTGAGGGTTCTGGGGATCCTTTAGCAGCAAATGCTGGTTTAAAGGGCACGGGGTCTCTTCGGGTTGATTTGCTTGCTGGCTTGTTCCTCTTCTTGTAGAGCTGCACGGAAAGATTTCACTTTATCTTGGAAAAATGAAAGAAAGAGGGAATAAGTATTGTGTTACATGCAGTAAGAGTTTACAACAGTAACTCAGTATTTTTCCTTTTGTTCTCTGTTGTCTAGAAACTCAGAACTAAATACAATGCTCAACTATTGCAAAAGTTTTGTTACAGATTTCCAGAAATACCTATGTTTTTTTTTTTTTTTTTGAGACAGAGTCTCTCTCTGTTGCCTAGGCTGGAGTGCAGCAATCTCAGCTCACGGCAACCTTTGCCTTCCAGGTTCAAGTGATACTCCTGCCTCAGCCTCCCGAGTAGCTTGGGTTACAGACAGCATGACACCACACTCAACTAAGTTTTATATTTTTAGTAGAGACAGAGTTTCATGTTGGCCAGGCTGGTCTCGAACTCTGACCTAGTGATCCACTTGTCTTAGCCTCCCAAAGCGCTGGGATTATAGGCGTCAGCCACCACACCCAGCCTCCCGAAACTTAGGCTATAAAGATTTAAAATGTATTTGAATTTTTAGAAATTTACATTTTTTCTTCATTGTGAGGAAGGGGGATTATGAAGTGGGGATGACAAAATGATATATTTCTTGCTTTTACATTCTTTTCGGTCATGTACTGATCTAGAGTCATATAACAACTAGAAATAGGTTAGTAAATTGTCAGACAAATTATATGTAGCTATGAAGATAAGCCATCACAGTGGCTCTCAACTAAATGTGATTTTTGGCCCCCAGTGGGCATTTGGTAATGTCTAGAGGCATTTTTGGTTATTTCAACTGTTGTGGTGCTACTATCATGTAGTGGACAGAAACCAACAATGCTGGTAAATATTGTATAAGATACAGGATGACACTCCTCAACAAAAAACTGCCTAGCCCAAATGTTGTTAATAGTGCCAAGGTTATAAAACCCTACTCCATAGATTTCAGAAGAAAAGAAAGTTGCAATCTCAATTTTCCTCCCCTTTTTTGGAAGTACAGTGATGTTTAAAAAGTTAACTTTTGAAATTTAGAAATAAATTTAAGGACTTCTGGATTTGGTGCTCTTAAACTGTTACTTTTTTTTTTTTTTTTGAGACAGTCTTGCTCATTCGCCCAGGCTAGAGTGCAATGGTATGATCTTGGCTCACTGCAACCTCTTCCCCCGGGTTCAAGTGATCCTCCTGCCTCAGTCTCCCGAGAAGCTGGGCCTACAGGTGCATGCCACCATACCTGGCTAATTTTTGTATTTTTAGTAGAGATGGGATTTCACCATGTTAACCAGGATGGTCTTGAACTCCTGACCTCAGGTGATCTACATGCCTTGGCCTCCCAAAGCTCTGGGATTACAGGCACCCGGCCCAAATTGTTCTTATGCATCTCAAATTTATCTCTGGGTGGTTAAAAAAAATTCTAAGGACTGAATAATGCCAATATAGCTGGATAGTAATTTTTTATAAGTTATGGATATGCTTGATATACATGAAATTTGAGAAAAGGAAAGGAAGTCAATTAAGTTGAATGCTACAAAGAAAAAATACTAGAGTGTATTATGACCTGTCTTCTGAATGGATACAGAAGCTATTAGTAAATTACTGTAGATTAGAAAAATGAAAAAAACAATTTAAATAAAGGCTTGAATATGAACAATATGAGAAACAAATGAAAATTTTAGTTCAATAGTCACTGCAGACTTTACGGAATATGATTTTAAATAACTAACTTCATAACCAGTCAGCAACATGTATGTGTTGAAAATCTCAAATCCAGAAATGTGGCAGGGTGCAGTGGCTCACACCTATAATCGCAGCACTTTGAGAGGCCAAGATGGGCGGATCACCTGAGGTCAGGAGTTCAAGACCAGCCAGGCCAATATGGTGAAACGCTGTCTCTACTGAAAATACAAAAATTAGCCAGGTACAGTGGTACACATCTGTAATCCCAGCTACTCGGGAATCTGAGGCAGGAGAATTGCATGAATAATACAATATGTCTAGATGGTAATTCTTAAAAGTTATGGTGGGAGGTGGAGGTTGCAGTGAGCTAAGATTGCCACTGCACTCCAGCCTGGGTGACAAAGTGAGACACCGTCTCAAAAACAAAACAAAACAAAAAAACCCTGAAACCTGAAATCCCAAACTTTTGGTATAATGCAAATATTCAAAAATCTGAAATCCAAAACACTCTTGTTTCAAGTTTTCAGATAAGGGATACTCAACTTGTATATACTTCAAAACATCATGTTGTACTTAATAAATATATTTTTATCTGTCAATTTTTAATTTTTTGAGACAGGATCTCACTGTGTTGCTCAAACTAGAGTGCAGTGACATGATCCTAGCTCACTGCAGCCTCAAACTCTTAGGATCAAGTGATCCTCCTTCAGCCTCCTGAGTAGATGGGACTACAGGCAGGTGCCACTATGCCTGGCTAATTTTTTAAATTATTTTTTTAGAGACAGGATCTCTATATTGTCCAGGCTGGGATGTCAATTTAAATAAATAAATAAATTTGAAAGAAAACCCTTCAAAACAACTAACCAACTTCACAAAGGGCCTCCTTAAAAAAAATTAAGCAGCTTATTTAACTGCCCCAAACTAGGAATTTAATTCTGGCTTATGTTGGATTGCATGTACACACACACACACATACAGATACTCACTTACACATAAACAGAGCCAATAGTGTACAAATGCCTAAAAAATTAACACATAAAGTAATGCATAGCTGAAGCTACACAGATAAGCTAACTAAAAAAACAAAAGGACACGGTTTAGTAGGTAAGGCACATGCTTCCCTTCAGGAGTAAGGTATTAGAGAGTAGTCATCTTGACACTTCATTTAAAAAACGTGGCCCAGAGGCCAAGTGTGGTGGCTCATGCCTGTAATCCCAGCACTATGGGAGGCCAAGGCAGGGGAACTGCTTGAGCTCAGGAGTTTGAGACCAGCATGGGATCATCCCAGCTAATTTTCAATTTTTTGTAGGGATAGCAACACCCCATCCCTACAAAAAATTGAAAATTAGCTGGGTGTGGTGGCTTGTGCCTGTAGTCCCAGCTACTCAGGAGACTGAGGTGGGAGGACTGCTTGAGTACAGGAGGTTGAGGCTGTAGTGAGCCATGATCACACCCCTGTGCTCTAGCCTGGGCAAGAGTGAGACCCAAAAAAAGACAGAAAGAAGGTAATTCTCATAAGCATCAGCCTATCAAACTAAAGATCTGAATAGGTATATAAAATTTATAAATTTGTTAAAAACACATTTTCTCTCTTTAATTAAAATGTCTGACTTAAAATATGAAAAGAAAGATGACTAGAGAAGACTTGAAATGATATGCCATGACTTTTAGAAAAACCAGAATGGTTAGCTGTCTTTATACCTCTGGAAAGTAGGTGCTAAACAGTGCCCATAATTTTCACTTCATATGTCCTCTTGCAATATGAAACCCTCTCACTCATATACATACCAATACCAATCAGATTTCAAATATTAAAATGGAAAAAGAATTACCCCGCAGCTCAGTTAAAATGTCTATTTTTTGCTCAAGAATAGCTTCAAGTTGTGTGGCATATGAATCGACATCATAGTCTACTTCTTCAGTCATCTCTAAGAGAGCCTTTTCATCTTCTAACCATCGAATAGATTCCTGCAAGGACAAAAATTCAATAATCCAACAAGCCTCTTTGTAAAACAGAAACCAAATTATAATTCTGTTAAATATAATCAAACATGCTTAAGAGAGTATTCTCTAAAATGTCAACAGACATAAAACATCTTTATTCGCAAACAGTACAATTAAGAAATACAGTTGACTCTAAAACAACATGGATTTAAACTGTGTGGGTCTACTTATATTTAGATTTTTTTCAATGAAAGTTACACTGAATATGCCTGCCTCTCCTGCCACCCCTTCTAGTTCCTCTACTTCGGCCACCCCTGAGAAAGTGGGTCCAGCCCACCTCTTCCTCCTCAGCCTAATCAATGTGAAGATGATGAGGATGAAGACCTTTATGATGAGGCACTTCCACTTAATGAATAGTAAATATAGTTCCCTTCCTTATGATTTTCTTCATACCACTTTCTTTTCTCTAGCTTACTTTGTGTTAAGAATACATTATATAACATACATGTAATACAAAATATATATTCATAGACATGTTATTGGTAAGGCTTTTGGTCAATAGGCTATTAATAGTTAAGTTTGGGGGGGCTCAAAAGTTACATATATTTCCAACTGTGCTGGGGGTCAGTGTCCTTAACACCCTAAGTTTTTCAAGGGTCAATGGTATGTCCTTAAAATTTAACACAAACACATCATGAAAGATGGGCTGAGCAAGATCATTTCATTTCTCTACTTTTACTCTACTTTGGATGGGAATTTTGTGGAGGGAATGCATCAAATGCATCAATATCAAAGAGCAGAGTAAGTCTCAAAACCTCAATAGCTGTTCCTAAAATGGGAAGAATATGCCCAATAAAGCTACTAAGCCATTTGATAGGGGCTATGGAGGAAGCCTAGAACCTGACAAATTAATATATCCAATTAGGAACTTACAGTGGTTGGGCCAAGATGTAATAATAAATTCCGGCTGGGCATGGTGGCTCACACCTGTAATCCCAGCACTTTAGGAGGCTGAGGCAGGTGGATCACTTGAGGTCAGAAGTTCCAGACCAGCCTGATTAACATGGTAAAACCCCATCTCTTCTAAAAATACAAATAATTAGCGAGGCGTGGTAACACACACCTGTAATCCCACTTACCGGGAGGCTGAGGCAGGAAAATAGCTTCAACCCAGGAGATGGAGGTTGCAGTTAGCTGAGATCATGCCACTGCACTCTAGCCTGGGCGACAGAGCGAGACTCTGTCTCAAAACAAAAACCAAAACAAGACTAGATCATTCTGAATTAAAGAGCTTTTTGGACATAAAAGCTCTTATATGTGGATTTGCTTTTAGGATGCATACAATCTCAATTTTTCAAACATCAATTGACTTTAATGACTAATTATAACTAGAGTAGCACCATACAGAACTGGTTAACCTAGGTATGTATCTTGATTAGGAAACATATTAATTAGAAAATACAAATATAACAAAAAGAAAAAAAAAAAACAAGAAAATACAAATATACTCCAATTTTTCTTTCTTTCTTTTTTTTTTTGAGATGGAGTTTCACTCTCCTTGCCCAGGCTGGAGTGCAATGGTGTGATCTCGGATCACTGCAACCTCCACCTCCCGGGTTCAAGCAATTCTCCTGCCTCAGCCTCCCGAGTAGCTGGAATTAGCGCCACCACGCCCGGCTAATTATATATTTTTAGTAGAGATGGGGTTTCTCCATGTTGGTCAGGCCGGTCTCAAACTTCTGACCTCTGGTAATCCGCCCGCCTTGGCGTCCCAAAGTGCTAGGATTACAGGCGTGAGCCACCGTGCGTAGCCATATACTCCCAATTTTTCTTTCCTTTTCCTTCAGCTATACACTTAATTTTGGTTTAACAAAACCTTATTTTGTGAAATGGCAGATCATAATACAGAGGAATGATATAGGGAATTGTAAAAAGAGTACTGGGTTGAAAGTTAGAACACCCAATTTTACCAATAAACAGCTGTGAGACTTTAAAAAATGGCAGAGTGGGAAATGATGGTCTTTATATAACAACTTGTTCCAAAAGAGCACAGATGACAATCATTTTTTCTTTTTTTTTTTTTTAATAGAGATGGGGTTTTGCCATGTTGCCTAGGCTGGTCTTGAACTCCTGGGCTCAAGCAACCCACCCACCCTGGCCTCCTAAAGTCCGGGGATTACATGTGTGTAATTTTCTTAAATTATTAGTGCCCTTTCTCTACTTAAACACCTGGGCTTCTAGAGAAATTCTCATAATAAGAATTTGACTAAAACTCTAGAGTTTTTGGTTTTTGAGACAGGGTCTCACTCTGCTGCCCAGGTTGGAGTGCAGTTGTGCGATCTCAGCTCACTGCAACTTCTGCCTTCTGGATTCAAGGAATCCTCCTACCTCAGCCTCCTAAGTAGCTGGGACTACAGGTGTGCTCTATCATGGCCAGATAATTTTTGTATTTTTTTGTAGAGACAGGGTTTCAGCATGTTGCCCAGGCTGGTATTAAATTTCTGGGCTCAAATGATCCACCAGCCTCAGCCTCCCAAAGTGCTGGGATTACAGGCATGAGCCACTGAGCTTGGCCAAACTCTAATAGTTTTAATGAATGTATATCCTAATCTGACATAAAGTGTTCTCTGTCATTTTTGAGCCCTTTATCCAGGTTCTTGAATGATCTGGAGCTGAAGTTCCTTTGGTTAGTGACAAAGATTTCTTCAATGTCAAATTAAAAATACAGGTCAGTAAGGGAGACAGTTATTGCTTTTTTCTCAAGAAGTGTTCATAGTACTTCAGGAGGGTGGGGGCAGCAGAGTGCAAAGCAAGTCAACTGTATAGTCTTCATAAAGATGTACAAATGATATCTTCACTTCCTCAAATATCACCATGATAGGACATTTTCTTGTTTAAAAAGAAGGGGAGCAGAGTATCATATACTAAGTACTTTTAACAGGTTGAATGCATAATAGGATGAATGCCTAAGGAGTTACTGCCTACTGGTGGTGACATAACACCCTTCACTCAACTTGCCACTGACAGCTCAGAGCAGTAACTCTCCATCTCATGAAGTAGTCTATCTTTTCTGCAATAACTGATATTTCCTCAACTGCTCCAAAACCCTTCATAAGAATTTTTCTTAACTGTTATCAAATAAATTGGCCTAACATTTAGAAAGAAGTACTCATGGGCAGAAGTACACTCTTCTCTAAAAATGGACAAATGACAAAAACCAATAAGGAGGATGGGAGGTAAATAAAGTAATCTTTCACCATGGTGCAAAGAAATGTTATTTGTAGCCATCATTCATTGTATTCAAAGTTTGTCATGCCGTATGCCTTATAAATACACATATACATATATATAAATACGTATTTTTTTAAAGAATAGTGTGATATTTAAGGAATTACAAAAATTCTTCATTTATCTCAAGAAATATTTTGATGAAAAGTTCTGTCTTACTTTACCTGGAACACTGCCCTGTGATCTTCTACAACTTGTTCTTCCATTTCTACCATTTGTGAGACAGCTTCATGGAAAGTAAACAGTTGTGGAGAAACTTCTTCTTCCTTAAAATAAAAACAGTTAAGAAATTATGATACAGTGTGTATTTTAAATGTTATAAAAGTAGTTTTTCAATATCATTAACAAAAATGTCATTTAGAAATTGAAGAGACTTGAATGTTGAAGGCTACTAAAATATATATGAAAGGCAAAACCCACAATTTCTTTCTTTGGGTAAAAATATGCAATTCTCAACAAGACAACTCAATCAGATGAGTAGGGAATAATTTTCACTTAAACCAAGGTTTACTGCTGAACTACCCTAAAAGAGTGCTCTCTTTTGGAACAGCCCAACTTTTCAAAAATACTTTTATTGCAGGCTGTAAATGTACTGAAATATTTTCTTAGTATTGCCTACTTTTCACTAACAATTTAATTTACATGTATATCTTAAGTTTCCTTTTTTAAAAGAGATATGAAGATAATATCTTTAGATGAGGTATATTTACCAGTTTTTACAGAAATTTCAATGGACAATTCACAATTTTACTTCATCAACAAAAAACAGATATGGTTGACTCTAGAACAATACAGGTTTGAACAGTGCTGGTCCACTTTTATCTGGCTTCCAACTGATGCAGATTGAAAATACAGTATTTGAGATATGTGAAATCTTCATATTCAGAGGCCCAACTTTTCATGTTTGCAGGTTCCACGGGGCCAACGGTGGAACTTGAGTATGTGCAATTTGGGTATATTCAGGCAGTCCTGGAACCAATTCTCTATGTTATAACTGAGGAACAAAGGCATATAATACATTCATATTTTCATCCTTTTTTTTTTTTGAGACGGAGTTTCGCTGTTGTTACCCAGGCTGGAGTGCAATGGCGCGATCTTGGCTCACCACAATCTCCACTTTCTGGGTTCAGGCAATTCTCCTGCCTCAGCCTCCTGAGTACCTGGGATTACAGGCGCATACCACCATGCCCAGCTAATTTTTTGTATTTTTAGTAGAGACGGGGTTTCACCATGGTCTCGATCTCTTGACTTCGTGATCCACCCGCCTTGGCCTCCCAAAGTGCTGGGATTACAAGCGTGAGCCACCACGCCCGGCCATATTCATATTTTCATCCTACAGCAAGTCAAAACTTCTCTGATCCCAGGCCATGTTCAGATGACGATTTAAAAAAAAAAAAAAAAAAACAATAAAAACTTTGGCTGGGTGTGGTGGCCCACACCTGTAACCCTAACACATTGAGAGGCGGAGGCAGGTGATCACTTGAGGTCAGGACTTTGAAACCAGCTTGGCCATCATGGTGAAACCCCATCTCTACTAAAAAATACAAAAAATTAGCTGGGCATGGTAGTGTGTGCCTGTAATCCCAGGTACTTAGGAGGCTGAGGCAGGAGAATCATTTGAATCCTCGAGGAGGGTTGCAGTGAGTCAAGATTGTGCCACCACACACTCCATCCAGCCTGTCAGACAGTGAGACACCATCTCAAAATAAAACCAAAAAAACTCTGATCTCTAGAGCATGTCTTAGATGCTGTTCCATTTTCATCTACTTTGTTAAGACAATATAGCAATAAGAATATGTACATATGCACCAATAAGTAACTAAAGGCTAATGCTGAGTCATCACAAGATAATGCCCCAGAGGTGGCAAAGGTGACAGAAATGCACACTCTCTCAAACATGGAGGCTGTAAAAACTCAAGATGCCATACTCCCCTGGATTAGTTCTGGTTGCCTAACTAACCTCTCCAAATTAAGGCTCTACAAAGGCCCAACAGATGCAAGAATAAAATGGAAAGATTTGCTATAGGGAGTGCTTATCTTGCTCTGGTTTTCCACATCTTTGGGATATGTAACATATCTAGATGCAATGCAGGGTTTGCTTTAAAGAATCTAAAAGCAACTATAGTCTTTCTTAAAAATTCTGGACACAAGTGATAGACTGAGACCAGGATCTCATTTTTAGTTTCTACGGTTCAAAGTTTAGAACTATTACTTGAACTAGGTTTTCCCAGTCTTGGAACTACTGACATTGTGTGGGGGTAACGTGAGGACAGTCCTGTGCACTGTACGATGTTCAGCAGCATTCCTGGCTCTACCCACTGTATGCTAGCAGCATCACCTCACTGGTGACAACCAAAAATGTCCATACATTTTGCCTTGGGGGGCCAAACTATTCCTAGTTAAGAACCACTGCTTTACGTTCTGCTTTAGTAATAGTGATTTGGAACACGGTAACAAAAAGTAGTATGTGTAATTGTTACTCTAGAATATTTTGGACTAAATATCTGCTACAAAGTATTAGAACTAACTAAAGGTATGTTGTTTTCAAAGAATACCATATTGTAGGTAGCAATCAGTTTAATTGATACAAAGTTTGGTGCTGGAATAAGAGCTAAGTTTCAATCCTGGCTTCCGTACTTACTACTTACAAAATCTTGGTCAAATTATTTAAACCTTAATAATTAATATATCAGTTATAAAGTAGGGATAATTATAGTACCTACTACACTGAGTTATGATGAAGATCAGATAATAAATAAAATGCTTAGCAATGTATGTCATGTAGTTAGCAACTAATCAATGCTAACTTATAACATGAGAAAATGCCATGATAAGAGTTGGTGGGAACAGAATGAAACAAAACTGCATAGAATATGCATTTTTTTTTTCTAGACAGAGTCTTGCTCTGTCGCCAGGCGCCAGGCTGGAGTGCAGTGGCGCCATCTTGACTCACTGGAACCTCCGCCTCGCAGATTCAAGTTATTCTCCTGCCTCAGCCTCCCGAGTAGCTGGGACTACAGGCACACGCCACCATGCCCAGCTAATTTTTGTATTTTTTTTTGTAGAGGCGGGTTTCACTATGTTGGCCAGGATGGTCTTGATCTCTTTACCTCATGATCCACCCGCCTCGGCCTCCCAAAGTGCCGGGATTACAGGCGTGAGCCACTGTGCTCAGCCCAGAATATGCATTTTAAAAACACACCTTTACAGCTCACACACAGAACACTCTCAATACATTAAAAGCAATTATGTGACAATGTATTATATATATACCTTTTTATTTCTTTATTCTTTCTGTCCTTATACAATGGGCAGGTATTTTATTTTTTTTTAGCAATTGGGGAATCAAAAATTTAAATTATAAAGTAATATTAAAAATTTCATATAGAAAAAGCAACCAGATTTAATAAATCTTAGCATTTTGCTGTTTGATTTTATTTGTTTGTTTATTTATTTATTTTGAGATGGAGTTTCGCTCTTGTTACCCAGGCTGGAGTGCAATAGTGCAATCTTGGCTCACTGCAACCTCCGCCTCCTGGGTTCAGGCAATTCTTCTGCCTCAGCCTCCTGGGTTCAGGCAATTCTTCTGCCTCAGCCTCCTGAGTAGCTGGGATTACAGGCACGTGCCACCATGCCCAGCTAATTTTTGTATTTTTAGTAGAGACAGGGTTTTACCTTGTTGACCAGGATGGTCTCGATCTGTTGACCTTGTGATCCACCCGCCTCGGCCTCCCAAAGTGCTGGGATTACAGGCTTGAGCGACCGCGCCCGGCCTTGCTGTTTGATTTTAATACAGTACATGCATACTTTCAATATAGATGCATGGCCGGGCATGGTAGCTCATGCCTGTAATCCTAACAATTTGGGAGGCCAAGGCAGGCGGATCATGAGGTCAAGAGATTGAGACGATCTTGTCCAACATGGTGAAACCCCGTCTGTACTAAAAATACAAAAATTGGCCAGGCATGATGGCATGCGCCTGTAATCCCAGCTACTTGGAAGGCTTAAGCAGGAGAATTGCTTGAACCTGAGAGGTGGAAATGGAGGTTGCAGTGAGCTGAGATCACACCACTCCACTCCAGCCTGGGCAACAGAGTGAGACTCAATCTCAAGGGGAAAAAAAAAAAAAAAAAAAGACGCATATGTCTACAATTCTTTTGTTTTTAAGCCTTTTTTGGGGGGAAGGGGCAAGGGGGATGGAGTCTCACTCTGTTGCCCAGACTGGAGTGCAGGGGCAATATCTTGGCTCATTGCAACTTCTGCCTCCCAGGTTCAAACGATTCTTGTGCCTCAGCCTCCTGAGTAGCTGGGACTACAGGCACATGCCACCACAGTAGGCTAATTTTTGTATTGTTAGCAGAGACAGGGTTTCACCACGTTGGCCAGACTGGTCTTGAACTCCTGACCTCAAGTGATCTGCCCACCTTGGCCTCCCAAAGTGCTGGGATTACAGGCATAAGCCACCATGCCTGGCCTGTTTTTAAGCTTTTTAATAAGGTATTTATTATATGTCTAATTTTAAATGTTGTTTTTCCCTATATTACTTTAAAAATTTCCCAAATTGTAATATCAGACAAAAATCTGAGGGGAAAAAGAATAAATAGTTTAGATTGGGGGCTGGAAACTTCCTTAAAGGGCTAGGTAATACATGTTTTGGGTTTGTAAGCCACAGTCTCTGTACTGCTGTTACAGTAAGAAAGCAGCTGGACAATCCTTAAGAGAGTAAGCATGGATACGTTCCAATAAAATTTATTTGTAAAAACAGATGGCTGGCCCATAGGCTGTAGTTTGCTGACCCCTGACTTATTTATTCATTTATTTTAAGAGACGAGGTCTTGCTCTGTCAGCTAGCCTAGAGTGCAGTGATGCTATGACAGCCCACTGTAGCCCAGAATTCCTCTGTTCAGGCAATCCTCCTGCCTTAGCCTGCCTAGTAGCTAGAACAACAGGTGCATACCACTACACATGGCTGATTTTTAAATTTTTTGTAGAGAAAGGGTCTCATTAAATTGTCTAGGCTGGTCTTGAACTCCTGGCCTCAAGCAGTCCTCCCACCTCAGCCTCCCAAATTGATGGGATTATAGGCTTGAGCCACCACATCCACAGCCTGACTCCTCATTTAAATGATAGTTTTCAGTTAAGTTCTGCTACTGATGAAATGAACTAAGATTATATCATTTACAATTATAGTAAGTCACTCACATTTTGTTCACAAAGAAGTTTTAGATCATCTCTCTGAGGGGAACTCCCCACACCCCACTGTGTCTCTAAGTCATCAATCTGGTTTGGTGGATGGTGCATTATTGGACGAACATCACCAGCAGCAGTTGGATCTACAGTCAGTTCTTTCACCCTATAAATACATAAGAGGTATCAAAGTTAAAAACACTCATGCAGAGGAACAAGAAAATACCAACCTATTCAATATATATGCAATTCAGTTTAACATACTAAGATTGATGATGTCACCTTTATAGATAAAATTTATCTGAAATCTGTAGAAACACATAAATGGTTGTTTAATTTTAAGAAATCTGCTTAGACAACTTTATATAATTCATATTATATTGATTAATTATATCAAATATAATTATTGTGCAAACTAAACGAGAATTAACAAAGTATGGGGAGATTCAGTATTCAAAGAAAAAACTTGTTGCAATTAAAAGTTGTGTTTTTTTTTTTTGAGACGGTGTTTCGCTCTTGTTACCCAGGCTGGAGTGCAAAGGCGCCATCTCGGCTCACCGCAACCTCCGCCTCCTGGGTTCAGGCAATTCTCCTGCTTCAGCCTCCTGAGTAGCTGGGATTACAGGCACGCGCCACCATGCCCAGCAAATTTTTTGTATTTTTAGTAGAGATGGGGTTTCACCATGTTGACCAGGATGGTCTCGATCTGTTGACCTTGTGATCCACCTGCCTCGGCCTCCCAAAGTGCTGGGATTACAGGCTTGAGCCACCATGCCCGGCCTAAAAGTTTTTTTAACTTTCAATTTTTTTACTACTGGCTCATCAAAGTTGATGTTATTGCAATTAAATTATATAAACAGAAAAATGTAAACAATAGCAATTAGACCAATAAATGGATCACTGCTGAAACAAAACAAAAACCTGCATTTCTGATAGTTATCATACTCAATTAAAATAGCTACATGTAAAATAATTTTATTTGTAATGTATAAAGATTATAAGATGTTAAGTTTTATCATTTTCAAAGTGTTTACTCATTATACTCAAACTTACACATTTGGGAGAGGGTAAACTTCCTTTTCTTTAAAAAAAAAAAAAACTTTTTTTTTTTTAAGTAGAGACAGGTTTTCACCACATTGGCCGGCCTGGTCTTAAATTCTCAACCTCGGGTGATCCACCAGCCTCTGCCTCCCAAAGTGCTGGGATTACAGGCATGAGCTATCATGCCTGGCCAAGAGAGGGTAAACTTCCTATGTCAAGAAGCTCCTTGCAGACAAGGAAACTTGTAAGATCATACAGAATAAAGGCAAAGTCTTCATTTTAAGCAAGATACTTTATCTTTTAACAATTTATCTTTTAGTGGTAAGTATGCAAAAGTGACATCATCCTTAAAAATATGAGGGAGAAATAGGAAGCCTGAATTCTAAATCAACATTTTAAAGCAAATAGATTAATAAAGGACATAAGAATGCGGATCATGCAGTACAACCATCACCTGCCAAATGAAATGAAAATGAAAACTAAAATGGCTCAGGACAAAAATAGCAAATGAAATGTTTATATAAAGCACAATTCAAAAGAAACTATTAAAATAAACATCTTATTTATAGAACAAAGTAGACCTGGTAATTGAAGGAGAAAAGTCGTCATATTCATAAGAAGGAGAGAGATCAGGGCGACTGCCACTACCCTGTGAGAAGGGAATGTCTGATGGACTAATTCCAAACTCCTTTACTCTGCAGCACCAAAACAGCAACAAATTAAAAGAAAATGCTCTTGTAAAGACAGCAATGCACATTGCACATTTTCATTTAGTATTCACTTTTGTTTAGAAAGAATATCGATATTGTTGTGACAATGTATTTAGAATATTATTTTACAAATAACACATTTTAAGACATGTTTGAATCTTTGTTCTATTGATCCCCTGCTCTATAGTCCTTAATCTTTCCTTTCTGGTCTATTTTCCTCTTTTCTCATAATCCTTCCTAGACATTTAATAAATCACGTAAAGCTGAAATGCCCCTTTAACTACATGACCGCTCAATCTAATTTCCTCATGTGGTCAGTACCATGACTATTTGTTTATTAGCATTCACAAGTCTTTGACATTTTTGCAGTCTTTTTCAAACAGGATATAAGGGAATTAAGTCCTAATGCCTTAAGCCATCCATTGTTTATAATGAAATAACTTCTTTCCTATGAATCCAGAATGGCACTGGCTATGAAACATTCTTGGTGTAAATGAGAAAATATTCACTCTATTTTCAGTGGTTGGTGATTCAGATGAAGAACTCTGGTTGAGAACAGCCTCTAGCAATGAAATTTAAAATTGCTTTTGCTAACATCTCTAATAGTTATATTTAACCAAATTATGACTTTTCTCACCCCATCTATGTAATTCATGTCCCCTTTCGGCTAACCCTATTACATACCAATATAAAATATTTATTAAGTACTTCCTATATGTCAGGTATTAGGATTAGTAATTTTTAGGCATTATATTATTTCATCCTTCAACAATCTTTGATTTTATAGATGAGAAACATTTTTTATTCTCAAAAATAAGGTATCCTATCTAAGGTCATTCACTGAGAATGTGGCATAACTGAGGTTAAAACCTAGCCCTGAGTACAAATTCTGTGTTATTTGAACACTTTAATATAACAACCATATTCTTTTATTTTCTTGTGACTTCTCTTAGGTTGAACTAAATAAAATTCCCTTCTTTATAGGTCAAAAACAAATATCAGTATCTTCATATAAATCAAACATATATTTCCTCTACTATCAGTTTTTCTCTAAGCTATTGGTAATAGCTACTGTCAAACGTTCAATATTGGATTCATCTGCCCTTCATCCTTCAAAGTTTATTTACCATACATGCTGAAAAATCCAAATATCTTTTTTTTTGTTTTTTTTTTTTCTGGGTTTTGTTGAGATGCAGTCTCACTCTGTCACCAGGCTAGAATTCAATGGCACAATCTTGGCTCACTGCAACCTCTGCCTCCTGGGTTCAAGCTTTTCTCCTGCCTCAGCCTCCCGAGTAGCTGGGATTAAAGGCGTGCACCACCATGCCCGGCTAATTTTTGTATTTTTAGTAGAGACGGGGTTTCACCATGTTGGCCAGGATGGTCTTGATCTCTTGACCTTGTGATCCGCCCGCCTCAGCCTCCTAAAGTGCTAGGATTACAGGCATAAGACACTGCACCTAGCCTTTCTTTTTGAGCTAAGGTCTCACTGTATAACCCAGGCTATACTGTAGTGGCTCAATCACGGTTCACTATAGCCTTGACCTCCTGGGGTCAAGTGATCCTCCCACCTCAGCCTTTACCTTAATCTCAGCTGGAACAACCAGTGTCATGGCACCACCATCCCCAGCTATTTTTTTATTTTTTGTAGAGATGGGGTCTTATTATGTTGCTCAGGCTGGTCTCAAACTCCTGGACTCAAATGATCCTCCTGCCTTGGCCTCCCAAAGTATTGGGATTACAGGCATGAACTACTGTGTCTGGCCTGAAAAATCCAAATTTCTAATACAACTATTATCACTTCCACCCCATTTCTTGTCTAAGTATTTTAATTTAGACACCCTATTAACTTCATCTACACATTTTTTCCTCTGTCCAAAGCTCTCTTGCCCAAGCCAAACTATAGTATGTATAAGAATCATATTCTTCAAATATGTTACTAAAAGCTCCTAATCACTTTAATCACTCTTCTACCCAAGACCCAATCATTGTAACGTCTTTCATTACCCGAAGAGTAAATATCTCTGCTACAGGACAGAGATCACTGTCTGTTTCTCATATATCCTGTAATTTTTTTTTCCTTGGGACAACCATTTCTTCTACTCTGAAAGTTTTCCCCTGTATGCTCCTCTAAAATATCTTTAATTGTCTGGCTGTGTGCAGGGCTCACGCCTGTAATCCCAGCACCTTGGGTGGCCAAGGCAGGCAGATCACTTAAGGTCAAGAGTTCGAGACTAGCCTGGCCAACATGGTGAAACTCCGTGTCTACTAAAAATACAAAAAAATTAGCTGGGCATAGTGACAGGTGCCTGTAATCCCAGCTACTTGGGAGGCTGAGTCAGGAGAATCGCCTGAACCATGGAGTCAGAGGCTGCAGTGAGCCGAGATCATGCCACTGCACTCCAGCCTCAGTGACACGGCAAGACTCTGTCATAAGTAAGTAAGTAAATAAATAAATATTTCTAATTGTTGGGCCGGGTGCAGAGGCTCACGCCTGTAATCCCAGCCCTTTTGGAGGCTGAAGCGGGTGGATCACGAGGTCAAGAGATTGAGACCATTCTGGTCAACATGGTGAAACCCCATCTCTACTAAAAATACAAAAAATTAGCTGGGCATGGTGACGCATGCCTGTAGTCCCAGCTACTCAGGAGGCTGAGGGAGGAGAATTGCCTGAACCCAGGAGGTGGAGGTTGCTGTGAGCCGAGATGGCACCATTGCACTCCAGCCTGGGTAACAAGAGCAAAACTCCATCTCAAAAAAAAAATTTCTAATTGTCATCTGATTGCAACTGGACTTGTCAACTTAATTACTACCAGTAATGTGTACTGTTAACAAACTATCCCACAATCCCCATAAAAAACTTTCAAAGTATATTATTTTGACTAATATAAGGATATTAAAAAAAAACACTGCTTTGACATTTGTCTAACTGAATTTTTAAGACAGAACTGCTCACTAAAGTAGCCATAACAATAACAATTCATACACTTAATATATTTCAGGCACTGTGCTGAACATCTGACATAGGTCCCTCCTCAAAAACAGTCCTTTAAGATGGACATGGTCATTAACTCTCCATTCTAAAGATGAGGAAATATGGACAGACAGAGGTTAGTAACTTTCCTGAGACTTTGCTACCATCAAGCAGTGAGGAAGGTATTACATTTATTTCATCCCAAGAAATAACACTTCAATTACTAAGCTATGACTTAAATACAAAAAAAGTTTAAATACTTAAGAAAAATGGTTTCCTAAAAATATGGAAATTTTTACAGCAAAACCATTCATTTACTTTAAAAAAAAAAACAATAGAAATTTTAATGTAATGCCACCTACCCACCACCTCAAAGTACTGACCTAAATAAACTGAGGCAGATTTAGTATAAAAGAAAGAAATTCTCTTTGCTGTTAAAAAAAATAAAATGAAGTTATTGACTCTTAAAGTCATAAAACATTGGTATCAAGGGAGGTTGAAAATCTTTATTCCAAGAGATTTGGAATAAAATGGAAAAGATTACATATCTGATATGGTGAGGCTTTGTGTCTCCACCCAAATCTCATCTTGAATTATAATTTCCATAATCTCCATGTGTCAAGGGAGAGACCAGGTAGAGGCAACTGAATGATCGGAGGCAATTTCCTCCATGCTGTTCTCGTGATAGTGAGTTCTCACAAGATCTGGTTGTTTTATAGAAGGCTCTTCCTCACTTTGCTTGGCTCTTCTCCTTCCTGCCACCTTGGGAAGGTGCCTTGCTTCCCCTTCACCTTCCACTATGACTCTAAGTTTTCTGAGGTCTCTGCGGCCATGATGAACTGTGAGTTAATTAAACCTTCGTAATTACCCAGTCTCGGGTATTCCTTCGTAGCAGTGTGAGAACAGATTAATACAGTGTCCCAAATGGTTAGTCATGTTGCAAGTGAGTTACAAGATATAATAGTAGGTTAAAACATTTTACTTGGACCTAAGTGAACTAGAGGAACAGCTAGATATAGCATTTTCACAGTATTAGGGAGGAATCTTTTACAGTCTCAAATCTTAAGAAACAGAGGGGTTTTAATTCTACAACATGGCAAGCATCTACTACGCTCTGCTGTTCCTCACCTTTCTCATGCATAATTTTGAAATAAGAAGCATTTTAATGATAAAAATCCCATATATAAAAAATGTGAATTACCAATATCAATAACAACTAACACAATAAGAATTTGCAGCTAGGAGCTCATAATTCAAACTTTAAAAGAGATTAAATTTAGAAAATACAATATTTCATATTTAGAAATGTTCTATTACTTTTTTTTTTTTTAAGACAAGGTCTTCTCTGTTGCCCAGGCTGGAGTGCAGTGGTACAATCATAACTCACTGTAGCCTCAACATCCCTGGTTCAAGTAATCCTCTTGCCTTAGCCCCCTGAGTGGCTAGGACTACAGATATGTGCGACCACGCCAGGCTAATTTTTAAATTTCCTGTAGAGATGGGGTTTCACCATGTTGATGATGCTGGTCTCAAATTTCTGGGCCCAAGCAATCTGCCTGCCTGGGCCACCAAAAGCACTGAGATTAAAGGTGTAAGCCACCATGCCTGACCCTATTACATTTTTAAAGAAGTGATTATATTTTAATACCTTTTTACAAAAGCTTAATAGGTTTATACTGTCCAACAGTGTTTACTACCATTAAAAAAATCTCTTTAGTTAAAACAAAAGAAACAAGATGCAAAAAAAAAAAAAAAAAATGGGGGGGTTATAGCATTTGTGTAATGTTCAAATACAGCTATCTATGTACTCAGAGATACATTCATAGATAGTAAAATTATTATTATTATTATTATTTTTTAGAGATGAGGTCTTGCTATGTTGCCCAGGCTGGAGTGCAGTGGCTATTCACAGGTGCAATCCCACTACTAATCAGCACGGGAGTTTTGACCTGCTCCATTTCTGACCTGGGCCAGTTCACCCCTCCTTAGACAACCTGGTGGTCCCCTGCTCCTGGGAGGTCACCATACTGATCCCCAACTTAATGCAGTGTGATCAGCATGGCACACTACAGCCCAGAACTCCTGGGCTCAAGCAATCCTCCCACCTCAGCCTCCCAAGTAGCTGGGACTACAGGCACGTGCCACTGCACCCAGCGTAAAATTATTTTTTAAAGAAGAAAACGAGAAAAGTATTCCACAGAAGTTAGGACATGGGTTACATCAGGATAGAGATAAATGAATAAGGCATGTTATTCAGGATTGTGATCAGGAAGGAGCACATGGGGAACCTTTTGGGGGCCAATAATGCTCTCTTTCCCAAACCAATGGCAGGAGTTTTCACTTTATAAGTATCCATTATCCATTTAATTATTCAGTTATATTTTAGGTACTTTTCTATATGCATATGTATTTTACATTTTAGTAAAGGATCAAGAAAATAACATTTCCACTGTAATTAAAACAAAGAAAAAGGACAGACAGATACTTAGCAAAATTAAGAGAACTGCTATACTAGACATGGACTACAAAGAGGACTTTTGTCTCTAGGTTAAAATCACAAATGTAACATTTGAGAAGAGAAATTTAACACTAAACAGTCATTCAAAATAAGAGCAGTGGTAAATAAAGTTACTAAAGAGCAGTGTTAAAAAAAATCTATGGATCAAATATAAATATGCCCATTATGATTCAAAGTTCCAAAGGTATTTCATGGCTACACAGAATAAACTGCTTTAGTAGTCTATAATGCATTCTGTCCTTCTATCTGTAATAACTCAGTTATCCATTTATGTTTATAAGACTATTAATATGAGTAACAAAATGCAACCCATATAGAATACCAGAAAGGGCAAGGCGAGGTGGCTCACACCTGTAATCCCAGCACTTTGGGAGGCTGGTGGATCACCTGAAATCAGGAATTCAAGACCAGCCTGGCCAACATGATGAAATCCTGCCTCTACTAAAAATACAAAAATTAGCCATGAGTGGTGGTGCATGCCTCTGGTCGCAGCCACCCAGGAGGCTGAGGCAAAACAATTGCTTGAACCTGGGAAGCAGAGGTTGCAGTGAGCCAAGATCGTGCCCCTTCGCTCCAGACTGGGTAACAGAATGAGACTCTGTCTCATATAATAAAATGAAATAAATTTAAAAAAAGGAATGCCAGAAAGAAATGTGCTATCACTTCTTACTCAAATCCTAGATTCCCCATATATAGCATTTAATATTATCAGGAATAATCTGTAACATATAACAAAACAATTCAAGAAATACAAACTGGTCCCTTGATATTCACTTACTTCAGAGTCTTAATGTAGTAGGAAGAATCTGCATGATTTAAATGTAGTAAAGTATTAGGAAATAAAACAGTGAAATGGAAACCTTGCTCTAGGATAAAAAGACCAATTTAACTAAAGTTATCAATCTCTTCCCAAATTACACATTTCTACTTATTTTTAGAATTTGACAAAATGATTCTACATATCATCTTAAGGAATAATATGCAAAACATTTTTTTTTTTGAAAATTGAAAGAACAATGTAGTAAGATTTTCCCTATCGGATATTAAATTATACTACATACTGCTTTACTCCCCTCAAATTTCAAAATGGAGAACCATCTCTCATACCTGTTTGCATATCTTAATGTATTAAGAGTATTTTCACAGGATGCCATTCCTGGAGAGATCGTGGCAATCTACAGGGGGGAAAAAAACCATAAAGGTAAAAAAAAAGTTATAAATGACCAAGACAGTAATACTGACATTCAGCTCATTTAGGTCTAATCTTACCATAGTTATTTAAAAATAAAGACATATTAATCATATCTCAACTCAAAGATAATTTGCTTATATCTATAATCAGATAATAAAGTCTAGTTAAAATAGAAACTCTGAGCAGAAATGGAGGAGGTTAACACCTAGAAGGGACTAGTACTGACTGACCCCCACTCCACTCAACTTTTTTTTTTTAACAGCTTTTTGACAGAGGGCAAGCTCTGCTGCTGTCACACAGGGCAACTAAAACTTGATTGAAAACTTGCAGTCTCTCTGGTTAAAAAATTGAAGGATATACTGTGGGAGGGAAGATCACAGCAGCTGAAAAGTGAAGTTTCTCCCAGAAGGGCAAGTGCTATACTCTCCCTTCTGGGACAAACTTTTACATATCAACTGCCCAAATCCCTAGCTGATTCCTGACCCAGACATACACAAGGCACACTATAGGCAACATAGCTAAGTCTAAAAGGACAAAACAAAACTTTTAATTCCAGCTACTGTCCAGGGGAGATAAGAGTTTAGGTAATCTTCAGAAGAACTTAACAGAAGCTAGTCTCTACATTCATTCATAACACGCATCCTCTCTATCAGACTGGCAGGGACCACATCTTAAATATCACTGTATCACTCATAATAGAAGGATTCAAATGACTCATTAACATATACATTTTCCATAAATAGTATGTATTTATTCCTTCAGGATTAAAATAAATAAAAAATAAACATAAACTTACCATGCAGGTACGAGAGTTTTCACCTATGAAAGAATCTCTTAACACCTGAGTGAGTTTACTTGCACGGAAAGGAGTATGAGGTTTATTTCTACCTAAGGCTCTGATGCACTCCTGAAAATTAAGAAACCAAGTCTCACAGATTAGTCTTTCTTATAAAGGGGAATCTTAACTAATGTATTTTAAAAGGTCTCTCACTATGATTTTAACATTTAAGGTGTGATCAGCTGTGAACATTCTACTAACTGTTTTTGTTTTGTTTTGTTTTTTTTGTTTTTGAGATGCAGTCTTGCTCTGCCACCCAGGCTAAAGTGTAGTGGTGCAATTTCAGCTCACTGCAACCTCTACCTCCCGGGTTCAAGCGATTCTCCTGCCTCAGCCTCCCAAGTAGCTGGGATTACAGGTGCCCACTACCATGCCTGGCTTGTATTTTTAGTAGAGAATACATGTTGACCAGGCTGGTTTTGAACTCCTGACCTCAGGCTATCTGCCCTCCTCGGCCTTCCAAAGTGCTGTGATTATAGGCATGAGCCACCGAGCCGGGCGGACAGTTTTAAAGTGTAGTGTAAATGTTCCCATAAATTCTAATTCAAGAAAAAAAAAATGACAACAAAAAACCTACTTTATTCTTCCAAGAGATATTTCTAGAAACTATGTAGGATAACTGTAAAAAGTTAATTTCTTAACATGGCACTCCAAAGAAAAAAACACAGATGCTTTATTATAGTCTTTCTAACCTTTGCTTTTCTACTCAAGGAAAAGATATAATGACCTGGTCTAACTTTCTGAAAGCCATTCCACGTTTTTCTGAGAAACTATTTCTTAGCTTAATTCAGTGGTTCGTTGCCCTCCTCCTAGAAAATATGACTAATTAAGACCCTTTGGAGTCTACCTATGTAGCTTCAGAACTGACCTACCAACTCACATATCCTTTTATCCTGTCTAAAAAGAATAAAGAACGTGTGCAAGGAAAAATTCTGGGTATGATAAAATCACACTGTAAGTTATAAGCATCTGAATTTTGAAAACCTCTCTTTTTATTAGGTAAAACAAGTACTGTTATTTGGCAATTTTGTAAAGAAAATTAAAATCAAAAGCAAAAGACCTTTCAGGATTAAATACATTTTATTTACCTTGAGTGCTAAAAGGCTTTTATTAATTTCAGCACCTTCAAGCCTAGTTTGCCTGTCCGCACTGGAAGTATCAGCTCCTCTTTCATTTCCAGCCAAATCAATGAGAGAAAATTTGCCATGTAGTTTTCCTTTCCTTCTAAGAATAATCTGAAACACTGCATGGCTCCGAGATGAATGTGCATTTGCAGATGTTTGACCGGATGTTCTACAACATGATTAAGGACAACTTGATACATTAAAAACTTCAATTTACATGTTCAAGCCACATTATTTTCATTAAAACAACAGCATCAACAAATGCCTATTTAACTAGTTTTCTTCTTTTAAATACAGATGAGACACACTGAGTGGTAACACTTAATCTGGCATATTTTTAATATACTTTTAATATAGTATCAATATAATTGTCACTCACATTTACAAAAGTTTTTATGAACAATGATTTTTACTTCCAAGATGTAGTGACAGATAACATCCTTGTTTGTTACTCTACAACCAAAGTTTCTAAAACTCAAGTTTCCTTCCTTAATCAAAATGAGATTTACCTGCAACTGTTGCCTATGTCAATGAGTTTCAGCACATCTTCAACACATTTGACCTCCCGTTCCTGTAATCCCACAACTTGAACCTGCTGTTTTCCATCTTCTAGAACTCTTAATTTTGTTTTCCTATTTAGTAAGTCAAACACCTATGGAAAATAATATTCAAATTAGAAAACTAGCTTTAAAGTAAAAAAGAGGCAAGGCACAATGGCTCACACCTCTAATCCCAGCATTTTGGGAGGCTGAGGCTGGAGGATGGCTTGAGCTCAGGAGTTCAAAACTGGCCTAGACAACATAGTGAAACCTTATCTATGTTAAAAAAAAAAATTAGCTGGGCATGGTGGTGCATGCCTATAGTAGCAGGTACTAGGGAAGGCTGAGGAAGGAAGCTCACTTGAGTTCAGGAGACTGAGCTCCAGCATGGAGCTCCAGCATGGATGACAGCACAAGATCCTGTGGCAATTAAAATATTAGTTCTATAAAAAGGAGTCACCCAGGGCCGGGCGCGGTGGCTCACGCCTGTAATCCCAGCACTTTGGGAGGCCGAGGCGGGTGGATCACGAGGTCAAGAGATTGAGACCATCCAAGTCAACATGGTGAAACCCCGTCTCTACTAAAAATACAAAAAATTAGCTGGGCATGGTGGCGCGTGCCTGTAATCCCAGTTACTCAGGAGGCTGAGGCAGGAGAATTGCCTGAACCCAGGAGGCGGAGGTTGCGGTGAGCTGAGATTGTGCCATTGCACTCCAGCCTGGGTAACAAGAGTGAAACTCCGTCTCAAAAAAAAAAAAAAAAAAAAGAGTCACCCAGAGTTTAAAAATTATTTCAGAGATTAAAATAATAATTAGAGTAAGAATTCTCAACCTTGAAGTTGAAAAGTTTCAAAGGACATTTTTTAACAATCTCATAACAAAAATTCTAATATAAAAGTTCTGGCTGGGTGCAGTGGCTCATGCCTGTAATCCCAGCACTTTGGGAGGTGGAGGCGTGTGGATCACAAGGTCAAGAGTTCAAGATCAGCCTAGCCAACATGGTGAAACCCCATCTCTACTAAAAATATAAAATAAAAAAAAAAAAAAGAAATTAAGCCAGGCATGGTGACAGGTGCCTGTAGTGTTAGCTACTTGGGAGGCGGGAGCAGGAGAATCACTTGAACCCAGGAGGTAGATCGTGCCACTGCACTCCGGCCTAGGTGACAAAGCGAGACTCCATTTAAAAAAAAAAAAAAATTCTAAATACACATAAATTATGGTGGTAAAGGCTGCACAACAATGTGTGTATTTAATGCCACTGAACTTAAAGATGGTTAAAATTGAAAATTTTATTAATATATATAGCGCCACAGTTTGAAAAATTAAAAAAGTTCCCACTTACCTTTCCACTATAAATTTCAAAGAAGGTTGCATATACTTGAAGTTCTAGCTTCTTATAGTTTGGCTTCTTTAGCATTAAAAAGACATCTCGAGCTGTCAAGAATTTCATATACAGAAAATTGAGATGCAACAAATATTTTAAAAAGGAATGCAAATTTTCTATTTCTAGAAGAATCAGTTAATCTTTACCTAGAATGATAGTATCAATAATAAAAATAAGAACTACAGTGAATATTAATTTTACAAAAAAATACTATTAATAGAAGCTACTCTCACATTCCATAAAAGGGTGCTACATATATATATATTTAGATTTATAAATAGCATAAAATTACAGGTGGTCATAATGAGGTTATTCTCATACCATACCTAGTAGCTTTTTAAAATTCAGAAATTCAACAATTCATACTAATCTCCAACAACGTGCTAGAATACATTGATAAATATAATCAAGATTTCTGCCCCTAAAAATCAATCTTACAGTTCTTTTTTTTTGTGTGTGTGAGACAGTCTTGCTCTGTTGCCCAGGCTGGAGTGCAGTGGCGCAATCTCAGCTCACTGCAATCTCTGCCTCCCATGTTCAAGCAACAATTCTCTTGCCTCAGCTTCCCAAGTAGCTAGGACTATACAGGGTGTATGACTCTACATCCAGCTAATTTTTGTATTTTTAGTAGAGATGGGGTTTCACCATATTGGCCAGGCTGGTCTTGAACTCTGGACCTTGTGATCCACCCACCTTGGCCTCCCAAAATGCTGGGATTACAGGTGCAAGCCATCACACCTGAACAGTTTTTTTTTTTTTTGAGACAGAGTCTCACTCTTGCCCAGGCTGGAGTGCAGTGGCGTGATCTTGGCTCACTGTAACCTCTGCTTTCTGGGTTCAAATGATTATTCTGCCTCAGCCTCCCGAATAGCTGGGATTACAAGCACCCACCACCACACCCAGCTAATTTTTTTTTTTTTTTTGTATTTTCTCCATGTTGGCCAGCCTGTTATTGAACTCCTGACCTCAAGTGATCCACCCATGTTGGCCTCCCAAAGTGCAGGAATTACAGGTGTGCCACTGTGCCCAGCCTACAGTTCTTTCTTCTTCTTTTTTTTAATCCTGTGAATATAATCTTACAGTTCTTTTCAAGTAATCTAATAACCTTTAATTGATAGTCAATATAGCATTATAGTTTCTGGGCAATATTTTAAAGCCTTATTTCAAAGCTACCTGAATATTACCTAAGAATATTATTCCAAATTATATGGAAAAAGACAGTTACCTGCTAATGCATAAATTCCTTTTGAACAATCTTGGTTCTTTCCTGAAAAGTCACCACCCATAGTCTGTATTTTAAAAAGAAAATAAATTACAGACATTACTCAGGAATAACTCTTAAGAATTTAGGTCTCAGAATTAAGCAATAGGGAAAAGAAACTGTAGCTTCATATCAGTATATAATTTTAATAAATTACTTACATGAGTTTTTCCACTTCCAGTCTGCCCATAAGCAAAGCATGTAGCCATTCCCCTTTCAAATATAGTTTCCACTAGTGGTCGAGCAGTAAACCTTAAAAATAAAATGCATCAGTCAGAATATGTCACCAATATTTAGATGAATAAAAGTAATGCTGAGTAATACAAAATATTTTAAGCAACATTTCTGTAATAAACAATGGTGACAATAAGGCATATACAATAAAAACAAACAAAAAGTATTATAATTTCAACAGAAACAGAATAAACAAGAGTGGTTTTAAAAAGCTAATAGAGGAAAAAAAATGCAAAAATAATATCTTTAGACCATCTAAATAATAGAAAAATGATGACTACCTTGAATGTAGACAAGTAATTTGTATTTCAGGAAAAAGAATATTAAGTTGTACGTATAGGACACTGAATTCTATTAATAAGTTGACAGTCTCAATTTAGGAAAAGGATACACCTAAATATTATGGTTCAAATTATATTTCAAACATATTGGTATAACCCACTGCTAGAGTTAAAATAAAAAGGTGGGAAAGGGGCTGGGCGCGGTGGGTCAAGCCTGTAATTCCAGCACTTTAGGAGGCCGAGGCGGGTGGATCACGAGGTCAACAGATCGAGACCATCCTGGTCAACATGGTGAAACCCCGTCTCTACTAAAAAATACAAAAAATTAGCTGGGCATGGTGGCGCGTGCCTGTAATCCCAGCTACTCAGGAGGCTGAGGCAGGAGAATTGCCTGAACCCAGGAGGCGGAGGTTGCGGTGAGCCGAGATGGCGCCTTTGCACTCCAGCCTGGGTAACAAGAGCGAAACTCCGTCTCAAAAAAAAAAAAAAGGTGGGAAAGGGTAAGAAGTACTTTTTCACTAAGCAGAGCACTAAAAAGTCTGATGAAGGCTGGGTGCGGTGGCTCACACTTGTAATCCCAGCACTTTGGGAGGCTGAGGTGGGTGGATCACTCGAGGTCAGGAGTTCCCGCCTAACCAACATGGTAAAACCCCATCTCTACTAAATATACAAAATTAGCTGAGCGTGGTGGCACATGCCTGTAATCCCAGCTACTCAGGAGGCTGAGGCAGGAGAGTCGCTTGAACCTGGGAGGCAGAGGTTTCAGTGATTGGAGATTAAGCTATTGAACTCCAGCCTGGGCAACAAGAACTTAACTCTTGGAAAAAAAAAAAAGGTATGATGGAAAACAGATCTACAAGTAGAACATGTTATATAACTGCTGTCTTTGTTTTGTTTTCTAAAAGGCAAAACTGAAGTATAGAATAAAAAGAGTAGAAAAAAGTTCTGTTCAAACAGAACTAGAGATTAGCCTGCTAAGTAGTTAGATCAAACCCCACCTCCCAACCTTCCCCTACAAAAAACATGTAACTCCTCAATCCAAAATAGTTAAATATAAGAGACAGAGGAGAAGGATACATATTGATAAAGTTAAGCAGCATAAATACAGGGTGAAAACACAATCATACACACAGAAACAAGCCTGTATCTGTGATTATTTCTTAAAAACTATTATAAAAGTCAAACTTATATTTTATGAGGCAGGAGTAGAAAGAGCAAATGAAGAGAAAGAGAGGACTCTTCAGAAAGCTAAAAAAAATTCTACAATAAACAATTAAGACTCCCCTTTAAACACATTCTTCACAAATCTCTCTACCTAGCATTCATATGTTCTTTAATTTCATCCTTTTTTTAAATTACAACTGACTAGTCAGTTTACTTGGTGAAGACAGAGGAGTTGATTTCAAAAGTATTTCATTTGTAACACCTTCAATTCTTAGTCTTATTAACTCTAATTTTCTCCCTTCTAGGCATTTTTATGAAAAAGGGCAACCAGACATAGCATTCAAGCAATTACAAAGACAGTTCTATTCCTAGATAAACCAAAATAACAATTCTGCTAAAACTGATGTTATAATGACTACAAATGAATGTTTGCAAACTTATGTATGAAAATCTAAATCAGGCATAAAAATTTGGGATTTTTTAAATACCAATGTATAATATATGTAAATTGAATTCTTTGTAAGTTGAATACAAAAAACACAGAAGAATCTAATGTACTAAAACTATCTCCAAGCTTAAATATGACAAATTTAAATGCAAGTAGATTTATATAACTTTTTTGCCAGAAGTGACAATACATACTAAATACAGATTTAGGCAAATTAATAATTTACTGATAACATGTTTTGGCCAGGCATAATAGTGGCTCATGCCTGTAATCCCAGCACTTTTGGAGGCTAAGGCGGGCAGATTGCTTGAGCTCAAGCATCTGAGGTCAGCTTGGACAATATGGCGAAACCTCAACTCTACAAAAAGTACAAAAATTAGCTGGGTGTGGTGGTGCATGCCTGTGGTCCCAGCTACTCAGAAGGCTGAGATGGGAGGATCACTTGAGCCCAGGAGGTACACGCTGCAGTGAGCTGTGACTGTGCCACTGCACTTCAGCCTGGGCAACAGAGCAAGACTGTGCCTCAAACAGCATTTCAAGTTTCTTCACTAGTACAGAGATTAAAAGGTAAAAATTAAAAGTCCTCTTCTGATTACATCCTACTCCTAGAGGTTATAACATTTTCCAGAAATTTCTTAGCCATATACATGATTTGTGTGATATATTTTTATCACACATGTATATATATATATATATATATATGTGTGTATATATATATCTCACACAAATTATACAAATATCATACATTTATATATAAATATATAACACAAATATACATATATTACATATATATGTAATAAACTAAATAGCAAGTAGCAATGAAAACTATGATTTGGGGAAGCATTAAAGACATCAAATGTTAATATTCATTACAGCATTTTATTACATTCTCTTTGTTTAAACTCAGAATAAAAAAGCATTATTGCACTGCTGAAAAAACTTCCCCCAATCAATGTAAAGTTCAGGGTGTGGATGACCACATGGCATAAGCACAAAATTCCGATTTAAAATGAATTTACCTACCTGTAAACCATTTCATTAGGAGCTGAGTCGTCAAAGGCATAATCAAAACGAAACGTTTGGTTTTCTAGGTACCTTGTTAAATCTACTTTTTGTTTTGGTTCATGTACCATCACAACATCTTTACTAGGAATTGTGATTACATCAAGATCTTTCATTTGAGTTTCTAAAAAAAATAAACAAAAATTAATGCCCAATAATTTTCACAGCATTTGAGTTCATGTACAAAAATTATTCTAAGTAGTAAGAATTAAGATACAAGTAGTAAGTTCTGTGTATATAAAGATAATATCCCATAAATATGCAACTCACTATGACAAAGTATTTCAATAGCCAAGTAAAAACAACATCAAGATTTCTGTGAAGCAAGACTTGGAACGGCAATGATTCAGAGAAGTAACAAACCAACAAGTTTAGCCATAGAAATCTGCATAATGGTTACATACAAATGAAATAATTTACATTTTTCCAAACCAATTTGATTTGCTATTATAAAAATACATTATAAATCAGATAAAAGCAATCTTTTATTAGAGCTCATTAAGTGTCATACCTTTTTTATTGAGTGGTCGTTTTCTTACACACACACATATCCTATGTTCATCAATCTAGAATTAAAAAGTATTTTATTTCAGTGATTACCAGTGTCATGTAAAACACAGAAAAGTCATTATGTAATATTTCCCCAGGGTTTTAGAAATTTATACATAGTGTAAATGATAGGTAAGCTTAAAAAACAAATTAGCTGCTGGGCACAGTGGCTCACACCTGTAATCCCAAACACTTTGGGAGGCTGAGGTGCGTGGATCATGAGGTCAAGAGATCAAGACCATCTGGCCAACACGGTAAAACCCTGTCTCTACTAAAAATACAAAAATTAGCCGGATATGGTGGTGCGCGCCTATGGTCCCAGCTACACGGGAGGTTGAGGCAGAAGAATCACTAGAACCCAGGAGGCAGAAGTTGCAGGGAGCTGAGATTGCGCCACTGCACTCCAGCCTGGTGACAGAGCAAGATTCAGTTTCAAAAACAAAACACACAAACAAAAACAAATTAGCTTTGCACAAATTTTAATGGTTGTCAGATATAATTACTTCTAAAATTCTGAGTGTAGTGAAATATTATTTCCAAATAAATATTTTGTTATTTGGAAAACCACTGCCTTAGGAAATAATTTTGTGTAAAGGGTACTACCGTTGTGAGGAGCATTACGTTCACATTAAGAAGCCATGAGGAGGCCAGGCGTGGTGGCTCACTCCTGTAATTCCAGCACTTTGGAAGGCTGAGGTGGGCAGATCACCTGACGTCAGGAGTTCAAGAGCAGCCTGGCCAACATGGAGAAACTCCATCTCTACTAAAAATACAAAAATTAACCAGGAGTGGTGAGGCATGCCTATAGTCCCAGCTACTCGGGAAGCTGAGGTGGGAGAATCGCTTGAACCCGGGAGGCGGAGATTACAGTGGGCTGAGATTGTGCCGCTGCCCACCAGCCTGGTAAACAGAGTGAGATTCCGTGTTAGGACAAACAAAACAAAACAAAACAAAACAAAAAAATGCTGTGATGCCAGGCATGGTGGGTAATCCTAGCACTTTGGGAGGCTAAGGTGTGTGGAACACTTGAGGTCATGAGTTCGAGACCAGCTCAGCCAACATGGTAAAATTCTGTCTCCACTAAAATACAAAAACTAGCTGGGCATGGTGGTTCACGTCTGTAATTCCAGCTACTCAGGTGCCTCAGGCACAAGAATTGCCTGACCCAGGAGGCAGAGATCCTGCCACCACGCTCCAGCCTGGGCAACAGAGAAGATTCTGTCTCAAAAAAGAAAAAAAAAAAAAAAGGCTGTATTATCCTAATAAGTGACATATTTTCAGGCTAATCATAGGGGAAGTTGCTTGCAAAGAAAACTACCAGCAAGAAACAGGATTATCAGAAGATTACTAAGCTAAGTAATTTGAACTATTTTATAAATACACCAATTCTTATGCAAAATTTTTGTTCCCAATACATGCCTCCCTTTAATAATAATTAAACTAAAGCAAGGATTGGCAAAGCATGGCCTGTGGGCCTAATTTAGCTACTACCTGCTTCTGCAAAGTTTTACTGAGACACATCGATTGAAACAAATGTTATACCCATCATTTATGTATTGTCTATGGTTGCTTTTACAATCTAATAGCACAGTTCAGTAGTTGTGACAAAGACCATATAGCTCCAAAGCTAAGGACCCTTGCAGAAAATGTGTGCCAATTCCTGTCCTAAAGTGTGAGCTCCAATATAGTAAGTGCAACATATGAAGAAATAGCGAGGCCTAAAATATGTGGGATACAAGTATTATGAATAATTCTATTAAATTCTGTATAATACATCTATCTAACACAAATGTTTTGTTTTGGTAACTAACACATTCTGTATATGCTATGGCAGATGGATTATTTTTTGTAAGTTTCATTTAGTTATAAAATGACTCCTGGCCAGGTGCAGTGGCTCACACATGTAATCCCAGCACTTTGGGAGGCTGAGGTGGGTGGATCACCTGAGGTCAGGAGTTCCAGACCAGCCTGACCAACAAGGTAAAACCTTGTCTCTACTAAAAATACAAAAATTAGCTGGGCGTGGTGGCAGGCGCCTATAGTCCCACTTACTCCAGAGGCTGAGATAGGAGAATCGCTTGAACCCGAGAGGTGGAGGTTGCGATGAGCCAAGATTAAGCTGTTGCACTTCAGACTGGGCAATGGAGTGACACTCCATCTCAAAAAAAAAAAGCATCCCCTGTCCAGTGAATTCTCATTCCTCAATAGGAAAGGAATAATAAGAGCAGAGGACTTTTTCCAGTTCTAGATTTCTAGTCCACTGCAGCCCTCAACAACCAATGCTTACTGTTAAAAGCCAGAATACACTGAAAACTAACAAATTACTAATAGTAAATTAGAAATGTTGGTGGGACCTACAGCCTAAGACAAAGATAAGCTTGGAATTGAGATCAAGGTATAACTGACGGTCAGAAAGGAAAGTGGGTCTTCTGCTATCATTCCTTTAAGTGTTGCTCTGCCCTTCCAAGACAGGGAGGCTTTGCTTTGAGAAGGACATCTCTATAGGCAGCATATCTCATATATCAAATTATGGGAAATGAGCATTAATGTGAATTATTTCTTGATTTTCTCCTTAAATTATGCGGAATAAGCAAGCGTAAGGACAGGAAAAACTACATAGCTAAATACAATATGAATTTAGCAAGTGTCGAACCCATGTTTTTATTTGAGGCATAGAAAGTTCCAGAATAATGGTTTACAAAGAAGCTTACAGGATCTGCTGTTGTTAATGGTCTATAATCCAAACTTCCTCTAAAGTCTCTGATCATACACATAATTTCATAATTTGGGTTTGTAGCATCAACATCCTATTAGAAGACAGAGAGAATTCACCATTTATTATAGTTACAATAATGTATTTGTTGCATTTGTTATACGTGGTTTGAAAATTAAAATTAAAATAGATTGTGCTATTTGTCATAACCAAGCTCAAACTCAAACTGAAAATACAGTTTCATAGTTGTGATTTCATAATAAGCTCTGAATAACTTTCATATTAAAAAACAATTCTAAAACAAACAAACAATTCTCTTAGTTTGCATGCATTCTGTTAACTCCAAAGTAAAGAATCTTCATTGAATTTACCGTTTATCTATTTCAAAAATCCATCTGTTATACATATACCTTAATTATCCTATACAAAGAAGCAATAGAGAAATAATGCTGATGTTAACCACTGGCAAATAACTCTAGAAAAGTCAAAATTCTAGGAAAATTCATTTAATCAGATTCACCTTCTAATTTAATCCAGTGTTTCAGCAAAGTATAAATATGGGTTCATTTATCTTCATTTTCTATTTCTGCTGACCCTCTAAAAAATACTAAGTCATGACATTGCTGCCCCAAATGGACAAAACATAGAACTTAAAGGAATCAGAAGCCAAGATCATTCTTTAAAAATCTTTAAAATTCAATTTTTTGAATGGTGACTACAATTTATTTGGCTTCAAAACAGAAAATTCGGATTAATATACAAATAGCAATAGTCAACAACCTCTCCTAGCCTTCAACAATACATTATTAATCATTCTAAGAAGTCAGATTTTTTTCATACATCATATTCAGATTTGTTTTGAATGCAACTAAATTACAAACTGTTACTGAAACTTACTTTCAATTAACCTTCTTCTAGGAAATAATACCACCTATGTCAACTGAGAAGCAGACTGTGAAGTGAGAATTAAGAGATCACAGAGAGATGTGTAAGTATTATGAAGTACCCACAGGAAACACCAGGTGGCATCTATGCTAAGTATTAGTAGATAATATGTTTTATTCTGTATTTCAAAACCCAATTAGTCATTCTAAGGTCACTTTCGGATAAAAGCTGATTCATTCAGTTTGGTTATAATACTAGGTCCACAATTCCACAACACAATATCTGAACTGGTAGTTTAACATGATTAAGGGCATTTGAACATACTATTGAATAATCCTGATGTTTTATTATAGAAAAGTAGTTTTAAGAATGTAACAGATGCCATACCAGCACAATGGTGAAGTTACATGTATAGTAACAAAATGTCTAATATGTAAAAACCTGTAGAATGGTAAAAGACCAGTTCTCTATGCAATTTTCCCACTGCTATTAAACAGTCTTGCTACCATATGAAGTGGACCACAAGAGGGATACAATACAGGTCCACTCTTCATATGCGGCATAAATCAAAACACAAGGAATCTCCCCCCTTTCACTATGACATGTGAACTTATTAATCAGAAAAACAGTAATAAAATGTACAGTTTAATCAAGCACTTTAACTGGATATTTTTTCCAATGTAATTTTAGGTATTTTTAAAATAAAAATTCTTGAAGGTTATATTATACACATTAGAATTCTGTAACACAATGGCTTTTTCTTAATGGAACAAATTTTAGGGTTAACACATACCCATAAAACATGAAAAGGACAATGTAGTAAAAATTTGTTATGGTAACTTATTTTCACAAGAGCTCATATTATTCCTTAATATCAATTTAAAGAATTCTTAAAATTCTCCAAAATATGCCTTCATTATTTTTTTCACTGATGAATCATTTTCACTGATATGATCTAATCTTTAGCTGGTACATAAACAAAATATATGTTTATGGCACGAACCTGGGCTCTCTTTTCTCTAAGTTCTTGCTGTTGCAGTCTCCTTTTTTCTCGTTTTTCTTGCAGTTTTTCTACTTCTTTCACACAATTAGATTTTCTACGTGCTGAAAAGAAAAGATGAGCTGTAGAAGTATAGTTTTCTTTTTTAGAGTATATATGTTAAAATTTTTTATGTATAACTTCACCACACATACACAACAGGTACACAGTGACAAAGCATGTCTATAACAACTATGTGAGCCTTATTTAATGAGCTGCTTTACCAAAACTAAGATAGGACAACGTACAGATGGGAATCCAGAAAAATGACTCAAACATATTGATACATGTCATCTCTTGGTTTAGAAATACAGATCTTTGAATTGAAAGAATCAAGGAGGCACAAGACTTTCTTCTATAAATCTGACAAATTATCATCTGCTCAGAATTTCAAACTCAAACTGAAACATTGCTATAATTTCACAGAAAAATTTTGCTCCAAAATATACATTAAAAAACTCAACAGACTAAACGAATAAAAAATAAGTTAAATTTTCCAGAGTAGTAAAATAAAATCTGCAATCAAGCTTGTATTTAGACTGTTTAGTATTTGAGGACTTAAAAGGATGACCAAGAGAGAATACATGTATGCCTAAAATGACTAAATCCTTGATACATAATTTACATACAAGGGGGTCCAAATTCCTTTTTTGCAGCTTGAACTGGAGATATATCTGAAACACTACCATTCTGTTGTGCAGAGGAAGACTGTTCAGGAAACTGACTGGGCCGTGCACGTGCAGAACCAACCACTATAAGTAAAAAAAAAAAAAATTAAATTCAGGATAGAAAATTAGTAAAAGTTAACTTTAGTAAAAGGAAGAGATATCCCCAAAACCTGATACTTAAAAGTTAATTAGTAAGTTGCCAAGTGTTCTATTTATATATGTAAAATACAATATAGTTTATAATAAATCAATTCTGTTCAACAAACTGACATAAGCTAAAAGAGGCTTTTAAAGTAGTAAGTGCAGACTTAGCTTTCACCAATGTAATATTAGCTACAAAACTCAATCTAAATAATTTACATTAAAAACCCAAGCCAAGCTTGATTTTTAATAATCCTTTAAGATATAAATTTGAAGAAAAAAAATAAATATGTGAACCCTTCCATGTCTTAAACTTTAAACTGCAAAGAAATCCTTAAATATGTGTGTAAAATGTTTTACATGCATTCTCATTTGTAAAAATTTACACTAATCAGACATATAGAGAGAGTAACAACTTAGAATTCTTCAACCCTATTTATATTCCAAATCCCACTCTTTGCTCCTCAAATATGCAAATCTTCAGCAGAGGATTTCCCACTGTAAATATTATAAAAGAGGAAAAAGGAATATAAAATTAAATATAATTATCAAAATTTAAAAGAAATATAAATTTGCACAAGACTCTAAAGATAGTGTTTAAACTGAAGGACTGTTCCTCTACTTCCAACCTCTCCTTTAATACTTCTGTCCATCCACACACACCCAGAGAAACAATACTACCAGAAAATTCTGAACCACTAAACAGTAGAAAATAAATCCATTATCCTTTTCACGTCCTGGCTGAAAATATATGGGAGACTTCAGTTAATTACACAATTTTTAGGTCTGTTAAACTTTTCTTTAGCTAGTGAAATCGGCCAAGTAATTTTCCCCCGTTCCTTTCTTTCTCATGATACTCTTCTTGAATTTACAAAATTATTTAGTAAATACGATGAATTAAAAATTGCATTTTATAGTTTCATATTTATCCTATACATTTTATTTTATTTTGTTATTTTATTTATTTATTTTTTTGAGACAGAGTCTCACTCTATTGCCCAGGCCGGAGTGCAGTAATACAATCTCATCTCACTGTAACCTCTGCCTTCCAGGTTCAGGTGATCCATTTGCCTCAGCATCCTGGGTAGCTGAGACTATAGGTGTGTGCCACTGCACTTGGCTAATTTTATATTTTTAGTAGAGACGGGGTCCACCATGTTGGCCAGGATGGTCTTGAACTTCTGACCTCAGGTGATCAGCCTGCTTCAGCCTCCCAAAGTGCTGGGATTACAGGGGTGAGCCACTGTGCCAAGCCATCATCCCATAAATTTTAAAAATCATTTTTTCTGCCAGGCGCGGTGGCTCACGCTTGTAATCCCAGCACTTTGGGAGGCCGAGGCGGGTGGATCACGAGGTCAAGAGATTGAGACCATCCTGGTCAACATGGTGAAACCCATCTCTAGTAAAAATACAAAAAATTAGCTGGGCATGGTGGCGTGTGCCTGTAATCCCAGCTACTCAGGAGGCTGAGGCAGGAAAATTGCCTGAATCCAGGAGGCAGAGGTTGCGGTGAGCCAAGATGGCACCATTGCACTCCAGCCTGGGTAACAAGAGCGAAACTCTGTCACACACACACACACACACAAAAATCATTTTTCTTTCTTTTTTCTTTTCTTGGAGACAGAGTCTTACTCTGCTACCCAGGCTGGAGTGCAGTGGTGCAATCTCGGCTTATTGCAACCCCTGCTTTCCGGGTTCAAGCACTTCTCCTACCTCAGTCTCCTGAGTAGCTGAGATTACAGGCACTGCCACCACATCTGGATAATTTTCTGTATTTTTAGTAGAGACGGGGCATCACCATGCTGACAAGAATGGTCTTGAACTATGACCTCAGGTGATCCACCCGCCTCAGCCTCCCAAAGTGGCATGAGCCACCACACCAGACAAAATCATTTTTCAGTATTAACATATTATATTAGGAATTCAGGAAGACACCACGCTGGGCACGATGGCTCACACCAATAATCCCTGTAAACACTCTGGAAGGCCAAGGCAGGAACATCACTAGAGCACAGCAGTTCAAGACCAGCCTGGGCAACATGGAGAGACTGTCTCTACAAAAAATTAAAAAAATTAGGTGAGCATGGAGGCACATGCTTGTGGTCCCGGCCACACGTGAGGCTGAGACAGGAGGATCATTTGACCCTGGGAGGTCAAGGCTGTAGTGAGCTGTGTTCATGCCACTGTACTCCAGTCTGGGTGACAGAGCAAGACCCTATCTTAAAAAAAAAAAAACTCTTAAAATTAGCCAGAGGAAATTTAAATAAATACATAAATACCAACATTGAGGGTAATGTTTACTTTTGATTTACCTTGTCAGGAACATACTAAGAAATCAACAGCCAAAATTAAGAGATAAATTTTTATTTTACCTCTATTATCTCTTGGAGGAGGCTCATTCTTAATAGAAGCCACAGTCCGTCGATTCTATGATAGGAAAAAATGTTCATTATATTTTCTGTCTTTACTCCTCATATATATCATGATCTGAGCTTCTTTCAATTAAACAAAAGTAGGCAAACATACAAGAATATAAAACAAAATGAAGAAAAACGGTAATCTTAATGAACTACTATTCATGCTATCAATATCCAAGTTCCTTTATATATTTTCCCCTACCCTCCAAAAATATTCAGGAATTAATATGAGCCAGGCACCGCTCTAAGGACCTTCTTTACAACAGCCTATGAGGTCATTACTACTGCTATTCCCATATCATTGGTGAGGAAACTGAAACAAAGACAGGTTAAGCAGTTTCAAAATAATATGTGTTTTAACCATCATACTATGCTGGTAAAACTATGTAATAAATGTCATTTCTGAATAATAGGGGGTAAGTCATAAAATAGTAGTTCTAGACAGCTTAGAACCCCCTTGGTTAAACTGAAATATCAGAGTAATATAAAATGTGCATTGTCAGTTATCCTAAAAAGGTTTCATAAAAGTTTCAAAGACTTGGATACTATACAGATTAAGGCAGCAAACCTTTGGTCCCCTAATTTATTCATGAATACTTCCTTTTATTCACATCAAAAAAAGATATCAAAGTAGTTGTTCTTAACCTTGGCTGCACATTCAAATCAGATGAGTACTAGTACTATTAAGAGGACACTGATGCCAGGGCCTCCCTTTAGGTAAAATAAAACTGAATTCTTGGGAGTGGGGCCCATAAATGAGTATTTTAAAAAATACTGATTTAGGCCAGGTGTGGTGGCTACCGCCTGTAATCCAAGCATTTTGGAGGCCAACGCGGGCAGATCACCTGAGGTCAGGTGTTCAAGACCAGCTTGACCAACATGGTGAAACCCCATTTTAAAAAAAAATACTGATTTATATTTTTTAACATTTTAAAAAATAAATGCTATTTATTTTTAAAATACACTAATTTATTCTATTTCAGGTAATTCTAATGTACGGTAAAGGTTACTAATGATATGCCAGGAAGAATAAACTATGAAGATCTTCCAATGAAGATTTTCATTTTGAAGCTGAATATGAAAAACAACCCATTTACAAGTGGCAGCTAATTATCTTTATGTGGTGACTCTCAATATGATTAAACTTTATATGAGTTAAAAATATGCCTTATGTTCATCTGCATAGTTTACAAAACAAAATTTTGTTGCTTCCATGATACTATATTTAGATGCTTATCTATGTCCTCCCTGAAAGATTTCAAGTTCCTAAAGGCTGAAAGCCATGTCATATAAAGTATCTGACACAATATAAGAAAAAACGAAACAAACAATAAATGATTGTTGAACTGAACACCAAGAAGTGCAGATTCAACAACTTTTACGATAAACCTGTTTGAAAAAGAGTTATATTTTGAAACAAAATTCTAATACTGAAAGGTCTTGAGAAAAAGAAAGGAGTATTATCTTTAAAACCAGTAAGAATAATGTGCTTTTAATTTTTATAAAGATGAAACTGCTAGAAGGATTTAGCACAGTTTTAAGGTATATCACCACAGATAATATACCAGCAAACTACACTATCATTTCCAATCTTTCTTTAATAAACAAATAGCAGGCCGGGCGCGGTATCTCACCCCTGTAATCCCAGCACTTTGGGAGGCCGAGGCGGGTGGATCACGAGGTCAAGATATCGAGACCATCCTGGTCAACATGGTGAAACCCTGTCTCTACTAAGAATACAAAAAAGTTAGCTGAGCACGGTGGCACGTGCCTGTAATACTAGCTACTCAGGAGGCTGAGGCAGGAGAATTGCCTGAACCCAGGAGGCGGAGGTTGCGGTGAGCCGAGATCGCGCCATTGCACTCCAGCCTGGGTAACAAGAGTGAAACTCCGTCTCAAAAAAATAAATAAATAAACAAATAGCAGAATTATAATTTCAAAAGACTATCTGAGTTGGCAGTTATTATTCATAAGAAACAGCTATTATGCTTTTGTCAAAGGCATATATATTAATTCAACAAATACCAACAAGCAAATGGTTTTGATCTGTATCTCCTGAGAAACTTAGTCTCATGAAAATCCTAATTAGGTGAGAAATTTCTAAGACCTTATCCAATAATTGTCATAATTGTGAATTAGACAACCTCAATCCTTGAAAACATGTATGCACATATGTGAATATGGATGGCAGAAAAAGAAAATTAATCAATACTTAAAATACACTCTTCACGGTCCACAAATTTCAAACTAGAACATACGCATATCTATACCCACCACTGTCCCCCACTGTTTTGCGGGGGATATTGATCACTCTGAATATTCATCACTAACCTTTACAATTTTGTTTACTTTGGCTGAGGATGCTGGAGGTGGAGGTGTTTCTGGGCTGGGTTCAATTTCTTCATCAGGAACAAGGTCAGGGTTAAGTGAAAAGATGCTCTCCAGGTCAATCTGTTCACAACAGACACATATATGTCTTTTGAGACTATATTTTGACAATTAACCGTTTATTTTTCAAATAAATTGACATCGTAAATAACTTAAATTATTTTAGCCTAATGATTACAGAACCTCTGCTGGGTGTAGTGGCTCATGTCTGTAATCTTAACACTTTGGGAGGTCAAGGTGGGCAGATCACTTGAGCCCAGGAGTCCGAGAACAGCCTGGGCAACATTGCGAAACCCTATCTTTATAAAAAATACAAAAAATAGACAGGTGTGGTAGTGCAGCTACTCTGTAGTAGTCCGAGCTACTCTGGAGATAGGTGGGAGGATCATTTGAGCCCAGGAGGTCAAGGCTGCAGTAAGCCGTGATCATGCCACTGCACTCCAGCCTGGGTGACAAAGTAAGATCCTGTCTAAAAAAAACAAAAAACAAAAACCAAAACAGTAACAACAGTGCCTTAGCCTTACAAACTAGATTTAGAATTATAATCCACAAATTTAAAGAATCTCTCCTAAAATATCATTTTACAGTCTTGACTCTATGAACTGCTAACTACACAGTGACCAATAGAACCACATAATTAAATATTATAGCATATTTTCAAATTGTGTGAGCTAGGGTAAAATAATTTTATTTTATTTTTTGAGACGGAGCCATGGTAAAATAATTTTATTTTTTATTTTTTTTGAGATGGAGCTATGGTAAAATACTTTTATTTTTTATTTTTATTTTTTGAGATGCAGTCTTGCTCTGTCGCCCAGGCTGGAGTGCAGTGGCACGATCTCAACTCATTGCAACCTCCACCTCCCAAATTAAAGCAATTCTCCTGCCTCAGCTTCCTGAGAAGCTGGGACTACAGAGGCACATCACCACATCCAGCTAATTTTTGTATTTTTAGTAGAGACGGGGTTTCACCAAATTGGCCAGGCTGGTCTTGAACTCCTGACCTTGTAATCTATCTGCCTTGGCCTCCCAAAGTGCTGGGATTATAGGTGTAAGCCACCATGCCTGGCCAAGAATATGTTTATCAAATAATTAACAAGATTGATATGTGCAATCACATAAGAGACATAGGTGGAATCTACCTATAAGTGAAAATTTTTAATCATTTGAAAGTTTTCAAGGAATAATCAAAATATATGCACTAAATAACATTATGTACTTTACTGTTTTGTTTTGCATTCAGAATCTTGAGTGCAGGACTAGGAATACAATTTAACCCAGTGATCTTACCTCTTTGCCTTTTGTATCTCCATTTTCTATCCATTCAACAGTTACACTTTCATTATCTTCATTTAAAGATGTTACCATTGCTTGATGTATTCGGCCTAAGTGGGAATAGGGCATACACGTTAAAAATGTCACAAATTATGGCATTCCTAAACTTGCAAATTAAAAAAAAAAAAAGACACTACCTTTCCTTATGAGAGATTTTCACACACCCTCAGGCACAGGCAATGAACTTTGTCCATGGGGCCATAAATCAATTTGCTACTTGTCAAATCCAGGAAATCAGTAAATCACATGAGAACTACAGTTTATTTTCAGCGTATATGATAAATGGTCACAGAGTAACACAGAATGCCTGAAATCTTAAACTCTTAAATAGTTCTAATTATTAGAAAGTTTCCTTACTATGAGCCAAAAATGATTCTGTAAAACAAAGAAGAACAATTATAAAGCAAATTTTTTCTTTTTTTTTTTCTGAGACAGTCTTGCTCTGTCACCCAGACGACAGTACAGTGATGCAATCGTGGCTCACTGCAAGCTCCGCCTCCTGGGTTCAAGTGATTCTTGTGCCTCAGTCTCCTGAATAGCTGAGATTACAGGCATGCGCCACCACACCCAGCTAATTTTTGTATTTTTAGTAGAAACAGGGTTTCGCCACATTACACAGGCTGGTATCAACATCCTGGCCTCAAGTGATCCACCCACTTTGGCCTCCCAATGTGATGAGATTACAGGCATGGGCTACTACACCTGGCTTGGAAAGCAATTTTAAGTTATTATACTGATATAAAATACGTCTTAAAAACCACTTTTTACCATATATAATGCAAATTGATAAAATTTTAAAATTAAGAAATCTGAGTTCAAAAAGGTTAGGAAATGCTAATTTAAAATGTCCTCTTATATATGCTATCTATCCAAATCTATTCTATTCCTTGCTTTTCCTGACTATTCCAGTCTTACCATCTGTAGAGAGACGATATTATACATAATATATTAAATTTATTTTCCCCTCTTAGTAGACTGTAGGTTTTATCTGTTAATAACTGTAGATCTAAATAATTATTTTTAATTACTACATATTTCATTATGTTTATCATAAGTTATTTAATACCTATTGATGGTCACTTAGGTTATGTGCAATTTATTATTATTATAAACACTGCAACGAATACTATATTATATTTGTCATTATGTACTTGTTGGATTATTTGCCTAGGACAAATTCCTAGAAGCACACCAACAGAATATATACATATATTAAATACTTTTAAAAAATTTATTTCATCTGTTTCATCTTACCTATTCATTTGGTTATTAGTTAAGTACAGACAGAAACTATACAATATATTTGCATCTTCAATATTTCCTAATAGAATGCTGAACATATGGAATTTTGGTATGTATTTCCTAAATGAAATCCTTGAGGGCATCTATGATTTACCTTACGATAATGTATAGCTCTTTAAATGTCTAAAAACAGATATATAGTACCTAAAACAGTGTTATTATAATGAGGCTTATGATACTGTTAAAGAAAATATGGGCACTGTAATAATTTGGTAATTATTGTTTATGGAAATTACTCTCACTGAGAGTATTTTATTTTATTTTATAATAGAGACAGGGTCTCGCTATGTTGCCCAAGCTAGTCTCAAACTCCTGGGCTCAGGTAATCCACTTGCCTTGGCCTGCCAAAGTGCTGAGATTATAGGCTTGAGTCACTGTGCCCGGCCTACCTTTTCTTTTTTCTCTTTTTGTTTTTAAGACAGAGTCTCAAGCAATGCTCTTGCCTCAGCTTCCCGAGTAACAGCTGGTATTACAGGCGTGCACCACCATGCCTGGCTGTTTTTTTTTTTTTGTTTGTTTGTTTTTGAGACAGTCTTGCTCTGTCACTGAGAATGGAGTGCCGTGGAGCCATTTCAGCTTATCGCAACTGCTGCCTCCCATTCAAGCAATTCTCCTGCTTCGGCTTCCCAAGCAGCTGGAATTACAGGCATGTGCCACCACGCCCAGCTAATTTTTGTATTTTTGGTACAGACAGGGTTTTGCCATGTTGATCAGGCTGGTCTTGAACTCTTGACCTCAAGTGATCTGCCCTCCTCAGCCTCCCAAAGTGCTGGGATTACAGGTGTGAGCCACCATGCCCGGCCCTGGCTAAATTTTGTATTTTTAGTAGAGGACAGGGTTTGTCCATGTTGGCCAGGCTGGTTTCAAACTCCTGGCCTTAAGCGATCTGCCCATCTCTGTCTCCAAAAGTACTGGGACTATAGGCATGAGTCACCATGCCTGGTCTTGTGGCCTACCTTTTTTATATGAGCTCATATAAAATTCCATGTAAGTGATAAATGAACATAATCTTGTAGATTTCAAATAGTGAGGATGTTAAGTACCATCAAATGATACATTGGTGCTACTTTAAAAAAAAAAAAACTAAACTAAAATATATACTAGTGGTCTTTCCATGACAGTATATATAGACCTACCTATTATTTTTCATAACCATATAGCATTCCATAAATCAATATATCACAATTTATTCCTTTATTAGGAATATTATTTCCAACTGTTTGCCATTAAAAGATACCACACTGAATATCTGAATGTAGGTGTGAATGTTTCCACAAATAAAATTTCTAGGAGAATTCGTGGGTCATTAATGTTAACATTTTGATAAATATTCCTAAACCGCTCTTCATACACATTCTCACCAACAGTGGGACCTATTCCTCCACATCCTCATCAACACTGAACATTATCAATCCTAAAATTTTTATCATTTCATGTGTCAGATTTTTCTAAGCTACTACTTTTTAAGCATGCATATGTCAGATACTAGCTCATTTAATTCATATTAGTTCACTTAATAACAAATATACCTACAACATAGGTATCTGTATTTAAAGATGAGAAAAATAAAACTCAAGGTTACAAAGTGAGTAAGTAGCATGGATCTAAACCTTGGTCAGATTTAAAAGTACTTGCCATTAATCATTATGCTTCTCTAACCACTTCAATTAAGCTGATGAAGATGTCTACATATCTTTAAGTCCAGGCATTCCTATAAAAATTTATAAAATGTAGCACAAATTCTCAACCCTCATGTTTACCAGGAACTCCTAGGGAGCTTTTACAAAATAAAATGACCCTGCTTGAGACTTGCCCCCAGATAATAAGCCAATTCTTAACAACTATACTGCTATCACCTTGGTGCAAGCTACCAATGCCTTGTACTTAGTTTACTGTGATACTCTCCCAACTAGTCTTCCTGCTTCCAACGTATCTGCTCTCTGTCTATTCTCCAGAGCAGCCAAAATGTTCCCGGTAAAAACTAAGTCAGATATTACTCCTTTGCTCAAAACCTTCCAATGACTCCCCATTCCATCTCACACAGAGTAGAAGCTAAAGTCCCTTCAACGGTCTATTAATGACTTATAACAAAGCCCTACATGATCTGACCTGCATTACCTGTGACCTCCTTCGTCCCTCACTAGAATAACTCCTTTTTAATTGTCTGATTCCTGTCTTACAAAATACCACCTCCATTCTCCCTGCACCCATAAAAGATGGGTCATAAACTTAAATGTGAAAGATGTAAAAGCAACTGAGTAAACAGTGGTGCTTTTTACTAATATAGATGGACATCAGAGGATATGCAGGTGCTAGGGATGGAGGAAAATGATGATCTAAAAAATACTGGGAGGAGTCAAAAGGAGTTACAAAAGGGAAATCAGATAATCCTTACTTCAATTTTAGAAATCAATTAGGTGGTAAATAACCAGTGGAAGCAGTATGTGTCATGTGGGGTCCTTTGAGAAGCAGACGAGAGTTAGGAGTACAAGAGGTTTATTGTTCAAGATAAAAGAGGGAGGAAAGAGGACTGGGCACAGAAAACTTTCAGACCAGGTCAGGCGCAGTAGCTCATGCCTGTAATCCCAGCATTTCGGGAGGCCAAGGTGGGCAGATCACTTGAGGTCAGGAGTTTGAGACCAGCCTGGCCAATATGGTGAAACCCCATCTCTACTAAAAATACAAAAATTATCTGAGTGTGGTGGTATGCGCCTGTAATCCCAGCTACTTCGGAGGCTGAAGCGGGAGAATCACTTAAACTCAGGAGGCGGAGGTTGCAGTGAACAGATTGCTCCACTGCACTCTGGCCTGGGCAACCAAGTGAGACTCTGCTTCAAAACAAAATTAAATTAAAAATTAAAATTAAAAAAGGAAAACTTTCAGACCATGATACAGATTTAAAACCTAGGAAGGAAGTGGCTGTGAAGCAGGACTGAGCAGAGAAAGCTTCAGACCTTGACAAAGATCTAGCAAAGTCTTGGTCAACCCAGTAGGGTGCTTTAGAGCAAGACTGTCCATTACAGGAGTCCTTACCCAGGCCATGCTCTATCATTGGATGTGGATTTCTCAGGAAATTCAAGTTCTCAATCCCAAATCTAAAGATCCTGAAGGTACTAACAACCGGAGATTGTCAGCTAACTACACTCCCTGAAACTGAAATTATTTCTTAGAGAGACATCTAAGCAGTGTATCTGCATGGTCGTCATAGCATATGAAAAAGAGGATGAGTTTAACTGGTAGTAGAAATGAAGAGTGGACCCCAGAGAGTCATAAGCAGCCCAGTCACCATCACAATCTGGGAGGAGCCTACCACTGCTGCATCAAGCCCTTCATCAATCACCCTCTCTACAACATGAACAGTGAGGCTGAGACCTGGCAGCCATCCTTTTCCCAATCACCCCTGGCAGCCCCACAAACATTGGTACCCACTAGTAGGGACAAGAAGATTATAGCAACAAAGGTTTTGGAGAAAGTAAAAGGGTTTAATAAAACATTGATATGGTTTCATCAACAGAAAGGAAGGAGATATTTGAGCCTAAGGAAGATGCATTTGAATATTAGACTACTGTGAAGAATAACCCTCAGTAGGAAATGAAGAGGCTGTGGTTGAGGTTAAAGAAAAAAGACACCTAGCTATCAAATCTAGTTGGGAAAAAAAAAAAAGAGTTACCAAGGTGGATCTCCATACAATTATCAGTAGAGTTACCACAATATGATAATGGGGAAAAAATACGTGCATATTCCAAAAGGCAAGACCAATACAATCATTCTTTTTGTTGGGCATCTACCATGGTATTCCCACCCTTCTGGGCAAGGAGTGATTTAATGTACCATAACTAGGTGTGCAAAAGAAAAGGTGGGACAGTGGAGCAAAATACCAGGACTACAGGTCACAAATTCATAGGGACCTTAATCTCCAAAGACAGTTTGGAGAGACTGGCAATGAGAGGATAAAGGAAATCAAGGGGGCTGGGCACAGTGCCTCATACCTGTAATCCCAGTACTTTGGGGGGGCAGAAGTAGGAGGATGGCTTGAGCCCAGGAGTTTGAGACCAAGTTGGCAACAGAGCAAGACCTCAACTCTACAAAAAAAAAATTAAAAATCAACAGGGCATGGTGCTGTCTGCCTATAGCCCCAGCTACTTGGGAGGCTGAGAGGTACAAGGATTCCTTGAGTCCAGGAGATAAGGATGCAGTGAGCCGTGATTACGCCACTGCACTCCAGCTTGGGCAAGAGCAAGATGCCGTCTCAAAAAAAAAAAAAAAAAAAAATCAAGGACAGAACAGCCAGCATTAGCAGTCTCCTCAACGTTGGAACCTCTACGATCTCAAACACCAGTGCACACATCCAGAAAGCCTTAAATCACAAGTCTGCAGAGTCAAAAGTGTCTGATCTAAGACTAAACTTTAAAGACTAAATTCTAGAGGTTGAGCAGGGCAGCACTGAGAAATTCGTTGCCTTATCTCTACCATAATCCAGTTTACTCATCCAACAACAAGTAGAGAATATGAAATTCCAGCAATAAGAAATTATTAAACAAAGTCTTAATCATTTGCTTTTTGCCAATTAATCAGATAACTAGAACCATCTATACTACCTGCAATACCAGTGCAGCATGGGGCTTTTATTTGCACCACAAGATGTCTATAAAAATGTTGTTTTCTTTTTAAAAACCAACCTTTCCCAAAATGCCTTTAATAATTTTTTTAATTGTCTTATATACGACATTTCATTGAGCTACTCAAATACCTCTTTAAATTGTAATACAAATTTGATTTTCTTTTAAAATTTTGATTTTTTTTCTTTTAAACAAATACATCTCTTGATTTATTTCAAAAGTCAAATAGTAACCACCTGTTAACAAAGGTGTTAAGTAATGAGAGAAACAATAAGATACATGAAAAAATTTTTCAAAGGAAAAAATTATGATACAGTGACAACATAGGCATAAGAAGAAGGTGTCAAGCCTGGATGACTGGGAGAATGATGGTACTAGGGGGAAAACAATGAGATGCCTGAGTGTTTGTTATTAATAGAGATCATGCATAGATGTCAGTAAGACTAATCAGGACTAGAAATATCTTTCCCTAGAAACTGCAGTCTTCCCATGTGCACCTCCAAATACCATCTCATTTCTCTGATCCACCTAAGAAAACTGTACTCCATCTTCACTAACTCACTGCCCTTTGACTCTCTGATTCATCATTTACTTTACTGCGAATTATATTACATATACTTCCATATTAAAAAAAAAATAGAGCAAACACCTGTGTAACTATCACCAGCTAGGTTAAAAAACCCTTTTGAAACCCTGTATGTTCCCCTCCCAAAGGAAACAACTGCCAGGCGCAGTGGCTCACACCTGTAATAATCTCAACAAACACCTTAGGAGGTTCAGCCAGGTGAATCACCTGAGGTCAGGAGTTTGAGACCAGGCTGGCCAACATGATGAAACCCCATCTCTACTAAGAGTACAAGAACTTAGCCGGGCATGGTGGTGTGCGCCTGAATCCCAGCTACTCGGGAGGCTGATGCTGAAGAATTGCTTGAACCCAGGAGGCAGAGGCTGCAGTGAGCTGAGATTGCACAATTGCACTCCAGCCTGGGTGACAAGAGCAAAACTCCATCTCAAAAAAAAAAAGTAACCTCCACCATGACATTTGAGATAATCATACTTTGGCTTTTCTTTAGAGTTTTACCACCTTTAAATGTAACACATACACACAGAAATCTAAACAGTTTCCTTCTCTTTAAATTGCATATACATGGATTAACACTACTTTAAGAATTGAGGGTTCCTTTTTGTTTGCTCAATACTATTTTTTGAGATTCACTTAAGTTGTACACATAAAATGTATATAACTCATTTTCATTACAGTATAGCATTTTATTGCATGAATATATCACATTTTATCTATTCTACTATCGGACATTTGAGTCGTTATGTTTCTGCTATTAGGAACAATGATGCTATGGGCATTCTTACATATGTTTACTGAAATAAATGTGCAATAATTTCTCTAGGTATATGAGAAAAAATACAGAATAACTGAGTCCACATATATAAAACTTTTCTCTTTAGTGCCATGTTTCCTATCTATAGTAGCTATGTGATAGTTTGTATATTCGTCCCTGCCTAAATCTCATGCGGAATCATAATCCCTATATTGGAGGTGGGGCCTGATGGAGGTGATTGGATCATGGGGGTGGATTTCTCAGGAATGGTTTGGCACCATCCACTTGATGATGAATGCTGTCCTCAGAGTGAGCTCTGTTCTCTGATTGTTTAGAAGTGTGTGGCACCTCCCTCTCTTTTGCCCCCGCCCCCTTAGCCTTCATGAGGCCTCTCCAGAAGCTGAGCAGATGCCGGTATCATGCTTCCTGCAAAGCTGCAGACCTGCAAGCCAATTAAACCCCTTTCTTCATAAATTACAAAGAATCAAGTATTTCTTTATAGCAATGAAAGATGGGCCTAACACACAGTACCTGTAATGATCTGTAATCCTCTAACAATTACTCCAGATTCATGAAAACACTTAATATTAGCCAGATTTAACATGTCATATTATGGTTCTAATTTCTCTGATTTAATGAGGTTTATGCTTATTTTTGTGCTTGTTAGCCATTCAGGCCTTTTGAGTACTGACTTGAGTGTTGGGGTCTTTTTCTTTTGGCTAATTCTCTATAGGAATTCTCTTTATACCCTTGGTATTAATCTTTTGTTGTATGTATGGCAAGTCTTTTCTACAAAGTTGTGGCTTATCTTTTCATGTTCTTTATAGTGCCTTTTGATGAATTCAGGTTCTTAATTTTTTGTTTGTTTTTGAGACAGAGTCTCATTCTGTCCCCCAGGCCGGAATACAGTGGCGCCATCTCAGCTCACTGAAAACTCTGTCTCCAGAGTTCAAGCAGTTCTTCTACCTCAGCCTCCGGAGTAGCTGGGATTACAGGCGCCTGCTACCACACCCAGCTAATTTTTGCATTTTTAGTAGAGACATGGTTTCATCACCACATTGGCCAGGCTGGTCTCCAATGCCCGACCTCAGGCAATCCGCCATCTCAACCTCCCAAAGTGTTGGGATTACAGGTGTGAGCCACCACACCTGGCCTAAATTCTTAATTTTAATGTAGTCAAATATGTGTTTTTCCACTATGGATTTTTTTTTTTGGTGTGTTATAAAATTTTTCCTAAGACTGAGATCCCTAAAACAGTCTCTTACACTTTCTAAGTTTTACAAGCTGGGTATGGTGCCTCAGGCCTGTAATCCCAGCACTTTGGGAGGCCGAGGTGGGTGGATCACTTGAGATCAGGAGTTTGAGACCAGGCTGGCCAACATGGTGAAATCCCAACTCTACAAAAATTCAAAAAATTAGCCGGGTGTGGTGATGAGTGTCCATAATCCCAGCTACTTGGGAGGCTGAGACAGGAGAATTGCTTGAGCCTAAGAGGCAGAGGTTGCAGTGAGCCAAGATCTCGCCACTGCAATCAAGTCTGGGTGACAGTGAGATTCCATCTCAAATACATAAACTTTTACAAAACCTTTCACATTTGGGACCTTAATCCATTGGCATTTTGATATTTTTGTATGATAACACAATTTCCTTTTTAGGACCATATCCTGAAAATCCCCTTTCCCTCTACTTATCTGCAATACTACCTGTGTCACAATTCAAGCCTACATGCATGAGTTTATTTCTTTATCCCTGAACTAAAAGTATTTAGTATTATAGCTTTGCTTATTATTATTAAGTCTTGCCATATAGCAGAATAAGCCCTCCTGCTTCATTGTTCCTTAAGAGTATTCTTAAGGAATTCTAAAGTATAAACTTTACAATCAGCTTGTGAAGTTCCAAAAAGTCATATAAACCAACAATCACAAAACTACCTGTTGGGATTCTGACTAGAACGGCATTGTCTGTTTTGTTCAGGATTATTTTTTTTCTTTATACCTTCCAGCTATGATATTCTAGATTTTCACATCATTAATCAATGATATGAAACTGGCCAGCGGTTTTCCTTTCTCAAAACCACTTTTTTAAGAGTTTGGGAATCTCACTCTGTGCCCAGGCTTAAGTATGGTGGTGTGATCATGGCTCACTGCAGCCTCATGTGATCCTCCTGCTTAAGCCTGCTGAGTAGCAAGGATTATTGGCATGCACTACCATGCCTGGCTAATTTTTTGTAGAGATGGGGTCTTGCTATGTTGACCAGGCTGGTCTTGAACTTCTGGTCTCAAACTATTACCCTGTATCAGCCTCTCAAAGTGCTGGAATTACAGGTGTAAACCACTGTGCCCAGCATCTCAACAACCTTATTAGATTTTGGTATCATGGTTATAATAATCTTTTTTTTTTTGAGACAGTCTCCTTCTATCGCTGAGGCTGGAGTGCAATGGTGAGATCTCGGCTCACTGCAACCTCCGCCTCCCAGGTTCAAGCAATTCTCTCCTGCCTCAGCCTCCCGAATAGCTGGGATTACAGGCACATGCCACCACACCTGGCTAATTTTTTATTTTTAATAGAGATGGGGTTTTGCCATATTGGTCAGACTGGTCTGGAACTCCCGACCTTAGGTGATCCGCCCACCTCAGCCTCCCAATGTGCTGGGATTATAGGCATGAACCACCACGCCCAGCTGGTTATATTAATCTTATAAAATGATTTTCTGTGGCAAAGCTCTCCCTTTCTGTACTCTAGAATAGTTGGTGTGAAATTAAATTATTTGACTCTTGAGTATTTGGTAGGCAAAAACTTGTTAAACCATCTTGGTTTGCGTTATTATAGAAAGATCCAATTTCCTTAATAATTAGATAATTATTTTTTATTCTTCTTTTCATAATTATATTGTTCTAGATGTTTTAGATAAGGTTTCCACATTTTTGGCACCAAGTTCATAGTATCTGTTTAATGGCTCTGGCATCTGATATGATGTCCACATTTTCATTCCTAATTTTTTAGTAAACTTTTTTCTCTTAAATAATTTCAACTGGGATTTGTCCATTTTATTTGTCTTTTCCAAGAATAAACCTGGCTTTGTTGAGCCTTTTTTTTTTTTTTGAGACGGAGTTTCGCTCTTGTTACCCAGGCGGGAGTGCAATGGCGAGATCTCGGCTCACCGCAATCTCCGCCTCCTGGGTTCAGGCAATTCTCCTGCCTCAGCCTCCCAAGCAGCTGGGATTACAGGCACGCACCACAGTGCCCAGCTAATTTTTTGTAATTTTAGTAGAGACGGGGTTTCACCATGTTGACCAAGATGGTCTCGATCTGTTGACCTAGTGATCCACCCACCTCGGCACCCCAAAGTGCTGGGATTACAGGCTTGAGCCACCGCGCCCAGCCTGTTGAGCCTTTTTATTAGGTGTCATTATGTACGTAATTTCTGCTACTATTACTTCTTTCTTTCAACTTACTTTGGGCATATTTTACTGTTTTTTCCCTTTAAATTCTTCGGATGAATGTTTAAGTCATTCATCATCTTTATTCTTTTTTCTTCATGAGCGGCTAAAGCTACACATTTATTTCCCAGAACTGCTTTAGCAGCATCTTACAAGTTTTTACATGTAGTATTTTTGTTATTGTTCAGTTCCACCTGTTTTTCTATTTTCATGATTCTTTGTCTCATGAGTTATTTAGAAATGTTTCTCAAATTCCAGATATGGAAGCTTTCTGCGTATCCTGTTAATGATTTCTAAAGGTGAGACACCTGACCAAGCAGAAAAGACAGAGCCACAATAATTGGTACCACTTTCCCAGTGCACAGTGGCTGAATACCCCTGTATTTCTACCATAACTGTACTGGACTGCCTGCCTTGATGAAAAAATTTCTTATAAATCTAGCTCCAGGTGCAAATCAGCAGCAATTTTAAAAACAGCATTTAAGAGAAGTCACACAAGTCCTTGTCTTCAAACAGTGAACCTGACTCCAATTCTCCTTTTTTAAAGTCTCTTTCTCTTGCATCATCCTACAGGAATCAAACTTTTGCCATCTATGTCTACTTCAGCCCTACCCATCTCTTAGAATTCCTGTTCCTTTACAATCCATGATCTTGTTTTTGAGCTCAGCTGTGTAGGCCTTTTTGGTTTCCTTTTACTGTTTGGGATAGGAGGGTGCCATTACATGAACTTTCTTTAAGTCATAGGTCAGATTCACAGAAAATGAGGTCAGATTTGAAAATTCTAAGTTTACATTGTTATATAAAATCAATACCACCATTTTAAAAAGTAACATAATTTCAAAATTCTATGGCTTTTTTTTTTTTTTTTGAGACAGAGTTTCCCCCTGTTGCCCAGGCTAGAGTGCAATGGCTCACTGCAACCTCTGCCTCCTGGTTCAAGCGATTCTCCTGACTCAGGCTCCCAAGTAGCTGGGATTACAGGCATGCACCACCATGCCCAGCTAATTTTTTATATCTTTAGTAGAGATGGAGTTTCACCATGTTGGCCAGGCTGGTCTCGAACTCCTGACCTTGTGATCCACCCACCTCGGCCTCCCAAAGTGCTGGGATTATAGGCATGAGTCACCGTGCCTGGCCAGCTTTTTAACACTTAAAACACAGAGACATATTTAAAAGTTTTCCATTTCATTTTAATCTAGTTGTAAAGATAAATTAGTGTAGAAAATGTCATCTGTTGGGGGTAAAGTTAAAAAAAAACTTGCAAAGAGTTTTTTGGAATGATTTTTTTAGTAACATACATTTAATTAAAAATAATATCCACTGTGGCTCTCTCCTCCATTGAGAGGGAAAAGGGTGGTGAGGAGGGGCTGGCAATGTCCACTCCTAGGAATCTGGACAAGCCAGGAGTCCTAGGTTACCCTCCCAGGTTACCCTCTATATCCCCAGCTTTCCAATAGGCTCTGACCTCCAGGGAGTTGGTTCAAAGTTACAAGTGCTTTTGGCCCTCCCTTGAGCTTCTCCAGGCCCACCCATGTATGGAATTCAGGGGCCACCTGGAAAAACCCCTTGCTTTTTCTCATTCTTGGGATCCTTTGTTCATGCTACAAGGAGAATCTGGGGGCAGACTGGAGTCTCTATTAGCTGGGGTAAGGGAGGACATGGACAGTAATGGGGGACAGGGCCAAGAAGAGAGATGGTGATGAATATTCCAGAGCACAACAGGGTAGCAGGGCACTGGGTCACTCAGCATGTTTAGCCCTTCCAGAATCAGTAGCTCCATGCACAGCTCATCTTACAGCCCTAGCCCCAACTCCAACCTGCTACTGATACCTCAAAGCCAGGCACTCCAGCCAGGGTGGCTGCAATCTCCTTAGAGAAACCTGGAGAGTTTCAATAAGGATGACGTTAGGCTTTGAGTTATAGTAGGAGCAGTGATGGGTCAAGTTCTGGTGGTTGAGGGTATGAGGATCCTGAGGACCAGCTACTGGCCCCTCACCTTCTAAAAATCCAAGCCCTTCAGAAAAGCCAGGGGGATCCATCACTAGACTGGTTTATGGGCTCTCTATGCTGAACTGCTCCAGTTCCCTAGGGTGAAGTCACTTATTGTCCAGTGAAGACTTTCCCTAGCCCAGTGGGCCGAGGTGGGTAATGTCCCATAATGCAATTGCCGGCCCAGAGGCCGCCCACCTGAGGGCTGCACTGAGCAGGCCTGAGAGGGCAGCTCTCACTGCTGTAGAGACTTTGGAGTATGTGACTAGGTGTGCAGATTACTGGTCTCCAGGGGGACACCCTGAGTGATGGAAGACAAAGTAGGTGACATTGGCAAAAACTGTTTGGGCAGCTGCTATTGGGACCTTCTGGCATTGGCAGGACCTGCGGGCAAACTTAGGGGGCTGAGGGGTACTTGGAAACAGTGCCGGGAGGCCCCAAGAGTAGAAGTTGGGCGAGGTAGGGGCAGATTGAAAATGAAGTGGGGGATGAAAGGAGGAGAGTCAGGGCAGCACTGAGTGAGGGGTGGCCCAGGAAGGTTGTGGGCAGTGCATGGTGGGCCAAGGAGAAGGCAGGTAGTGAGGGGTGGCTATGGGAGCCCTGAAGATGGGGCTGAGGACTGCTCAGGGATTGCTTAGGGAAGACTGCAGGGATGGGTGGTTGAGAGGTGAATGAAGTCCTGGGGCATCATAACCTGGGCCCAAGTCCATGCCCAGGCCCTCGCTAATGCCCAGGTGAGTCACGATGTGGGTCAAATTGGAGGTACTGTTGCCCCTATTAAGGCTAGGGTGGGCTGTCTCCTCAGGGTGCAGGGGGGTGGGCAGTGTTGGTAGAAAGTGCAAATTGGTGAGATCAGGTAGGAACCTCATCCCACGTCCAGTATTCATGACAGGTGGGAGGACAGGCACATTGGCAGGCTGGCCAGGAGATGGAAAGATGTTAATTCCAGGGACTTCATAAGGACCGGGGTTAGGAGGAAGATGAAGAAAGCTTCTAAGTATCCCATGGCTTCAGCAAATGCTTGTCACCTAGGAGAACTTCTCAACAGCAGGTACTTTAGAGTCCATTTTACCACCCAGAAATGTTGATTGGGCAGGTTGCTGGGAGGTATGGGGCCTGGATAAGTATCCTGGGGACTGGGGTTAATCACACTTGTGTGAAAGGCAAAATCAGAGCTTGTCTTGTTAAATGCAGATGCTAGGTACAATAAGTACCTCTTCTCTGCAGGGAAATTGTCCCAGGACATAGTCCTTCACCAGCTGGACACTTGGGGAGGGGATAAGTAGGCAGGACTATAGGGAGAGCTGTCAATGTGGTAGGGTATTGGCAGGGTAGGGACAACCATTCTGTGAGGATCTGGATGTACCCGTTCTACCAGTCTGTGGTGCCGAGTGTCTTGAGATAAATTAAAAGGTGAGTGGAGGGGGCTCTGGAACTAGGCCAGGCTGAAACGAATCTGGTTAATATTAGGCAAAGAACAACCATAATGGGAGCCCCACGTGTATGGCAATTGCAATCCTGTGTAACTGGGTGAAGCCGATGTCCATTAACATCTCCTCGAGGGCTGCTGTGTCCTCAGCCTGATGCTGCTTCTGCAGCATGATCTCACTAAACTTGCAAAGATTGGAAGCCAATGCTGTGGCCAAACAAGGCTCATTTGCCCCTGCCCCTGATGTCGCCATCTTCCTCCTCTGTTCCTTCCTGACATCTTCCTCCTTCCCCAGTACAAGCCACTGTTCCTCTCTCAACACCTCCCAGCATCCTACTCCAGCAGTAGCCACTGCCACCTCAGCCTCACAGTATTGGAAAGTACAGGCAAACCCTGCAGAATAGCTCCCCAATCATTATTTTCCCAATAGAAGGCCTCTTGGATTTTAATACCAAAACTTCCTAAAAACGTACTTTTCTCACAATGCAAGATATTTCTGGCCAATATTTATGTAAGGAAAGATTTATATTTAGCATTTTAAATAAAAGAATATGCAAGAAAAGTTTGGAGTTACATTCCAAATATAATCAATAGACTGTTAGAATCACAATAGACATAAATAATCATGCCAAGTATCAAAGTAATACAAAATGTAGGCAAAGGATGATGCTTTTATTATATTCAGTATAAGCCATTTACTAACAGTTTGCTTGTCCTTAATATATTTCTACAGCCTCTCATATATTTGTTTAGTCCTTCTTTGGCTTAGTGCTAAGAGTCCCTAAACATTTTTTAAATGTTGAAGAAAACATTTATAATAGAAATGGGCAAAAAAGCAATTATAATGGAAAAAACATTTACTATATATAAATCTGATTTGTTAATCTCATTGTTTATTGATCATACATGATGATGTTCTACTTATACAAAGGTAAATCACAGTGGTTACATTTCTGAACTTGGTTAGGGAGTTCACGTTGATATACTGTCATTTTTTTCCCATTAGTCTACATTCAACCATTTGACCTAAAAAAAATGACAATTTCATATGGTTCAATGTAATACAAAAGTAATGTTCACCCCAAACTTAGATGTTAAAAATTTATGAAAATAAAATCTGCTACATCAAAGAATATAAACATAATAAATGTTTTGAAATATAATCTTTAATCAAAGTCATTTTATGTTTAGTTCATTTTAAGAAATATCTTTACCTCACTTAAGGCTCAATTTTTTGTTAGGGTGAAATTTCAGGGCAAACAGTTAAGATCTCAACTTTTTAATATCTGTTGGTAAATATCAAGACACATGATTTTTAAAAAGAAAAAAAAGCCACAAATGACTGAACAGAACATACATGCAAATCTAAGCCATCTTTGCTTCAGTGAATAAATTCATATTTCAAGACTTTCTAATCTTTAAGATAATTACTTAAGATCTGGTATTAGTGCTATTTAATTTGTCATAAAAGCTCATATATTCATTGAGCTGTCAAAAACAAGTTTTACATGTTGACAATTGCCTTTTGGTCTCTGAAAACAGGGTCCTATTATATGTTTTCCAGTTCGCAGCTGAGTTCACAGCAGCTGTGAGGCTAAGAAATGCCAGCAACCAATTAGGCTGGCATAAACCTTGTCTAGCATATAAAGTATAATTTGGTTGCAAATGTAGGAGACAAGAGCCAAAATAAGTCAGCCAAGAATACTAATAAAATTTCATTACAAGCATTAAAAGTCAGAATATTTAAAATCTAACAATAATATGTATTTTATTAAGAGGATATAGTAGAACATTAGGAAAAATATGAAAAAGCAACAATCAATTCTTTTCAGACCCAAGTAGTTTTTTAAAAAGGTTGCAGCTGTTTCTGACATACCTAGGATTACAAACTCTATGGGTTTTTTTTTTTCCTCTAACTAGCCTAATCATAGGATTGTGGTATACAATCATACACATGGCAAGTCTTCTCCCAAAGTGAACATTATTTTTATCCGTTTCCCTTAAGATGTTTCTATGAAAATTTCTCTTCATACTTTTAAGATATTAAGACCTTTATATATATATATATATATATATATATTTTTTTTTTTTTCTTGAGATGTAGTCTCACTCTGTTACCCAGGATGGAGTGCAATGGCCATGATCTCAGCTCACCACAACCTCCGCCTTCTGAGTTCAAGTGATTCTCCTGCTTCAGCCTCCCAAGTGGCTGGGATTACAGGCATATGCCACCACGCCTGGCTAATTTTTGTATTTTTAATAGAGATGGGGTTTCACCATGTTGGCTAGGCTGATCTAAAACTCCTGACTTCAGGTAATCCACCAACCTTGGCCTCCCAAAGTGCTGGGATTACAGGCGTGAGCCACTGCACCCCGCCTAGACCTTTATAAAAATTTCAAAACCTAAATATGTATAAGAACAACACAACTTAAATGATTAGTAAAAATAAAACTTCAGTTAAAAGACTGTTTATAATGGCTATTTCCAAACTCTTTGAAGTTGTTTAAATCTGTTTTGTTTAAAGTATGAGAAATTTAAAAATATAACAAAATCAATGCTTTATAAAATATTACTACAAAAATATAATTTAAAACATTTTACATATATATTGAAAAAGTTAGTAGTCACTGGTGATTCATATGCATACAGCCATGTAATGAAAATAGGAAAATCTAGCTTACATGCCAATAAATTAAAATATATAGTGTATCTATTCTTTTTTTTTTTTTTGGAGACCCAGTCTCACTCTGTCACCCAGGCTGGAATGCAGTGGTATGATCCTGGCTTACTGCAACCTCCGCCTCCCGGGTTCAAATGATTCTCGTGCTTCAGCCTCCCAAGTAGCTGGGATTACAGGCATGAATCACCACACCAGGCTAATTTTTGTATTTTTAGCAGTGATGGGGTTTCGCCACGCCAGCCAGGCTGGTCTTAAACTCCTGACCTCATGTGATATGCTCACCTTGGCCTCCCAAAGTGCTGGGATTATAGGCGTGAGCCACCAGTGTATCTATTCTTGATAAAACCTCTAGCAACCCCTTCCATTTTCAATCAGAATACCACCGAATAATTTGAAAGCATTTTAAATAGACTTGTAAAAATATACTAATAAAATCTAGTTATCTCCTGTACCTTTCAAGCAGAGACTAGGAGGGAAACATGCATAAAATATCCATTCTCAGGAGAACAAAGAAATAAATATTACTCTGAATTATAAAATCACACATTCAGACCAAATGTCTGGCAGAACAATGTTGTTTCCAGAAGATGAGTAAAATACAAAAGCTTACTCAAAGTGGTTGGTAAACAGATACCTGAAAAGAAGTACTTTCTTCCAAGTCATTTCACACCAGATAAATTATCTTAGAACACACTGATGATAAAACCTTCGCCACTTCACATGAGGTGATTGATTAAAACCTGTCTTAAATAATAAGTTTCTCATTTTTCTTTTTTGAGACAGGGGTCTCACTCTCGCCCAGGCTGAAGTGCAATGGTGTCATCTCAGATCACTGAAACCTCTGCCTTGTGGGTTTAAGCGATTCTCTCACTTCAGCTTTCCAAGTAGCTGGGACCAGACATACCTGCCACCACACCAGGATAATTTTTGTATTTTCTGTAGAGATGGGTTTTTGCCGTGTTGCCCAGGCTGCTCTCAAACTCCTGGGCTCACATGATCTGCTCACCTCGACCTCCCAGAGTGCTGGGTCTATAGGCATGAGTCACTGTCCCTGGACCCATTTTTATTAAATAATAATTAAATACATAAATAGTGGTTCCAATCAATTGTATATTTAGTTATTAGAACCAATTGCCAGTGTAGCATGCAAATTCAAAAACTTTACTGCCATCTTTCCAAGTTAAGTCATAGTAAAACATATTAATTAGCTTTCATTCTCTAAAGAGGTTTGTTTTAAGGTTGGTCTTTTAAAACAGATACAATTCCTTTCTTCAGTTTATTAAAAGAATTCTAAAAGGATGTTTCAAGAATATGACAACAATTCCCCTCTTTAATAAATTTATAATATTATGATCTTATAACAGCAAAATGGAGAAAAATTAGAAAAACAAAGACTGTCAAATGCTGCTTTAAAACAGACTAAAAGGACAAGGATGCTACAAAAATGCATTATTTTGAAAATGGAAGTTAACTACACAGTAACGTTAACTACAACACTAGTATTCATACATTGTATCTTGGTTTTGCCAACTACCTCAAAGCAGTTTATTTATAATCTAACAGTAAATGTCAATTTATTCCTAGGTGCCACTGACCAGTAAATGAGGACAGAAAGAAATTTGATTTGTTGGAGATCATACAGCAGAGCAGCAACAGATCCAGCAGAAGTCAAAGTCTCAAACTCTGATATTCAGGTTGTGTTAGCTAATCTAAGCAGTGAGGAAAAGAATCCTTCATGAGGACTATGTAGCATTACAACTTCTTCAATAGTTTTAGTGGAACAAGAAGGACATAAATAATGTCTCAGCTGACACTGGTTAACAGTGCTGTTGCTGTTTAGTAAATCTCCGGGGAATGTGATTTTGCCAAACATAGAGACCTTTCTCTTTGGCTTATCACACTTAAGATGTTACTGTTTTTTAACCAAGTTAAAAGTTCTAGTATTTCCTTTCTTAGACATTAAAAGTTTGACATGAGGAGAGAAAAAAGGAAATGATATACCTAAGATTTTCATTAAAAAAAACACAACTTTAAAATGGGACAAATTTTATTCATATTGAAACAAACTATGAATTTTCTTTCTTTTTTTTTTTTTTTTTTGACAGAGTCTTGCTCTGTTGCCAGGCACAAGGATGGAGTGCAGTGGCACAATCTCGGCTCACTGCAACCTCTGCCTCCCGGGTACAAGTAATGTTCCTGCCTCAGCCTCGTAAGTAGTCCTGGCTAGGACTACAGGTGCTTACCACCATGCCCAGCTAATTTTTTTTTTTTTTTTTTTGTAGAGACAAGGTTTCACCATGTTGGCCAGGATGGTCTTGATCTCTTGACCTCGTGATCCGCCCACCTCAGCCTCCCAAAGTGCTGGGATTACAGGTGTGAGCCAACGCACCTGGCCACAAACTATGAATTTTCAAATTCTTACCTCATCTATTGTTTTGAAAAAGGATGTGAAAACTTAGTAGCACTCAGTTCCTCTGGGGGATGCCGAAGTTTCAGATTTGTTGAGCTGCACACTAACAATTAAGGTAGCATTATTATTTAGAAAGGCCTATTGTACAACTTTTTAGAAAAGTTTCATTCTGAATTTGCCTAACAGTAATAAGAAAAATGACATAAAGGATCTATGACAGCATTAAAAAACATTAAATCACTGTAGTTTCCTGATGTTATTCAGCATATTTGGGGTTGGGGGAAGGGAGGGTTAAACCACCCCCCAAACCACTTGTAAAGAGAACATAAAAACCAAAATTCTAAATTCACAATGTAACATGATTATGATTCTAGCTGAAACAGTAAAAATGTAACAAGAAAACCCCACAGTACTAGAAATAACATTTCATGAAGTTTATTAACAAGCAAACTAACAATCTCAGAACCTATGAGCCTTAATAGGCTATTCTTCATATCTACATTCCCATGGGTGACAGAATATACCAAATGTATCTTTACTCATGTGTTAAAGTATAAAAGATTTCCTGTTTAGAATACCAAAGACTTTTACAGTGATGCTGTTGCAGCAACATGTTGCTAATAGTTCAATATTCTGAAGAACTGTCTTTCCCAGATGTTCTCCTGAATATACCAAGCAATGCTATCTAATTGCTCCCTGGCTTAAATTTTTATTTACCCAAAAGGGAATTCCATACCAATACAGCTGTGCTATTCTGTGAACTTTTCACAGCTACATGTAGATACCACCTTCTCTTATGCATATATCCTAAAGGGACACAGGGATCATCTTGTGGAATGTTTTTCAACTGTCAGTGCAATGTTACTATTCCCCCCAGGACTCTGTCATCCCAACTCCTACTCCACTCTACTTATGGGAAGCCTATGATGGTAGTGGCCCAGAGTCATGGAAATTTCTACTTTCAAAACCTGGCCAATTTGGGTTGGGAGAATAAATGATCACTCCTCTAAGCCCTTTTACCAGTAGGGTAAAATGTATATTTAAAATTCAGTGCTGCTAGAGCAAAAGGTACATAAAGAAGAATGAGATCATTGAAGCTCTGTGTGGCAAGAAAGGCTAAAGTCAGATTGAGTTTGGTTTTTTAAGTATGAAGTTTGAGATACGAAGTAGGCTGTCTAATACACTGGAGATGGTCAAAGTTGAACAAAAAAGCTTGGGATTGTCAAAACAAATCATGCATTCTCAGGGGGTGATATCCCCAAGGTGGTAAAAATTGGCTCTTTGGAAGGGGAGATCTTAGATATTATAATGGGCCACAACCTATAAATAGATGTACAGAAATTTGTATTGGGATGGGGTGATTAGGCAATAAAGAAGTCAAAAGGCACAGAGCATTAATAAAAAAAAAAAAGTTTGTAAAACACCAATATAGACAGTATTTTTAAGATGATCAAAGTGGATGTGACCACCAAGACAATGAGAGTAGAAGTCCTGATCTTTAAAGTTCTGTAGAGAAGTAAGGGAAATGAGGTACCAGCAGAGGAGATCAAGAAGTTAACAGAGAAAAAGAAGAAAAATCAGAGGAGTAGTCATATAAGCTAAGTGAAGGTATTAAGTTATTTCAAACAAAAGGGAGTGAAGTAACTTTGTCAAATGCTGCTAACAGATCAAGTAAAATAGAAGCAATGCCTAAAAGTGAGTGGTCAAGTGGTTTTCGTTTTTTTTTCTTTGAGGCAGTGTTTAGATCTCGGCTCACTGCAATCTCTGCCTCCCTGGCTCAAGCAATCCTCCTACCTCAGCCTACTGAGTAGCTAGAAGCACAGTGCCACCATGCCCTGCTAATTTTTGGCACATTTTTGTAGAGGGGGTTTCACCATGTTGCCCAGGCTGGTCTCAAACTCCTGAGCTCAAATAATCTGCCTGCCTCAGCCTTCCAAAGTGCTGGGTAGACATGGTAGACTTGTAGGTCTTTTCTGGTTGCTTGCATTTCTTGGTGGTAAAATGACATGCAAGGTCATTTGCTGAGAGTGTGGGTGAGCCAGGAGCAAACATCTTCAAGGAATGAGGGAAGATGGCAATATCAGTAAGATTTCTATTTGAGAAACCAGATATATGGTGTTTCCACTAACCAAAATACAGAATAGGGGGATATTGGTTAGTGGTGTTTCCACTAACCAAAATACAGAATTTGCGTGTGAGCCACCGCACCCAGCCTTGTTGTAGTTTTGACTTACATTTCTCAAATGATTAGTGATGTTGAACATTCTTTCATATATTTGTTGCCACATGTATGTCTTCTTTTGAGAAGTATCTGTTCATGTACTTTACCCATTTTTGTTTTCTTTCTGAGCAGGAATTAAAGTTTAAAAGCTTTATGGCTGGGCATGGTGGCTCACGCCTGCAATTTCAGCACTTTGGGAGGCCAAGGTAGGTGGTTCACCTGAGATCAGGAGTTTGAGACCAGCCTGGCCACACAGCAAAAACCCCATCTCTACTATAAATACAAAAATTAGCCAGGCACAGTGGCAGGCACCTGTGATCCCAGCTACTCAGGAGGCCAAAGCAGAAGAATCACTTCAACCCAGGAGGTGAGGTTGCAGTGAGCTGAGATCACGCCACTGCACTCGAGGCTGGGTGACAGAGCAAGAGTCGGTCTCAAAAAAAAAAAAAAAAGAAAAAAAGAAAGAAAAGCTTTACAAGGGCAAAGAAAGGAAAGTACAACTTGGAAGAGGAACAAGCAGGCAACTTAAGAAATTAAGTGTGCCCTCTTTTTAATAAAACTTTTGCTTTTTGCTTGAATTTTTTCTTATAGATTCTGAAAATGAGATCTTTGTCATATGCATAGTTTGTGAATATTTTCTCCCATTCTACAGGTTGTCTGTTTACTCTGCTGATAGCTTCTTTTGCTGTGCAGAAGCTCTTTAATTAGCTCCTATTTGCCATTTTTTGTTTTGTTCTGGAGACTTGGGCATACATTCTTTGATAAGGTATCTGATGCTCAGAATGCTACTTCCTAGGTTTTCTTCCAGGGCTTTTATAGTTTGGGGTCTTAGATTTAAGTCTTTAATCCAATTTGGGTTAGTTTTTCTGTATGCTGAAAGGAAGGGGTCCAGTTTCAATCTGGGTACCCAGTTCCCCAGCACCATTTACTGAATAAGGAGTCCTTTGCCCATTGCTTGTTATTATTGACTTTGCTGAAGATCAGATGGTTGTAGGTGTGTTGCTTTATTTCTGGGTTCTTGATTCTTTTTCATTGGTCTATGTGTCTGTTTTTACATCAGTACCGTGTTGTTTTGTAATGCAGCTTTGCAGTACCGTTTGAAATGGGGTAGTATGATACCTTGTTATTTTTGCTTAGGATTGTTTTGGCTATTAGGCTCTTTTTTGGTTCATATGCATTTTAGAAGAGACTTTTCTGATTCTGTGAAGAATGTCATTGGTAGTTTGATAGGAATAGCACTCAATCTGTAAATTGCTTTGGGCAGTATGGCCATTTTAACAACACTGATTCTTCCTATCCATGGTCATGGAATATCTTCCTATTATTTTTTTAAGACGGGGTCTCCCTATGTTGCTCAGGCTGGAGTGCAGTGGCTATTCACAGGTGCAATCCCACTACTGATCAGCACGGGAGTTTTTACCTGGGCCGTTTCTGACCTGGGCCAGTTCACCCCTCCTTAGGTGGTCCCCTGCTCCCGGGAGGTCACCATATTGATGCCCAACTTAGTGTAGACACCCTACTGGCATAGCGTACTACAGCCCAGAACTCTTGGTCTTAAGCCATCCTCCCTCCTCAGCCTCCTGAGTAGCTGGGACTATAGGCACGCACTACCGTGCCTGGCAATGATTTCCATTTGTTTGTATCATCTCTGATTTATTTCAGCAGTTTTGTAATTCTCATTGTAGAGCTCTTTCACCTCCTTGGTTAGCTATATTCCTAGGTATTTTATTCTTTCTGTGGCTATTGCAAATGGGATTGTGTGCAGAGGCATTTTGAAGAAGAATTTTCATTTACAAATATTTATTTATTTATTTGAGACACGGTCTCCCTCTATCACCCAGGCTGGAGCACACTGCATAAACACAGCTCACTGCAGCTTCAACCTCTGGGGCTCAAGTGATCCTCCCACTTTAGCCACTAGGGTAGCTAGGACCACAGGTACATACCACCATGCTTGGCTAATTTTTGCAAGGTATTTTTTTGTAGAGATGAGGTTTTGCCGTGTTGCCCAGGCTGGTCTCAAACTCCTGGGCTCAGGCGATCCACCCACCTTGACCTCCCAAAGTGATGGGATTATAGGCACTAGCCACTGTACCCAGCAAAAAAATTTAAAGCATTAGGAAAAACTGCAAACTTGCACAATAGATGATAACCCCCTACATTCAGCTTCACTAATTTTCAACAGATGGTCAATCCTACTGCCACTTCTATCACCACAACTGGATTATTTTGAAATGAACTCTAGCTAGCATATCAACTCATCAGTATTTACGTCAGTATGTATAAATTTAAAATTTTGTTTTTTTTTTTTTTTTTTTTTTTTTTTTGAGACAGAGTCTTGCTCTGTCACCCAGGCTAGAGTGCAGTGGCACAATCTCCACTCACTGCAACCTCCACCTCCCAGGCTCAAGCAATTCTCCTGCCTAAGCCTCCCGAGTAGCTGGGCTTAAACAGGCTCCTGCCACCACACTCAGCTAATTTTTTTATTTTTAGTAGAGACAGGGTTTCACCATGTTTCTCAGGCTGGTCTCGAACTCCTGACCTCGTGATCCGCCCACCTCAGGCTTCCAAAATGCTGAGATTACAGGTGTGAGCTGTTGCATCTGGCCAATTTTATATGTTTTTAACATTCTCCTTGTTAAAAACCTTTTCTAATACATTTATTTTCTATTTTTCTCAGATGTTTTAATAAAGCTGTTTTTTTTTTTTACTAAATTGAATCACATTCCACTTATCTATTTTAAAGTAACATTAAAGATATGCATATGGAAAAAACCCTAAAATCATAAAACAATCTTTACCATATTCAAATTCAAACTCTATTTCCCACGTATCTCTTTATGCCTGGTTTTGTGCTGTGCTTACTACGGTCTCTATAAATACTGATACATTACACCACATATGCACATATCTGTGTAATTATACAGATAACAGGCAACTTTCTTCCACCCTTCAACTCTGGTAACAAAGTGATGACTTCGAGACTAGAGTTGCAAGGTATTTCAAGGTCTAGTTCATTCTTCACCAAAGAATTGCAGTGTATTTGCTGACAAATACTTACTTGTTTTCTGTTAAAAGGTCGAACATAAACATTTTAGGTCCCTACATGAGTGGTAGGACATAAAGGTAGGTCTCATCTTGAATTAGACAATGTTTTCTTAGATGTAACAAAAGCAAAAGCAAAAAAAGAAAAAAATAGATAACTATCAAAATTAAAACTTTTTGTGCTTCAAAGGATACTATCAATAAAGGGAAAATATAACCTCCAGAATGAGAAAAAAAAATCTGTAAAGCATGTATCAGATAAGGCTGTAGTATCCAGAACTTTTTTTTTTTTTTGAGACAAGAGTCTCGCTCTGTTGCCCAGGCTGGAGTGCAGTGCGGCTCACTGCAACCTCTACCTCCCACAGGTTTAAGCAATTCTCCTGCCTCTGTCTCCCAAGTAGATGGGCTTATAGGCGCCCGCCACCACGCCCAGCTAATTTTTTGTACTTGTAGAGACCAAGTTTCACCATGTTGGCTAGGCTGATCTTGAACTCCTGACCTCTTGATCCACCCGCCTTCGCCTCCCAAAGTGCTGGGACTACAAGTGTGAGCCACCGTGTCTGGCCCCATAATTTTTATACCTCAACAATAAAAAGATAAATATTGACTGAGCACGGTGGGTTATGCCTGTCATCTGAGCACTTTGAGAGGCTGAGGCCGGAGGATCACTTGAGCCCAGGAGTTTCACCAGCCTGGATAACATAGTGAGATCTTGTTTCTCCCCAACCCCAAACCCCCCTAAAAAAAAAAGTAGCCAGGCAAGGTGGCATGTACCTGTGGTCCTAGCTACTGAGGAATCTGAGGTAGGAGAATCACTTGGGCCTGGGAGGTAAGGCTGCAGTGAGCTATGATCATGCTGAATTTGAGTGTTTATAAGACATCCAAGAGGAGATATTCAGTAATCCATGACACATACAAACAGTAGATATCTGTAGCCAACATGGGCTAAAAAGAAGCATTTAGTTTACCAGAAAGAGAATACTATGTGAGAAATACTGCAGGAGTAGGATCAAGCCCTGAGGAACATCAATACTTAAAGGGAATGGAGAAAGAAGCACCCGTAAAGATTAAAAAGGAAAAACCTGAGGAACAGAAGGAAAAAAAGTTCTACTTATTTTTAATTAAGGAATTGTTCTTAATAAAAACCCAAGAAAGCATGTAACATTAAAAGCAATGTTATCACTCTCAATAAAACTGCAACCAAAGAGCATATAAAGAAAGCACTTGCTATATACTTAGGGCCAAGTTATAGTCAACTCTCGGTATCAGCAATAATTTTAAAAATAAACACACAATCCATATATAATCCCAACACAATTTCAAGCAATAGGCTTATAAAATAAATTCATGGCTGGCACAGTGGCTCACGCCTATAATCCCAGCACTGTGGGAGGCTAGGATTAGGCAACAGCAAGAGACTGGAGAAAACTAGAATGTCTTTCTCAAAAGAAATTACAGAGCCAAAGAGCATTTGTATTGAGTGCAATAACTACTTATTATTTTGTTTTAACTGACTAACTTCTTCTAGAGAAAAGTCCCTTCATCTAATTCTTCAAAGAAATCAGATGAAGGGACATATGATGGCCATATAGCAAATACTAGTTGGATTAATAAAAACACCTGATTAATAAAACTATACCCTAGAAAGGAAAAGCATTATGTAATTAATTATTTGACTTCCAATGCCAGGAACATTAATAGTATACAAAAAACTCTACAATGAATTAGTGTCTAGAGGATTTTGGAGGCAGACAATCTATGTCCTAATCTCAGATTTGCTACTTATTTATGTATGACCTTGGACAATTCAACTTCCTCATTATAACAATATAAGCAGTTTTGACCAACAGTAGTATTTCATGAAAAGTTTATGTGGTTAAATTCTAAGATTTACCTACTAATTAGGGCCCCTAATTTGTTCTCATTTCATAAAAATCTTACAGGTAATCACTATATCCATTTCTGTTTAGAAGACCATAGTAAATTACACAATTAAACATACTACCAGGGGAAAAAAAAAATTTAATGCTGTTTCCACCCCCAACACACTTTTCTTTTTTAAAGAGATGGGGTGCTGCTATGTTGACCAGGATTATCTCAATTCCTGGCCACCTAGTAATCCTCCCAACTAGACAGGTAAACCTGTAGTTAAATTCAACAGCTGATCTCAAGGCTGAGACTGCTAGAAACATTGCTTGACCATCTGTCACAGCATTTGAACTATAAACTCAAATATATCCATGTAAAAAAAAGGGAAGGGCTAAAGTTGCCATACATATGTGAATCCTTTTTACAATACTATAGCTCATTAAACTTTTTTTTCTTCTTACATTGGCCAATTCACTATGCATGACAAAAATGAACAGCAAAATTTTATTTTAATTGTACACCTATGATTGATCCTCATTCATCAAATATAATTTTTTTGTCATTAATTGGTCCATTATTTCAAGAGTGGTTTTGACTTTTAACTCCTAAAGTTTGCATACTCTCTCCCCAATCTTTTTTAGGTTCACAGAAAAAGTGAGTGGAAGGTAGAGAGATTTCCCATATAATCCTTGACCCCACATATACATAGCCTCCCCCACTACCAATGCCCCACACCAGGTACACTTTTTACAATCGATGAACCTAATTTGACACACCATTATCATCCAAAGTCCCTAGTTTACATTAGAGTTGACTCTTGGTATTGCACCTTCTATAAATTTTGGCATATGTATCACAACATGTATCCACCTTTATAGTATCATAACGTATAATTTCACTGCCTCTGTGCTGTGCCTATTTATCCCTTGCTTACCTCTTTTTTTGCAAACCACAGTTAAGAGATTCTGAATACTGAAATGGTGCTTAGAATCCTAAGGATGAAAAAGAGAAGGCAACTGCCAGGACAGAAAAAAATAGGCTAAAATAGCAAAGAAAAAGTGAAAAAGTGCAGCTGCATTCAAGAAATAAAGCCCTCCTATCCCTTAAAAAGCTGAAGCCATATTCTTTGTGGCTGCTTTTCCTTCTCATTCCGTTACAAGAATTCAGAGAAAGTCTTGGGTAACACACTACAGCTCAGTATTAAGAAGGCAAAGTATTTAGTTATAGCTTAAGTAAATTCCCACTGCAGGTAAACATTTAATGGAAGTGATTTATACCTGAAACTCACTTACTTTTAGGTTATTAGTGGCAAAAACTATATGCAGCCTGAGTTGGATGCTCTCTTTGATATTACCTTCATAGGCTCTCAGTCCTCTACACTGTATCTTGAATAGGGTCAGGTTGATTAAATAAAACTGAAGAGATTTTAAAACCTACACTAAGACTTTCTAAATGTTAAGTCCTTTCCTTTTAACTCATCTGCCCTTTATTCAACACAAGTGATATATTGCAATATAACATCAACTCTTCTTGCAGTGTGTTCTGCATATCATCTGTTCCTTAATTATTGCTCACACTTCTAGACTGATGCAATCTTATCCATGCTATCTCTCATTTTCAATACTACTCTCCTTCTAATCTATCACTAATCACTTACTAACTCCTATTACTGCTCTTAGGAGATTAAGTCCTATAGTAGTGTCCAAGTGTCCTAGAAATTAATTCCAAGAGCCTTACCTTACCTCTGCTTCCAGGTCTTTAATAGGGTGCCCCAGATTACCCCTCCTTCCATATCTTCCTCATCACCCTCCCTCCGTCTGCTTTAAACGCCCTTCACCTGACAGCTTTGTTTCCAGCTCAGAGACTTCTTCCACGCTGTCCTACATGGCTAGAATGCCTCCTTCCCCTCAGGGCAATCTACTGGTCATCTTCCTCTCACCATTTAAACATCACTCTCCATGAAGTCTTGTCAGATACTCTGTTAGGAGATGCTTTTACACAATCCTGGCTATACTCTGGAATCACTAATGTGTGACAAGTTAAGTTTCACCAGTATGCGAGGTCTCTTAATGTAAAATACAGATACCTAGACTACATACTCAGACAGACTCTCTAGGCAAAGGAACTAGATATTGGTGGTTGGGTTTTTGTTTGTTTTGGTCTGTTTTTTCCAAAGCCTCACAGGTGATCTAATGAGCAGCCAGAGTTATGAACCACCACATGCTGAGCATTCTTTAATCCAAAATGCTCCAAAATCTGAAACTTTTTGAGTACCCACATGACACCACAGTAGAAAATTCCACACAAGACCTTGTGTTGGGCTGTGATCAAAATGGAGGCATAATGCCGGGTGCAATGGCTCACACCTATAATACCAGCACTTTGGAAGGCTGAGGTGGGTGGATTACTTGAGTTCAGGAGTTTGAGATCAGCCTGGCCAACATGATGAAACCCTGTCTCTACTAAAAATGTAAAAATTAGCTGGGCATGGTGGCATGAACCTGTAATCCTAGCTACTTGGAGGCTGAGGCAGAATAATCACTTGAACCTGGGAGGCGGAGGTTGCAGTGAGCCAAGATATTACCACTGCACTCCAGCCTAGGCAATAGAGTAAGAACTCCGTTTCAAAAAAAAAAAAAAAAAGTTCATTCTTAGCACAGTGAAGACACTCAGCAAATTTTACAAGCTTGTTCTCTACTGATCCTGTCTTTCCTTTAGGTAAAATTTGGTCAAAATTAATGCCAAAACCTGGAGAAAAAGTCTTCAAAAGTAAATAAAATGTACTTTTGGGAGGAACCTGATACTTACAGTTCCTTGGCCATAATGTGTAAGTAGGTTATAACCAAATTACACATAACCACCAGTAGCTGAGTTCACCCAGGCTGGAGTGCAGTGGTGTGATCATAGCTCACCGCAGCCTTCAACTCCTGGGCTCAACCAATCCTCCCACCTCATCTTCCTGAGTAGCTGGGGCTACAGTCACATGCCACTAGGCCTGGCTAATTTTATTTTTTGTAGAAATAGAATCTTGTCATGTTGCCCAGGCTGGTCTCCAACTCCTGGCTTCAAGCAATCCTCCCACCTAAGCCTCCCAAAGTGCTGGGATTACAGGCATGAGACACCACACCCAGCCAGTCTCTGTTTACAGTACCCCAACCCAGGGTATCTAGAGAAAAACCTGCTGTCAGGCACTGGTCTGCCAACAACTTAAACTGAATAAACCCGGCCAGGTATGGTGGCTCACACCTGTAATCCCATTAATTTGGGAAGCCAAGGAGGGAGAACTGCTTGAGGCCAAGAGTTCAAGACCAGCATAGTCAACATAGCAAGACCCATCTCTACTAACAACACAAAAATTAGCCAGGCATGGTTGTGCTTACCTGTAGTCCTAGCTACCCGGGAAGTTAAGGTGGGAGAATTGCTTGAGTCCAGGAGTTAGAGGCTGCAGTGAGCTAAGATCATGTCACTGCACTCCAGCCTGGGTGACAGAGCAAAACCACCCAAAAAATATTCCTTTTGATACCAAAACTTATAATTTAAAAGTTATAAGCTTATAACCCAAATAGGTACCAGAGGATAGAAAATAGGCTAATAATAACAACGCCAATTTCAATTGTTTGACAAGAGCTATCAGGACTGATAATGCTGTTTCAAGAACTCTGAGGCTAAATTAATCAGGACATCATGTTATGAGAGATCATGGATATTGGCCATAGAGGAGGATAGATGGCATATATGACATGTATTTTCCATCTAGAAGGTCCATAACTTCAAGAACCTAACTAAAAAAGCCTAATCTTAAGAAAGAAAGTAGTAATGATGTACACACAAAATGGCATACTTCTATCAGTACTAATCACACTAGAGAGGAATCATTTATTTACTCGTTTGTGAGGGCAGAACTATTTTTGCTTTATTCTTTTTTTGTACTTCTAACACTTATCAGAATGCCTGATATATATAGCAGGCTGTTAACAGAAGTGTATTTAATGAAATATGCAATAAAAAATAAAGAAATATAAGATCACATTATTTTGATATGCCATAATCACTTAAGGTCTATACTCCAAAATATCACATGCTCCAATGAATGACCATCTGAACTTTGAGTACTGTAGCAGGTAATGAGATCACAGCTCACTGTAACCTCAAACTCATGGGCTCAAGCAATTGTCCTGCTTTGGCCTCCCAAAGTGCTGAGATTACAGGCATGAACTACCATGCTCAGCCTAGAAGCATGATTTTTAAAAGGAACACTTTCCCTCCTCATATTACTCTTGGGAGATTGTTTAGTATGGTGAAATTCTAATGTCTATTTTTCACTTAGCACTGTAATACTACTAATACTACTTTAGATAAAAGAGCTGGAAGGCAACTTAACCTGAATTTGTTCCACAATTGAACCAGAAGAATGAAAATTAGTTTTATCCAAGGTTTAAAAATTAAATCTATTCTTAAGCTAAGAATCATAACCTCAAAACAAACATCATAAAATTATTATAGGTTACAAAACAGAGGTGTTAAAGCAGATGGCTGAATCCAAGAATGAAATTGTGCAAAAGATTAATGTCATATTAATCACAACTATACCTGTGACTAGAAAGAACAGGGTCTAGATGATCTCTCAAGGAATCTTGTTCTGGATTTTCCACACTCTTGCCCCGTGTCTCATTTGAGCAGACACAGATTTAACTGGCCTTTTGCTATTTTCTCTAGCATTTTAACAGTCATGACACATAAAACAAGATGACACAGAGCTTTTCCCAGAGTTTCAAAATCTTTGCCATAGAATCAAGTGGCTAGGCAATGAATACAGATTCCTGGTTTTCTGTGGTACTTTTGGAAGCAGTAAGTGACTATTTTAAGCTTTTTGAGCTTCTTTCATAGTAGTGGAAAGAATTTTACTACAGGGATTTGTATGTCTCAAAAAAACACTAAATCATACAACTTCACACCATCATCAGCAAACATCTATCAGTACTTAGAAAGCTGGGAGTGAAGGGATTTAGGCTCTGGCCCAGGATATGCCCTTATTAACCATGTGATCTTGGCAAATAATCCAACCTCAGAGTCTTCACCTATAAACCAATAATCTGCCTTCTTCCTACCCTGCTTACCTCATAGAGTTTCTGTGAAGATCCAATTAGCTAACCTGTCTTGAAGCAATTGGAAAACTATTAAGGCCTAACACATATGTAGAAGCATTACTGTCCCAGTCCCCATGCAAAAGGGAACTAACTATTAGGCCACAAATTCCCCTATTCCATCCCACCCCCATAATCCATCACATAATTGTACCTAAGAGCAACTGTATTGCTAAATGATTCATCTTTATTACTTAAATTTACACACTCTATTCTCCAGAAGCCTATCTAATGACGTGTAAAGATGAACTAGCAGAAGAAAATGTGGCAAAGCACCTAAAAATTAGGCTGCTTAAAATCTTTTCTAAAGATTTTCTTTGCCTGCCCTGAACTCCAAAAGTCCCAATGGGCCTCTGAAATACTCAATTTCCTTTTGATTTCTGATGTTAAAAGGTACTCTTTACACCTACACTTAACTAAGAAACAAGATTTTCCTCCTGCAATTTTAGGTTTTGTGTACTCTACAAGTACCATATCGCTTCTTACCAAGAATCACTCCAATTAAGCTTTGTAACACTGCTCACTGGTGCCTTTCTCCCAAGTAAGAAGTAATTTCCTACATCTTGACTGGGCTGTAGAAAGTTGTATATGGTTCCAAATAGCAGAATATTCCTCCTTAACTGTCATAGTACTTGATAGTCTGATTTCTATGCTGAGCATGACAGGTTCCTGGCTGCCACTGACAAGTTACATGAATCTAGACAAGTCATTTATGGTGACCTGGGATTCCACTTTTATAAAGAGAACTAGTTTATTTCCAAGAACCTTTCTGGTGGAAATATTCTAAGATTCTCTTCAGATCACATATAATACAGTCACAGTACTGTGACTAAGAGACCCCTTAAAGAACAATCCCGTATTAGCTGCGTCAACATTTTTCATTTCTCCCCCCGTCCTCAAAGGGTAGTCACAGCTACTATAGAACGGCTAATAGGGCAGCTTAAAAAAAAAAAAAAAAAAAAAGAAAGAAAAAACTAGCTACATGACAGAAAGATTGCAGGCTTTTTAAAGAGTCAGTGGCTTCTAAAAAGGGAAAAGAATTGAATCAGAAAAACAGGAATACACATGCAAGAAAATATACCAGTCCAATTTCATACCAGGCTATCTCCTGTGGCAGGGAACAATCTTAGGAGTCCAAGCCTAAAACCTGTCATTTATAACCTCAGAATACCAGAAAAGTCAGATTAACCTTAGCAGATCACTCAATTTCAATCAACTCTGTAGATCCTAAGAGGCCAGTGAAAAGTAGAGGCCAGAATAGGGAGGTAGCAGTACAGAGGAGCATAGATGGAACATTTCACTTCCAGCTAAGATGTCATGTGAATGATTAATTAAAATGTTTGAAAACAAAAAATCCAATAATGTATGATATTTTCAAAAATGATGAGCAAGGAACTTTGCTAGGCATCCCAGGGGTGGGGGTAGGGGTAACGATACACAGATGCATTCAGGGAATTTAAGAGTCATTAAAGGCTGGGCATAGTAGCTCACATCTGTAATCCCAGTACTCTGGGAGGTGAGGGTGGGGGATCACTTGAGGTCAGGAGTTTGAGACTAGCGTGACCAACGTGGCAAAACCTGTCACTTCTAAAAATACAAAATTAGCCAGGTATGGTAGCACATACCTGTAGTCCCAGCTACTTGGGAGGCTGAGGCACAAGAATTGCTTGAACCCAGGAGGCAGAGGTTGCAGCAGTGAGCGGAGATCACACTACTGCACTCCAGTCTGGGTGAGTGACAGAGCGAGACTCCATGTCAAAAAAAAAAAGAGTTATCAGTAAGTATTTTAATCCTGTAACACACTGGCTCTGCTTTAAGCGGGTCTGGGTGGCCCGATATCACTCCATTGCATCCTCCACACCACCCATTACCCAGTGCAGTTTAAAAACATGATATTAAGAGTATGTACCCATAGGTATGAGGAAAGAGGAGTGAAAAAGAGTTACAGACCCAAACATTAATATTTAAGGGAATGTGCTGTCTCATGAATAATACAGAATGATTTAGAAATTCAGATGCTGACTGGCCATCTGGTTTTAGTAATCAGTGAAGACTCATTCGGATAGTTTTAATCTTGGTCTTGAAAGATAAGAATAAGCCCATTTAGTGTACCTGTCTGCCCTTGGAATATGTTTATTAGTATAAGAGCATCACTGATGGGAAAAGCATGGTCTGAAATAGGGACAAGGATCACCATCAGCAAGCAAAAAGAAAAACATCAAGTCACCAGTTAATAATGGTCTGAAGCAGCCTTTCTTCACTCATGTCATTTCCACTGTCTCGGATACTAGTGATCATCCAACTGTAAGTTTATTTTTGTTATAATAACCACTAATGTTTTATCTAATATAGATCTGCTATGAAAGTGAGAGGAAGCAAAGCTTCTTAAAGTGAAAAGGGGAAAGCTTGAGGGGCATTCTCCCAGACATCAATTTCTACTGTGGAACACTACTGTCCAATGCAAATGATCCTTCCCTTCTTTCCAAGTTCTCTACTAATCTGCCTTCCACCACCTCCAACATGCATCTGAGGCACATAAAAAGGTACATGACCATAGGTTTAGGACAGTAACACACTGTAATGACTTCCATAATTTCTTATAGGTAAAACTGCTTTTTAAATGTGGTTTTAGATTAGTATAATTTATGTAAGAACACAAAGCTCCTTTATGTCTGGGAATTTCTGGTACATGCTGAAGGTGAAGGATGAAAAGAATCCAAACTGCTTCAAATTCAATAAATTAAATAAAATATGCTCCATAAAAATTGAAATGTATAATCTATCAAATGTCATATACTTTTTCTGATAAGATTTCAAAGTTAACACCTATACTCATAAGACTTATAAGACTGTAAAGAACTTACACATTTTATTTCACTCTAATTTTTTTTAAACTAAATTTCACTGTGCATATTTGAGGTTTACAGCATGCTATGGAATATAGATAGCAAAATGGTGAAGCAGATTAACATAGCTATCATTTCACATAATTATTTTTTAACAAGAGCTGCTAAAATCTACTATTTAACAAAAATCTCTAATACAATTTTACTAACTTTGGTCCCCTGTTTCTCTAAACTTGTTCATCCCACATATCTGCTATTTTGTATCCTTGACCTACATCCCCCCATTTCCTCTTCTTCCCCCCACCAACAGCGGTAACCATTGTTTCATTCTGTGTATTTTAGCTGCATAAAAAAAAAACACTCTTCCGAGGTCGAGGCGGGCGGATCACGAGGTCAACAGGTCGAGACCATCCTGGCCAACATGGTGAAATCCTGTCCCTATTAAAACACAAAAAATTAGCCAGGCATGGTGGCATGCACTGTAGTCCCAGATACTGGGAGGCTGAGGCAGGGGAATTTGCTTGCTTGAACCTGGGCAGCGAAGGTTTGCAGTGAGCAAAGGTTGCAGTGAGCCGAGATTGTGCCACTGCATTCCAGCTGGGCAAGAGAACAAGACTCCGTCTCAAAAAAAAAAAAAAAATTCTACATACGTGTGAGATTATGCAGTATGTCTGGCTTATCTCATTTAACATATGTCCTTCAGGTCTATCTACGTTTTGGTAAATAGCAGGATCTCCTTTTTTAAGGCCAAATAATGTTCTATTGTATGTTGTCTATACACACACAAACATATACACACATACACAACAATTTCTTTAGCCATTTGTCATCCATCGATGGACATTTAGGATGTTTTCCTATCTTGGCTATTGTGAATAACGCCGCAATGAATGTGAGAGTGCAGATAATCTCCACAACGTGGTGATTTCCTCTCCTTCGGGTGTATATCCGAAGAGGGGGTGCTGTGCACCCAGAATCTTCAAAATAATATGTAAATCCTACTTTTGCTGGTATACTGTGACCCATGTTTACCTTAATAAAATGACATTAATAGCACTCTTTTTTTTTTTTTTTTTTTTTGAGATGGAGTTTCGCTCTTGTTACCCAGGCTGGAGTGCAATGGCACGATCTCAGCTCACTGCAACCTCCGCCTCCTGGGTTCAGGCAATTCTCCTGCCTCAGCCTCCTGAGTAGCTGCGACTACACGCGCCACCATGCCCAACTAATTTTTTGTATTTTTAGTGGAGACGGGGTTTCACCATGTTGACCAGGATGGTCTCGACCTCTTGACCTCGTGATCCACCCGCCTCGGCCTCCCAAAGTGCTTGGATTACAGGCTTGAGCTACCGCGCCTGGCCATTAATAGTACTTTTCAAGAAAGTAGTTTGAAGAGAAAATATAAGGAAACTTCAACTCAAGTAAAGAAGATATCTCTTGCCCATCAGTGTTATCGGTAACTTCTAAAGCTCAAAGCAGTATAATTTATCTTTTCATATACAGGATAATGATGGTTCCAGTTGTTACCACAAATTACCTCAAATATCATTGAGGAAAAAGATGATGGACTATATAGGGTCTTCCAATATATCATTACAGACAACATGAAAGTCAACCTAGCTTCAGGTAACTTGGTCAAACCTGGAAGAATCCAAGTGGGGGGGAATGTGGACATGAGAGCCACGTTACTACTGACTACGCTAGGCTAAAGGCTAATAAACAAGCCATACATAAAAAGAATCCAGGTCAGGCGCGGGTGACTCATGCCTGTACCTCAGCACTTCAGAGACTGAGGCGGGTGGATCACCTGAGGTCAGGAGCTCGAGACCAGCCTGGTCAACATGGTGAAACTCCATCTCTACTAAAAATACAAAAATTTGGCCGGGGTGTGGTGGTGGGCGCCTATAATCCCGGCTACTTGGGAGGCTGAGGCAGGAGACTCGCTTAAACTCGGGAGGCAGAGGTTGCCGTGAGCCGAGACTGCACCATTGCATTCCAGCCTGGGCAAGGAGTGAAACTCCGTCTCCAAAAAAAAAAAAAAAAGGAATCAGTGTAAGAGAGATGGAGTCAGGAACACTGCTCAACTCGAGATCATCACACATCTCTAGTTCTTTCAATATTGGTACCGAAAGAATGATTTTACTTATATCCCTCCGTATATTTATTCCTTTACAATATGAATTATTTCCAGTCTGGCTGGTTTATCTCATTCCACACCCCAAGCTAGTGACATAAAACATTGTCACCGAAAGAAACCTACAGAAAGATACATAAGCCTAAGGCTCTTAAAAAAAAAAAAAAAAAGCATGTGTTCTTCACCTCGCCTTACACTTTTCTCAGTTACCTCTCCCGAGGGTGTGAAAATATCAACATCCGGTCGCCCACCCCCACCCTCTCAGCAGTGCCTCGCATTGACTCTGCCATCCTTCCCTTAATAGTCTCATCACCTTGGAGAAGCCCATAGAATATTTCTTCCCATGGCTCCCCCACCCTTATTCATGGCTCAACGCGATATTCTCACATCTTTCTCCGAAGGAAGTGGCAAAAAAGAAAGCAGCATGGTCGAGGACGAAAGCCGGGGAGGCCTGACAACCAGACGGCAGTTTAAGGCGACAGGATTGGCTCTTTCCCCGCATCTCGGCCTCCGACCAGCAGTCAGTTCTCTAAATGTGAAAACGCTGGTCTTCGCGCTCCCCCACCCCCATCCTCTTCAGAGGCCAGGCCCGGTAATATCCGAAGACCGGTGGGAAGCGCGAGGCAGTGCGATCTCTAACGAAGCCCGCTCCCTCCCGGGCTTGTGTCCGGGGGTGGGGGCTGGAGATTGCGGGGCGAGGAGCGAAAGACCCCCCCACCCTGGGACCCCCAGAGGCGCGACCCTGGACACCCGGGCCCTTTCCCCATCCGGCTTCCCTCCCCCACGGCCCGGCCCCCAGCACTGCAGTGGCGCCCGGTGGACCCCACGCTGGCCTCACTGGCACACACGCCACACACAAAAGCGCCGCGGCCGCCGCCTTCCCGCCCCCACAGCCCGGCGAAGCAATCAATGAGGCGGCGGGCGCCAGCGTTCCCTCCGTGCACACCGAACACTGGGCCGAGCGGGCCAGCAGGGCGGCTCACCATCGCTGCGCTTGATCTCCACGTAAATCCCGATCTGGATCTTGCCGAAGTTGGCCGTTGCCATCACCTCATCTGGAGCAGCGGCAGCGGGCCGAGGGAGGGGAACGGGAGGGCGGAAAAGGCGGGGAGGGGGCGGGGTAGGTGTGGGAGGGGAGCGGTTGCCCGCGGCCGTGCCGGCCCGGGCGACAGCGTGAACGGGAGCGGGGCCGCGAGGAGCAGCTGTGGGGAAGCAGGCGGAGGCCCCGAGCCTGCAGGCCGGCAGGAGGACGCGCACGCCGGGGCGTCAGGGTGAAGCGAGGGCCGGGGCCGTGAGGCGGCGCGGGGTAGAGTGGGAGGGCCCGCACCGCCCGCCCGGGAGCAGTCGCTGGGGAGGCGGGGTGCCGCGCGCCTGCGCAGAGCGCGCCTCTGGCGTCTCTTCCTCTTCTGCTGGCCTTAGCCGGCTACCTCCAGGCGGCCCCGCCCAGCTCCCCAACGGGGAGGGCGGAGGCCTTGGCTACTGGGACCGCGGGAGCGGTGAGCGCTCGGTCCGGCCCGGCCCCCAACTAGCTGGCATCGAGTTTAATTTCGGCGCGCGGCCTAGAAGACGCGGGAAGCGTCGCGCTGAGCCTTTTTGCCTTGTGGCTCCCGTGAATGGGCGCTCCCGGAATGGTTTCAGGGCTTTCTAGCGGGCTGAGGGATGCGAATTCAAGGGTCCTCCTTGGTAGAGAGAACGGCCTCGGTGTTTTCATTGGCACCCCCTATTTCCACTTACAGGTAGGTGACCCAAGTAGCCCTCCCAAGCACACTTGGTTCAGGTTTCCATCCAGTTACGCCGAAGGGAAGAAACACTCTTGAGGCGTCACCTACCCTAAATCGAAGTGAAGATCCGCCCCTTTATAGTCTTGCCTTATAGTTCATCACATTCAAAAAGAAGCTGTGGTGGGGCGTCCTTAACTGTTCAGGTTAGGAGGCATCAGATGCTGGTGACCTGTTTCTGCTGAGGGTTCAAGACTTACTGGCCTTGACCTGTAAAGGTCAACAACTGTGACTCAAGGGCAGAAGGCAAGCACAGGAAGTTGACTAGGGAATGTGTCTCTTTGCAGTCATTAGACTAGTCTGACCACATCAGCAATGTGCAGAGTGAGACTCTCCATCCCAGAAAAGCAGGAAGGCCATGTGGACAGGGCCCTGGAAACTGTAGCACCGTGTAAAAGCCTCCAGATGTCTAACTCTTGCTTATAGTAGTGGGGCTTGATATGTAGGAAACACTTTCCCTAGTCATTGGTTTTTGTTTTTTTTTTTTTTTTGGAGAGGGAGTCTGTCACTCAGGCTGGATGGAGTACAGTGGCACGATCTCGGCTCATTGCGATCTCCGCCTCCTGGGCTCAAGGGATTCTCATGCCTCAGTCTCCCGAGTAGCTGGATTACAGGCCCACGCCAACATGCCCAGCTAATTTTTGTATTTTGGTAGAGACGAGGGTTTCACCATGTTGGCCAGGCTGGTCCTTAAACTGCTGGCCTCAGGTGATCCACCTGCCTTAGCCTGCCAGAGTGCTGGGATTACAGGCCTGAGCCACAGCGCCGGCCTTCCCTAGTCGTTGTTAATCTCCCTGTAACAATAACTACAAATACACAATTTAAAATTTAAAAATTGGAAACTGGATATATACATCAATGCTTATGTGCCTATATGTGTGTGTCTAGATTACCTAATATAAGTAATCAAGTAGATCCTAAAAACGATTGAAGCTTCATCTGTAGCTTGAACGTATTGAAGGTATACTTGTCAAAAGAACAACTCTATTGAATCCATTCTAAAGTGGGTATAATTTCTATGAAAAAAAAAACCCACTGGATAGACAATGTAGAAAATAACTTCTTTTACAGTCCAGAAATGACACCATGCTTGAGAACCCCTGTTTCAAATAAAATTTTACCAAAATCAGGGTTTAGTTTTTATTTTTTCTATAATTTTGGGAGTTTTTCTGAACTTTTTGATCTCCTGTCTAGAATTCATTTTCTGATGTCTCTACAACTGAGGTATTAAACATCTATTTATGTTTTACTTATACTAGAATGCAAAGAAATCAAGGTATACAGCTCAAAGTTAACATTGCTTCATCAAATTTTTTTTTCTTTTTTTTTTGAGAACAGAGTCTCGCTCTGTTGTTAGGCACCAGGCTGGAGTGCCCTGGCGCGTTCTTGGCTCACTGCAACTTCCGCCTCCCAGGTTCAAGCAATTCTCCTGCCTAAGCCTCCCGAGTAGCTGGGACTACAGGCACATGCCACCACACCCAGCTATGCTTCATTAAATATTTTTTAGCGTGGTTGCTGACACATACCTTACACTCTTGGTTTATATAGTTAGTCTTACCCTTTAATCCATATAAAAGGTATTTTAAAAATATGCATATTATTTTGCACCATAAAAATGTATAACACCTAATAAACACAAAACCTTTATAAGACATACCCAAAAGGCCTACATTTTTTTTGGTACACATTAGCATATGTATTTACCAAGACTTGCATTATGGGCCTTGTATGTTAGTGGCTTCCTGAAGAGCAGCCATAAATACATGCAATGTGGCTGTTTCCATCAACATCCTAGATCGAAGATTCTGACTCTGGCTCGGACATTAGCAAGATGTATAACCCTAACTAGAACTACTACTACTACTGCTGAGATCCTGAACTAGTAACTACTGATTAATTACTAAGATATATACCCTAAGAACTACTGTTTTCATTAGGATTACATAGTAGGCACTCAGTTATTTGTTCAATAAGTTAACTTCTTAAAGTGCTCAGTATCTCTCAGTTATCTCCTTGATCAATCCAGAATAATAACTTACATTCTCTCAATCACAGAAAGTTTTTGTGAGGACAAATGAAATAAAATGTGATAGTGCCTTGATATTTATCACTTTTTTTTTTTAATAAAAGTAAACCATCCTAGGCTGTGTGTGGTGGCTCACACCCGTAAGCCCAGCACTTTGGGAGGCCAAGGCGGGAAGACCACAAGGTCAGGAGTTAGAGACCAGCCTGGCCAATATGGTGTACTAAAAATACAAAAAAAATATTAGCTGAGCATGGTGGTACATTCCTGTAGTCCCAGCTACTCCAGAGGCTGAGGCAGAAGAATTGCTTATGCCCAAGAGGCGGAGGTTACAGTGAGTCAAGATGGCACCACTGCACTTCAGCCTGGGCAACAGAGACTCCATCTTAAAAAAAAAAAAAAAAAAAAAGAAAAAAGAGTAAACCATCCTATAAAAAATAACCCACACCAAGTTCGGTGGCTCATTGCCTGTAAACCTGGCACTTTGGGAGGCCTAGACAGAAAGATCCCTTGAATTCAGGAGTTTTAGACCAGATTGGGCAACATATAGAGACCTCATCTCTGCTAAAAAGAAAAATTAGCCAGGTATGGTGACCTATGCCTGTAGTCCTGACTACTACGAAGGCTGAAGCAGAAGGGTCACTTGAGCCCAGGAGATCAAGGCTGCAGTGAGCTATGATTACAGCGCAGCACTGCACTGCTGTCTGGGCAACATAACAAGACCCTATCTCAAAAAAACAAAAACAAACCTCCCAAAACAGTACTATAGTCCTCAAATTATTAATTAGAAATTAGAATTTTAGGTAGGGTGTGGTGGTACATGCCTGTAATCTCAGCACTTTGGGAGGCCAAGACGGGTGGATCACCTGAAGTCTCCCTTCTTTATGGAACTTTCTCCACCCTATCCCATTTATAATGACTGTCCTATATGGCTAATTCTCACACAGCCATGATTATCAGAATCTTCTAAGAAAGTTTTTAAAACAAATACAGAGGTACAAAGTCTATCTTGGGCCAATGGGTTTAAAATCTCTTGGGTAGGGCTTAGTGTGGTCGATTTAAAAAAAACTCAGAAAATTATGTATACCTACTTAAGAACTATTAATTATCCCTGTATTGCCATAATTCAATGTTTTCTGCACATTTGCAACTTAGGGACTGGGCACTGAATAACATTGCTTATTTTTCTAGTCCACCTTTTCTTTTCTTTTTTTTTTTTTGAGACAGAGTTTTGCTCTTGTTGCCCAGGCTGGAGTGCAATGGCACGATTTCGGCTCACTGCAACATCTGCCTCCTGGGTTCAAGTGATTCTTCTGCCTCAGCCTCCCAAGTAACTGGGATTACAGGTACCCACCACCACGCCCGGCTAATTTTTTATATTTTTAGTAGAGACTGGGTTTCACCATGTTAGCTAGGCTGGTCTCGAACTCCTGACTTCAGATGATCCACCTACCTAGGACTTCCAAAGTGCTGAGATTACAGGCACCCGCCACCACGCCCAGCCTGGTCTGTTTTTAAAAGATCTCCTAAAATCCATAGATTTCCCCCTTTATCGATTTTTTTCCTTACTTTTTTTTTCTTCTGTTGAAAAAGCCAGGATATTTAGCTTGTGGAGTTCTCTTTTTTCTCTCTTAAAATAATTAATTGTCTGGGCGGAGTGGCTCATGCCTGTAATGCGAGCACTCTGGGAGGCCTCAAGGCGGATTACCTGAGGTCAGAAGTTTGAGACCAGATTGGCCAACATGGTGAAACGCTGTCTCTATTAAAAATATAAAAATTAGCTGGGCTCGGTGGTGGGCGCCTGTAGTCCCAGCTACTCGGGAGGTTGAGACACAAGAATTGCTTGAACCCAGGAGGCAAAGGTTGCAGTAAGCCAAAATCATGCCACTGTACTCCACCCTGGCAACAGATCCAGACTGTTTCAATAAATCAATAATAAATTGACACATATTCTATTGTATTATACATAAGGTATACAATGTAATAATTTGATATACATATACGTTTTGTAATAATTTTATAATCAAATTAATTAATATATCCATTACCACCCAAGCTGCACATTAGATCTCCAGAACTTGTTCTTTTTTTGTTTTTTTGAGATGGAGTCTCGCTATGTTGCCCAGGCTGGAGTGCAGTGGTGTGATCTCAGCTCACTCAACCTCTGCCTCCCGGGTTCAAGCAGTTCTCCTGCCTCAGCCTCCTGAGTAGCTAGGACTGCAGAAGCCTGCTGTGATTCCTGAATAATTTTTGTATATTTAGTAGAGATGGGTTTTCACCATGTTGGCCAGGTTGGTCTCGAACTCCTGACCTCAGGTGATTCACCCACCTCGGCCTCCCAAAGTGCTGGGATTACAGGTGTGAGCCTGTAATTGCACCTGGCCTAGAACTTGTTCATTTTGTAACTGAAAGTTTGTACCCTTTGATTAATATCTCTCCATTTACTGACTTCACTTCTTATGACTATTTCAGTGTGTTTTAAAATCTACACACATAATTTTTAATAGTCATAAAAATTCATATTGCGTTGTCTTCAAGTTTTTACCAAAGTAAAATCCCCATGATAAACATGTTTGTA